CGCCCCCAAATCAGGAAACAGCTCCATTAACCTCAGGCCAATGTCCCCAGGAAGACGCCCTGAAAGCCACAGGGAGGACGGAAAGCCAGCTGTGACCCTCTGGACATCACCGCCACTCCCCGGAAACAGGATACAGGAAACCTCCCCAGCGACTCCCACCGGAGGTGTGGTGGGCGAGCAGGCCTCGGTATCCAGAGCGGGCACTGCCTGCCTGGGGCCGAGCAATTGCTTTGCTGTTCCGGACTGAAGCTGGTTAAATTCCCGCTCCACTCGCCAGGACTCCGTCCCCTTCCTGCAGGCTGGGAGGGGCCACACGAGGACCTCGGTTAGGGCCTACGCACCACAGGCGGTTAACAACCCTCCCCGCAAACACCCCCGGACGGCTCTTTTCCACCCCAAGGGCCTCTGCTGGCCCCGTGCTGCCTCCGCGCTGGCTCAGGCCTTGCCGTGCAGCTCACTCCTGCTTTCCAGAGATTCCCCCACAGAGCTCAGAACAGGACCCCCCGCACTCAGAGGCCAACCTCAAAGCAGATGAAGGCGCCCGTTTCCGCTGCCCCGCGCCGGCGGGCCACCAGCTGCATGGAACTTGAAGCTAGGCCATGCCAGAGGGGGAATCCTGGACGTTGTAGCCGATCAGCTCTCCCCAGGTTCGGCAGACTAGACGCGTTCTCCACAGGCTGGAAGAGGACGCTGGGTTCAACGGCAGCACCCAGGCAACCCGCGCGGCCTGAGCTCGCCTCACTGCCCGTGCTTCCCGCAACACAACTGGACGCCGCACCTGTCTTCCCGCAACGGTGCAGCTGCGGAAAGCCCGCCCGGCTGCCACTGCCACCAACACGGGAAGGGAACGGCTCGGGAGGAGGAGACTCGGGAGGCAGGGACGGGGGCGGCTAACGCCGGCCTGCGGGTACCCAGACTGCTGGACGGCAAGCGTGGCTGTTCCAGGGTTCCCGATCTTCACGTTTCCGGCAGTGGCTGCTCCAGCCGCTGCGACTTGTGTTCCCAGGTTAACTGCACGAGAAGGCACTCACTGCCCGAGGCCACTCTTACCGAGACACAGCCTTCTCCCATCACGCCCCAACAGACTACCACCAGCCTGGAACCTGTTGGCTCCGTCACCTGAACTTTGAACACGTTCTCACCAGTGTGGTTCAGGGAGACCCCGTTAGGGGGCGTTCTCGGGTTCCTGGCTTCATCCCGAGGGCCATCGTCAGTCTCAGCTGTGTGCAAACCTCCAGGACCCCCTGGCCTGCAGGCAGCCTCCCCCGCCCCGACCTCCCTGTGGTCAGCATGAACGCACAACCCTGTGATTCACCCGACACTGAGTCGCGGCGTCCACACCGGGGCCGCCACAGCCCGTGACAGGGCGGCAGGAAGCAGACTCAGTGCCCAGGCTCTGGTCAGTTTCTCGGCACACAGGGGGGAGGCGGGCAGGCTGAGGGTGAGGCGCCTCAGAGGCAGGGCAGACCAGCACATACAGGGATCGAGCTGTCCCAGGCAGCACGCTTTATTTACAGAGTCACAGAACCCCCGCCTCCCTGCCCAGGGCCGGGCCTCTCCGGATCCCAGGAGGGGGACAGGCTCGCGCCCACCCGAGCGGAGCCCGGCAGAGGCTTCCGTGCGTGGGCAGCCCCTGCTGGAGCAGAGGGGCCCGAAGTAGCAGCAGAAGCTCCACGCCGTGGTCCTCAGGGCTGCTGCTGCCGAGCGGCGTGGGGCTGGGGGCGCCGGGGATGTGACCAGATTGGGGTGGGGGCTGGACCCCGCACTGGCAACGCCTGGTGAATTGGAAGATAGCAGAGGAGCCACATCAGTTCCAGCCACCTTCCTGGGGGGAGCAGGGCGGGCGGTGGGGAAGGTAGAGACCCAGGGGACAGACCCCTGCACTGCCTGCCCAATCCGGTCCCCCAGGGGACCCTACGGTCCTCGGGCCTGCTCCACGCTACGTCCCTCCCAGGGGCACCCCAGGCTGGGACACAACCCGGGCCATACCAGGCGGGAAGGGCTGGCAGCCGACAGCTTCCGGTGCTGGGCCGTGGCGAACACCGACGACCACAGGTCCAGACTCTTGGGGGCCGAGCCCTTCTCTGACCTGGGAGGGAGGATGTCCCAGCCCAACAGGCAGTGCTGTGGAGGGCAGGGGTTAGAGAGCCGGCCTGAGGCAGGGCTCCCACTGGCCGGGCACAGCTCCGGGGGAGGGACTGTGCCCCCACCAGGGTAGAGGGAAGCCCTGAGCAGTGGGGGTTGCCCCCAGGACAGGGACCTGTGTACCCCGGATGACCCAGGGCCTGGTCTTTCTCATCCCTGCTGATCCTGCCACCCTGGGGCCCTGGGGGCTGGACACAGACACCGATGGCACCCAACAGTGATCACTTTACTGAACTGCCCACTCAGCCCAGCACCCCCAAGCATGTACTGCTACACCCATTTAACAGACAAACTGACTTTTCTCTGTACCCCTTCCCCTCCCCCAGCCTCAACAGAGGTGGGTGGGTGGTCCAGGACAACATCCAGGGGAAGCACTGTGGAAACGTTAAGAACTGAGTTCAAACCCCGGCTCTTCCGCCAAGGTATCTGGCCCTCGACCTCATCCTAGGGCAGGAGCCACCAGTGCCCTGAGCCCCTGAGGACTGTGCCCGGGGGTACACAGTGCTCCACCGCGGCACACCAGGGCTCCCTCGGGGAGCAGGTGCAGCCTGGGGAATCGGCCCTCCCCAAGCCCAGCCTCACTCTGTGGCCATCCCTGAGAACCTGAGCTGGGCCAGGGACAATCTCGCTCCCACCCACCCCACGCCCCGCGGCTGCTCACCCGAGGCAGGGACAGTGTGTCCGAGGCATCGAAGCTCTTGCGCCTGCGGATGCGATACCAGTGCGGGGGGTCCAGGATGGACAGCGGGACGCTCACCCTGTGCGGGGCAGCAGTGGCCTCTGCTGAGGCACCTCCCCCAGCCCCAGGCCCATCCTCCCCCCTCAAAGCCAGCAGCCCCCCAGGCTGAGGCCCCTCATGGCTGCCCCGAGATGTCCCACAGCTCTGCCACTCACCTGACCTGTGCCGGCTCCAGCAGGGTCTCAGGGCCCTGCTGCTCCCGCAGGGTCCCGCACAGGCGGCAGGGGGTGCCCGGATCCGAAGGCACCAGGAAGAGGCGGCGGTTGACGCGGTAACAGTACACACCTGCGGGCCCAGCAGACGCTGCCTCGGTGGCCCCAGCCCCGGCTACTCCCGCCCATGGGGCTGCCCCTCTGGGGAACAAGTCCTACAGTGGCTCTGGTCTTGGGCCCGTGTCCCAAGGGGTGCAGGTATGCTGTCCTCCCAGGGGCTCTCAGGAGCTGGAACGGGGGCCCAGCCAGCGCTGAAGGCTGCTGGGGAGGGGTGGGGTGGGTCAGCAGGTCACCGTCCCCAAGGCTCCCTGGGGCCGCAAGACCTCTACTGAGGCTGCTTTGGGACGTGAGGGCGGGGGCTCAGGCCAGGGCAGAGCGAGGCTGGGCTCCTCGGCAGCCCGGCGCAGGGCTCACACTCACATTCGTGGTCCCCGTCCACGCCATCGTTCTCGTGCAAACCCAGGAACCCGGGCCTGTGAGGATGAGGGGGGCGAGTGGGGCAGGTGGGAGGGCGGGAGCCCCCAGCCGCCCCAGCCGCCCCCGCCCGGCCCTGCTCACTCAGAGTGGCTGGCCGTGCACTCCTTCTTGTTGGCTTCTCGGAACTTCTGCAGTGTTGCAAAGAAGGCCTCGGGCTTGCTGGTGACGGGAGAGCTGCTGTCCAGGGACCCTGGCGAGGCCAAAGCAGCGGAGCTGCCGGGTAGCCCTGGCCAAGGCCTGGGGAGGTCCTGCCACGGCGCACCTGCCTCAACCCCGCTCTGCCCCCTCCTGGCCAGGACGGGCCCCTCCATCCGCTGTGGCCACGGGCTCTACCTCAGCCCGTCCACTCCCTCGCCACGGCTAGAACGTCTCACACTCTGGGAAATGGCGGTGAGGCAGGGCGACAGAGCCCTCGCCCTTGCAGGCTCACGGCCTTTTTTTTAAGGTTTCCTCCTTTGTTTTTTAAATATTTATTTATTTATTTATTTGAAAGGCAGAGTTAACAGAGAGAGGGAGGGACAGACTTCCATCCACAGTTCGCTCCCTAAACAGCCATAACGGCCAGGCAGAAGCCAGGAGCCAGAAACTTTCTCCAGGCCTCCCACGTGGGTGCAGGGGCCCAAACACTTGGGCCACCCTCCACTGCTTTCCCAGGCACATTAGCAAGGCGCTGGATTGGAAGTGGAGAAGCCAGGATTTGAACTGGCGCTCACGTTGGATGCCGGCACTGCAGGCTGGGGCTTTACCTGCTAACCCACAGCACTGGCCCCGATTTATTCATCTGAAAGTCAAAGTTACAGATATAAAGAGATCTTCCGTCTGCTGGTTCACTCCTCAGATAGCTGCTACGGCCAGGGCTGAGCCAGGCCAGAGCCAGGAGCTCCTTCTGGGTTTCCCTCAGAGATGGCAGGGCCCAAACACCTGTGACGTCTTCCACTGCTTTCCCAGGCACATTAGTGGAGACATGAACTGGTGCCCATGTAGGACCCCAGTGTCGAAGGAGGAAGCTTTACCTGCTGCGCCACATGGGCCCTGGGAGGCTTACATTTTATTTACATTTTATTTTTTTAGTAGTGTGTTCATTTTTTTTTTTTTTTTTTGACAGGCAGAGTAGACAGTGAGAGAGAGAGACAGAGAGAAAGGTCTTCCTTTGCCGTTGGTTCACCCTCCAATGGCCGCCGCGGCTGGCGTGCTGCGGCCGGCGCACCGCGCTGATCCAATGGCAGGAGCCAGGTACTTATCCTGGTCTCCCATGGGGTGCAGGGCCCAAGCACCTGGGCCATCCTCCACTGCACTCCCTGGCCACAGCAGAGAGCTGGCCTGGAAGAGGGGCAACCGGGACAGAATCTGGTGCCCCGACCGGGACTAGAACCGGTGTGCCGGCACCGCAAGGTGGAGGATTAGCCTAGTGAGCCACGGCGCCGGCCAGTAGTGTGTTCATTTTGCCAGACGTTTTATCTGTGTTTTATTTGTTTTTAAAGATTTATTTTATTTATTTGAAAGACAGAGTTACATAGAGAGGTATAGCGAGAGAGAGAGAGAGGTCTTCCATCTGCTGGTTCACTCCCCAGATGGCAGCAATGGCCAAAGCTGGGCTGATCCGAAGCCAGGAGCCAGGAGCCTGGAACTTTTTCCTGGCCTCCTATGTGGGTGCAGGGGCCCAAGCACTTGGGCCATCTTCCTCTGCTTTCCCAGGCCACAGCAGGGAGTTGGATCAGAAGTGGAGCAGCCAGGACTCAAACTGGCACCATATGGGATGCCGGCACTGCAGGCCAGGGCTTTAACCCACTGTGCCACAGCGCCAGCCCCAAGGCTGACATTCTAACGTGGCAACAGGTGAAGTTGTCACCAAAGACATCTGTGATACACTATGAATGGTGACACCTGCCGAGGAGCGAGAGAGCAGGGCAGGGGCCTAGAGTGGCAGAGACACATACAGGACCCTCATCCCCCAGGTCACTCCCCAGATGGCCACAACAGCCAGGGCTGGACCAGGCGGAAGCCAGCAGCCAGCTTCTTCCGGGTCTCCCACATGGGTGCAGGGGCCCAAGCACTTGGGCCACCCTCCACTGCTCTCCCAGGTGCATTAGCAGGGAGCTGGATGAAAAGCTGAGCAGCTGGGATTTGCGCCAGCAACGCAGACTGCAACTTAACCTGCTGTACAATCACACCAGTCCTGAGCCATGTATTTTTTTTTTTTTAAGAGTTATTTATTTGAAAGGCAGAGTTACAGAGACAAAGAAGGAGACACACAGAGAGATCGTCTGTCTGCTGGTTCACTCTCCAAATGGCTGTAAAAGCCAAGAGCCAGGAGCTTCTTCCAGGTCTCCCACTTGGGTGCGGAGGCTCAAACACTTGGGCCATCCTCCGCTGCCCTCCCAGGTACACCAGCAGAGAGCTGGATTGGAAGTGGAGCAGCCGGGACTCGAACCGGCACCCACATGGGACGTGGGCGCTGCAGGTCGGGGCTTTAACCCGCTGAGCCACAGCACCAGCCTCCTGAGCCATGTAGCAGGCAGCAGCTGGGAGGCAGCGACAGGCATTCCAGTGGAGAGCAGCCGTTGAATTCTGGAAACCTGGTGAAGGCAGGGTCAACAAGAGGTACTAATGGACTGGGAGGGGGGGGACTACCTGGGGAGGAGGCGGAGCCCAGCAACCCCAGGGTCCCAGGCCGACCTCTCAGGGACAACAGCTGCTCACAAACCCCTGGAGCAGGAGCACTTCCAGACCCCCATCTGAGAATGCCCTGGGGGGGCACTGCCCTAGCGCACTACACTGCTCCTGGGAGGCCCCTTTGGAGCTGAGCCCCCAAGGACAGAAAGGAAGCAGCGGCTGTGAGTCCCCGGGGAACAGCAAGGGCCAAGCATGGCAGGTGCAAGAACCAGCAGGGGGTGGAGGCCGGACCGCAGGGAGACAGCAGGCAGGCAGGCAGGCAGAGGCACGCCACGGGCCAGCAGAGGCCAGACGGTGCCCGAGGCTGGGCGAGGTCTCTGGGTTTTGCTGCAAGTGCTGGGAAAAGCCCCTGAGGTTGGAGCAGCGTAGTGACAATCTCACTCCCGGGTTCAACACACGTCCTGGCTACTGTGTCAAAGACGCACAGCAGGGATGGGTGTTTGGCCCAGCAGTTAGACACTCGCCTCCCAGGTCAGACCGGGAGGTTCTGAGCCCTGGCTCTGCTCCTGATTCCAGGTTCCTGCCAATGCATACTCTGGGGAGCAGCAGGTGATGGCTCAAGTACTCAGGTCCCTGTCACTCACGTGGGAGACCCAGACGGAGTTCCTGGCTCCTGGCTTTGGCCTGGCCCAGCCCCAGCTACTACAGGCATTTGGAGAGTGAACCAGCAGACAGGAGAACTGTCTGTCACTCTGCCTCTCAAATTAATTCTTTTTCAAGACTCATTTTTTAAAAGATTTATAATTTTGCTGGTGCCGCGGTTCACTAGGCTAATCCTCTGCCTGCGGTGCCAGCACACCAGGTTCTAGTCCCGGTTGGGGCGCCAGTTCTGTCCCAGTTGCTCTTCTTTCAGTCCAGCTCTCTGCTGTGGCCAGGGAGTGCAGTGGAGGATGGCCCAAGTGCTTGGGCCCTGCACCCGCATGGGAGACCAGGAGGAAGCACCTGGCTCCCATCACGGCCACTTTGGGGGTGAACCAACGGAAAAAGGAAAACCTTTCTCTCTGTCTCTCGAACTCTGCTTGTCCAAACAATTAAAAATTAAAAAAAAAAAAAAAAGATTTATTTATTTATTTGAAAGGCGAAGTTACAGAGGCAGATGCAGAGAAAGGAAGGGGGGGAGGGGGAGAAGGGGAGAGGTCTTCCATCCTCTGGTTCACTCCCCAGATGGTCGCAATGGCCAGAGCTGGGCCAATATGAATCCAGGAGCCAGGAGCTTCTTCCGGGTCTCCCACATGGATGCAGGGGCCCAAGCACTTGGGCCATCCTCTACTGCTTTCCCAGGCCACAGCAGAGAGCTGGATCGGAAGTGGAGCAGCTGGGACTTAAACTGGTGCCCATATGGGATGCCGGCACTGCAGGTGGCGGTTTTACCTGCTACACCACAGAGCCGGCCCCTCAAGATTTATTTTTTATTTATTTGAAAGTCAGAGCTAGAGAGAGAAACAGAGAGAATGAGAAACAGAGAGATCTTCCATCCGCTAGTTCACTCCACAAATGGCCGCAGTAGCCAGGGCTGGGCCAGGCCAAAGCTGGAAGCCCACAGCTTCTTCCAGTTCTCCCATGTGGGTGCAGGGGCCCAAGTACGTGGGCCATCTTCTGTTGCTTTCCCAGGCCATAGCAGAGAGGTGGATCAGAAGTGGAGCAGCCAGGACTTGAACTGACACCCACATGGGATGCCACATCACAGGCAGAGGCTTACCTTGCCACACCAAAATGCCAGCCCTTCAAATTAATTTTAAATACTAAAAGCAAACAATAAACCATAGCTGCCTTATTCCTAAGAGCCAAGAGAATGGAAACAAGGCATCCACTGCGGATGAAGAGACGAAGTGCACTCCACGCATACAATGGGTATTCAGTCTTGAAAAGGAAGGGATGGGGCCGGGGCTGTGGCGCAGTGGGTAAAGCCACCACCTGCAGTGCTACCATCCCAAAGGGTGCCGGTTCGAGTCCTGGTTGTTCCACTTCCAATCCAGCTCTCTGCTATGGCCTGGGAAAGCAGTGGAAGATGACCCAAGTCCTTGGGCCCTTGCACCCACATAGGAAACCCAGAAGCAGCTCCTGGCTCCTGGCTTCAGATCGGTGCAGCTCTGGCCATTGCTGCCATCTGGGGAGTGAATCAGTGGATGGAAGACCTCTCTCTCTCTCTGCCTTTCAAATAAATAAATATTAAAAAAAAAAAAGAAAGAAAAAGAAAGATTGACACCAGCTGCAACACCAATGAACTTGAGGACATTATGCTAAGTGGAAAAAAAAAATACGGAGCAGGTCAGCTGTCTGATTTCACTCACATGAGCTTCCTAGAGCAGTCAAAGCCACAGACAGGGCAAGCGCTGTTAAGCCACCGACCGAGACGCCTGCACATACATGGGCCTGCCATCCTGAGTCCTGGCTACTCCGCTCCTGGTCCACCTGGGAAAGCAGCAGATGGTCCAGATGCTCAGGCCCCTGCCCCCACGTGGGAGACCCGGATGCAGTCCCCGGCTCCTGGCTCAGCCCGGCCCAGCCCTGGCTGCTGTGGGCATTTAGGGAGTGAACCCGCAGACCTCTTTCCCTGTGTCACTCCAGCTTTCAAATAAATAAATCTCAAAAAAGCAAGTCAGAGGCCGAGACGGCGGCTGCGGGGCTGGGAGGAGGTTTAAATCCGGACTTCTGGCTGGGGAGGAGGAAAAGGTCCTGGCGGCAGATGGGGGCGATGGCTGCCCAGCCGAGTGAATGCACTCAATGCCACTAACCTGCACCCCACAAAGTGGCTACGGGGTCCACTCTAAGTTCTATTTACAGACACAAGGGCAGTGGTGGGCAGAGGCCAGGGGGACACCGCCAGGCCACCGGGCTTCTGTGGGCAGTGCGAGCTGGGATAAAGGTGGAGAGAGCAGCGGAGGCCTGCAGGTGCACAAGGCTTGCCCGCCCAGGCATCCAACAGATGCGCCTTTTCTGTGCCCACAGCCGAGAGGGCGCGCACGGCCCAGCAGGTGCCCCCAGGAGGAGAAACGGGGGGGCACAGGTGGGAGCCCAGACGAGCCAGGCCTCCCCTCCGCCTCCCCCCCCGGGGGCAGCCTTACCTGCGATCCAGTCATAGCCCAGGTATGGCCTCAGGCGCCAACTGCTCTCGGGCACCTCCAAGTCCTCGCAGGTCACTGTGGACTGAGGCAGGAGACAGGGAAGGGCAGGGGCTGGGCCAGCAGGCCAGGCCCAAAGGAGGCCCCACCCTGGGGCAGGACACAAGCTGTGTCCTAACTTAAACCCTGGCTGGGGCCCGGAGCTCGGCTGGCAGCTCCAGAGCTGCAAGATGGAAGTCAGCCCTGCGTCACGGGTGGCTTGGACAAGCCTAGCTTCTGAGCCTCAGTCTTCCCGTCCACATGATGGGGCTCGTCCGCCTTCTTCCCAAAGTGTTGAGAAACTAACGACAGCCACTCATCGCACACTTGGGCTGAGCTGGACACAACTCACAATGTGTCCCGGAGGCCTATCATCCCGCAAGGGGCTGCCTGTGAGCCCATGTGTCAGACGGGGAAACTGAGTCTCAGGGGAGCTCCCCTGTGGACGCCCTGCTTCCCCTCGTTACCCTGGATACCTTGCTTGGTTGAGCCAGGACGGACCTTGGGGCCTGTGCCTCCTGGGACCCCAGGTCACCCTGCCCTGCAGAAGGTTCTGGGTCCCTGGAGTCCGTGATGGGCAGCAAGGGTGCCGAGCGGGCTCGTGGTTGGCCCAGGGACGCTTGGTGCTGGCGCCTGGCAGGAGGGAGCGAGGTCACCCTGGAGCTGACCCTGCCGAGCGAGGCCACATCACTGGGGTCAGCTTGCTGGGCGTCAGGGGGGCTGCAGGCCCTGGAGGAGGACGAGGAAGTCTCCGGGGACAGAGACACCTTGGAGTTGTAGCTGCTGCTGGGGTCCAGGCTAGACTGGAGAAAGGCGACCCGGTCACCCAGGGACCCCCTGCCAGCGCCCACCCACCCAGGCCTAGGAACTGCTCCAGGGTCGGCACTGGAGTGCCCGGGGCCACTCCCCCCCAGGCCTGTCTTCCCACCATTAGCACATCGGGCCTGCTGGACAAGAGGACCCTGGAGGCGTGGATGCTGCCTGAGGGCCAGGCAGCCCGTCCTCGCGCCCCGGGGTTCCGTGGAGGGCACCCACCTCCGAGGCTGCCTGGGCGACGAGGTGCCGCACGGCGTCCCGCCCGGCCCACAGCTGCCTCAGGAGCTGCAGGCTGAGCCGCCGCAGCCGCGCCAGCTCCTCTGTCTCCACCATGCCGGGCTCGGGCGCCCACAGCCAGCGTGGCTGCTCTGGGGGCCACAGCACGTCCTCAGCGCCGGACCCCGGGCCCAGCTCCTCCTCCTGAAGTGGCGAGAACAGGACAGGGGGCTGAGGAGGAGTCCCCGGCGCCAGGCGCTGCAATCAAAGCCCCAGACGCTCTTCAACTGTGAGGTCTGGGCTCAGTTACTACGGAAGCCGTCACTGCCTGGGCCCCTCACCTGCCTCACCAGGCTGGGACCCTCAGCACCGTGCCTGGCCCCTGGCTGGCACTGGATCCACCACGGCCAACACGGCCAGGGTACGTCCCCGTATCTGCCGAGAGAGCAAGTCCCGCCGCACAACCTTAACCGTGACCTTGGCCTGGGCGAAGCTTCCCAGCTGGTGGGTGCCATACCCCTCGGGCCTCTCCCGGCTGCCCACTCGCCTCCTTCTCTTTCCATCCAAGAAACAACCAAGCTCCAGAAAGGGCCAAGTCACGTACCCCGAGCCCCTCGGCCAGCAAGGGGCAGAGCCGATGCGCGGCTCCAGGTCCCATGGTCCGGACCCACTCCTCCCTCCCAGCCTCGGGCCCCAAGCGGTCCAAACGCCCGAGGCCCAGATTTACAACCCACCCCCCGCAGCACGCGCCCCTCCGCCTGACCCCGGTGCGCTCGGCCCTCCCGTCGTCGGGAGCCTGGACACGCGCGGGGCCTCCCCGCAGACGGCAGCGGCGCGGTGGGCAGCGGGCTCCACACACACACACACACACACACACACACGGGGTGCGGGCAGAGCGGGCGGCTCTGCAGGTGCAGCCCGGGAGGCCCAGCGGCCCGGCCCCGGCCGCAGCGTCGCCGTTTGCGCCAGGGGCCCAGGGCACGGCCCGCACCGCCCTCCTCCGGCTCCGGCCGCGCCGCGAGGTTGCACTGCGAAGGCGATGCCCCAGGCGGCCTCCCGTCCCTGCCCATCGAGCCCTTCGCGCAGACGCACCGTGGGCCCCGGGCCGAACCCCTCCTACCGCGCTCGGCCTCGCGGGCCCCGCACTCACCACGCCTGCGAACGCCCGAGCGTTGCCCCGAGCTCGGCCCCGCCCCGCGCGCGACGCACGGCGTGGAGGCGGGGCCTCGTCTGGCCGCCCTGATTGGTCAGATGTGAGCCGCTGACAGGACGCCCAGGCGAGCGTTACTCCGCGACTGTTTCAACGTGGAGGCGGGCCAACAGCGGAGCTCCGTAGCTGATTGGTGGACTTGCGAGCCTATTGGAGGATGAGTTTTCGGAACGGGGCGGGGCTCCGTGAGATAGGCTGTGATTGGTCAGGCGCGGAGCCGGGGTCCACGCAGGGTCCGGCGGCCGCAGATTCAGAGTGTGTGGCGGACGCCGGCTGTCTCCGCGGTTGTTGGAAGTCAGGGGCTGCGGCGCGGGGCGGGTGGCCGCGGGTACCCCTCGATGCTGCTGTGGTCCACGGAATCGAGTGCCCGCGCTGTACCAGAGTCCCGGTGTACTAGACACTGATTGATTGATTGATTGATTGAGCAGAGTTAGGGAGAGACAGATGACTACAACGGCCGGAGCCGGGCCCATCTAAAGCCAGGAGCCTCCTCCAGGTCTCCCACGTGGGCACAGGGGCCTAAGCACTTGCGCCATCTTCCACCGCTTTCCCCCACAGCAGAGAGCTGGATCAGAAGTGGAGCAGCTGGGACTCGAACCCGCGTCTATATGGGATGTCGGGGCCACAGGTGGAGGATTAGCCCACCACGCCACCGCGCTGACGCTGCAAAAATTTCTTTGACGACCAAGAGCACAACTCATAAAAGGAAAAAATGGTAAGCAATATCACAATTAGTAACTTACTCTCTGAAAGACATTGTTTAGAGAATTGGAAGACCACAAGACTGGATAAAATATTTGCAAATCTCATTACCAAAAAAGAATCTATATCCAGATTATCTGAGGAACTCCCAGAAACTCATAGGAAAACGGCGCGGTTCTCTAGATCAGTGTAAGCATTGCACAGACTTTTCCCCAAAGAAGATGAGCAGGAGTCGGAGACGCACCTGCCACGCAGGCCGGCATGCTCCACGCAGCTTCATTTTCTTTTTCAAAGATTGATTGATTGATTGATTTCAAAGGAAGAGTAGCAGAGAAAGGTATCGATCTTCATCTGCTGCTTCTCTCCCCAGATGGCCGCAACAGCCAGGTCTGGGCCAGGCTGATGCCGGGAGCCGGGAGCCCCATCCAGGTCTCCCAGGTGGTGGAAGGCCTAGGCGTTCAGGCCAACATCCGCCGCTTTCCCTGCATTAGCAGGGGCTGGATTGGAGCACCTGGGGCCAGAACGGAGCAGCCAGAACTAGAACTGGCACTCCAGTATGGGAGGCTGGCGTCCCCGCGGCAGGCCGACCTGCCCCTGGATGAGCCATGCTCATCTCCCACAACCCCACAGCTCCGTCTTGCATCCCAGGCCTCCTACGGAATCTCCTCGTGCTCTGGGATCCATTCCCTAGGCAAGGGTGAGCTAAGACCACAGGGAGCGCCCACTGCCGTCCTACTGACCTGTCTGTACTGTGGTGTAGAAAACAGGAGACTCGCTGTCCCCAGTGTTGGCAAGGACGGGGCGAGGCCGGAACCCGCACGGACTCCTGGCAGGCATGCAGACGGTGCTGGCACCTTGGGAAACCGCTCGGCGGTATTTTTAAAAGTTCACCATAGGCCGGCCGGCGCCGCGGCTCACTAGGCTAATCCTCCGCCTTGCAGCGCCGGCACACCGGGTTCTAGTCCCGGTCGGGGCGCCGGATTCTGTCCCGGTTGCCCCTCTTCCAGGCCAGCTCTCTGCTGTGGCCAGGGAGTGCAGTGGAGGATGGCCCAAGTGCTTGGGCCCTGCACCCCATGGGAGACCAGGAGAAGCACCTGGCTCCTGCCATCGGATCAGCGCGGTGCACCGGCCACGGCGGCCATTGGAGAGTGAACCAACGGCAAAGGAAGACCTTTCTCTCTCTGTCAAAAAAAAAAAAAAAAAAGTTCACCATAAAGCCTTAGGGCCCAGCAGTCCCAGCCCCAGGGAAAGTGAGAACAGGCGCGGGGCTCCGGGCAGCGTTTGAAAGTCCTGCTTGGGACACCAGCACGCACGCGGGGGCCTGGCTCCATGTCCGCTCCATTCCTAACCCAGCTTCCTGCCAGCGAGCGTCGTGGGAGGCTCAGTACTTGGGTCCCTGCCTCTTACTGTGGAGACCCGGCTAGCGTTCTGGGCTCCCGGCTTTGGCCTAGCCCAGCTCTGGCTGCTGCAGGCATCTTGGGAGTGAACCGGGGACAGAAGACCTCTGTGTCTGCCTCTCAAATAAAATGTGAGGGAATAAAAAAAAAAAATGTTTAAGTGAAGACAGGCTCACACAGAGCCTGGTTCACAAATGTTCCCAGCAGCTTTACTCCCAACAGCTCCCCCAGCCGGCAACAATCGGAACACCCACCACCTCCTAAGGGATCCCACAGTGTGGCCCGTCCTCACAGGGGCACTCTGCGGCGGCATGCGGTACTGACACCTGCTGCCCCGTGGGCGAGCCTCAGACACCTGCTACGGGAACAGCAGAGACGCCCCAGACAAACGGGGGCAGAGGGCGACACGTGGGTCCTCGGGGGCTAGGGTGGGGACCGAGTTACTGCGTCCAGCATGAGGGAGCCCTCGCACAGGGCTGTGGCACAGCTGCACGACTTTGTCAGTTTACTAAAACAGCTGAATCGTGTGCTTATGAGTGGTGACTTGGGGTATGAAAATGACACCTCAATAAAGCTGTATTTTTTTTTAAGTTAAACACGCCCACATCCTGTGATCCAGTCAGCCTATTTGTGGGCCTTTATAAAGCTAAGGGGAAAGCGTCGGTTGATTTTGTGTGGCCTGCGTCCCCTGTTGCACGTCCCAGCTCCTCTGCTCTGACCCAGCTTCCTGCTAATGCACACCCTGGGAGGCAGCAGATAACGGCCTCAGTGCTTGGGCCCTGCCACCCCTGGGAGGCCCGGAGGGAGCTCTGGCCTCAGCCTAACTCCAGCTGTTGTGGGCATCGGGAGAGTGACCAGTGGAAGGGCTCTCTCTCTCCTCTCTCTCCTTCTCTCTCCCTCTTTCTCTCTCTCTCTCCCCATGTCTTCTGTCGCTCTGCCTCTCAAATCAATCAATAAAACTTTCAAAAAAAAAAAGATTTATAATAAAAAGAAAACAACTAGAAGTGTAAGAAATTATCCGTACAGAGCCGGGATGTGCGTCCCCAGCAGGTGGATTTGAGTCTCGAGGCTATCCAGAGGTGGTGGCTTCATCAAAAGGCGGCCCGGACCCGATGCCCTTGAACAACCCCCGAGCGAAGCACCCTCCGGCCCTGCTGGGAAAGTCGCAGTCACCTGCGGGCTGCCGCCTTGCTCCGTCCTACCTGCCTGCTGCCTGCAGTCCACACAGCAGCCCAGAGCCTCGTGCAGAGGCAAGTCAGCTACGTCACGCCTCTGCTCAAGTCCCCAAGTCATCCACCTCGCTCACAGAAAAGGCCGAAGTCCTGCCCTTGGCTGCAGGACACTGAGTCCACCCCCACTTCCGTCCACAAGGAACTGTTCTCTCCATCCCTCGCTGTGCTCTGACCACACCTGTCCCATTTTGCTTCTCAGGGCCGCTCCACACGCTCTCACCTCAGGGCCTTTGCATATGTGGTTGCCTCTGCCTAGAAAGCCCCACCCAGGTGGCTCATGACATCATTCCCACTTCCTCATTTGTTTCTTCAAATATCTTCCCAGGGAGGGCCCCTCCAAGCACACTATTGTTACACTGCCCACATTTTTTTAAAGATTTATTTATTTATTTGAAAGGCAGAGTTACAGAGAGAGGGAGCCAGAGACAGAGTTCTTCCATCCAATGGTTCACTCCCCAAATGGCCGCAATGGCCAGGGTTGGGCCAAGCCGAAGGAGCCAGGAGCTTCTTCCGGGTCTCCCACGTGGGCGCAGGGGCCCAAGCCCTTGGATCCTCTTCTGCTGCTCTCCCAGGGCGTCAGCAGGGAGCTGGATGGGAAGGGAAGCAGTTGGGACACAAAGCAGCAGCCATATGGGATGCTGGGATTGCAGGCCAGCACCAGCCCCACATCTTCCTTTTTTACCCGGTTCATGTCTGCCTCACCCACAGAGAGTCCATACAGGCAGAGACTTCTGGGGCCAGCGCTGTGGCAGAGCGGGTAAAGCCACTGCCGGTTCGAATCCTGGCTACACCACTTCTGATCCAGCTCCCTGCTAATGATCTGGGAAAAAAGATGGTCCAAGTCCTTGGGACCCTGCACCTGTGCGGGAGATGCAGAAGAAGCTCCTGGTTCCTGGTTTCAGATTGGCCCAGCTCTGACCGTTGCAGTCATTTGGGGAGTGAACGAACCATTGGATGGAAGACCCTCCCCCCACAGCCCTGCCTCTCTGTAACTCAGCCTTTCTAATAAAGTAAGTAAATCTTTAAAAAAAAAAAAAAAAGGCAGAGCCCTTCTGTCTGCTGTGTTCACATCTGTATCTCCAGCAGCCTGGAACTGTGCCTAGCACTTGTGAGGCGCTTGGAGATTTTGCTGAATTACAGGCTGGGCTCTTGCGTGCACGGTCCACACGTGTGACTGGGAGCTAAACGCTCAGTAACAGCTGGTTGTTCTTATCTCAAGTCTGGGTCTAACTCAGAGTCGGAAAACCGCGCCTGCGAGGACAGAGTGAGCCAGCCGACGTCTGCCACGAGGGCCCCTGTCAGGAGGAAGCTTGCAGAACCCGGGCTCTCCCCCTCCCCAGCGCGTGCAACAGTGGAACATTCCCAGCTCCGGACTCTGATGAATAACGTCACAGACATGATAACTGCAGGACGGAAACCCCCGCCTTCCGCGTTTCCCAGAACTCCCAGGGACAGCTGAGGCAGTCTGAGCAGCCAGAGAGGAGCCTGGCCGTGACGGGGAGGAGGTCACGGGTGCCGCAGTGAGCTGCGGGGTGCGGCCCCGAGCAGGAGGGGGACAGCAGTCAAGTGCGTTGTAAGCAGCATCTTGCTAAGACCGGAAACTACTCATGCATTGCAGAAAACTGGCAACTCCTTTAAAAAAAAAAAAACTTCTTATTTCACTTATCCATGGTCGTGTGTCCTACATGACAGTGCATTTATAACTCTAGGTCAGGGTAAGAAGTGAGTTTGAGGGGCCGGCGCTGTGACACAGTGGGTTAACACCCTGGCCTGAAGCACCAGCATCCCATATGGCCGCCAGTTCAAAACCCGGCTGCTCCACTTTCAATCCAGCTCTCTGCTATGGCCTGGGAAAGCAGTAGAAGATGGCCCAAGTGCTGGGGCCCCTGCACTCGTGTGGGAAACCCAGAAGAAGCTCCTGGCTCCTGGCTTCGGATCAGCTCAGCTCCAGCTGATTGGGGAGTGAACCAGCAGATAGACCTCTCTCTCTCCCTGCCTCTCCTTTCTCTGTGTAACTGACTTTCAAATAAATAAATCAATCTTAAAAAAAAAAAAAAAGTGAGCTTGAAGGGGTGTGTTCTGGTGTAGCGGGCTAAGCTGCCGCCTGGGATGCCGGCATCCCACCAAGTGCCTGCTACTCTGCTTGCCAGCCAGCTTCCTGGGAGGCGCAGGTCACAGCCCAAGTACCTGAGTCCCTGCCACTTACACAGGAGACCCCCGGATGGTGCTCCTGGCTTCAGCCTGGCCCAGCTCCAGCTGTTGGCATGGGGGGGGGGGGGGAGTAAACCGGTAGATAGAAGCACTCTTTCAGATATATACTTTTTTAAAGGTATATATATATTTAAAGATTTATTTATTTGAAAGTCATAGTTACGCAGGGAGAGGAGAGGCAGAGAGAGAGAGGTCTTCCACCCGATGGTTCACTCCCCAAATGGCTGCAACTGCCGGAGCTGCGCTGATCCAAAGCCAGGATCCAGGAGCTTCTTCCGGGTCTCCCACATGGGTGCAAGGGCCCAAGGACTTGGGCCATCTTCTGTTGCTTTCCCAGGCCACATCAGAGAGCTGGATCGGAAGTAGAGCAGCCTGGACTTGAATCAGCACCCAAATGTGGATGGTGGCACTGCAGGTGGCGGCTTTACCCACTTATGCCACAGCGCCAGCCCCTCAAATACATGCTTTTTAAAAAGGTTAAGTTTGAAGGTCAGTGCCATGGCTCACTAGGCTAATCCTCCACCTGAGGCGCCGGCACCCCGGGTTCTAGTCCCAGTTGGGGCGCCCGATTCTGTCCCGGTTGCTCCTCTTCCAGTCCAGCTCTCTGCTGTGGCCCGGGAGGGCAGTGGAGGATGGCCCAAGTGCTTGGGCCCTGCACCCGCATGGGAGACCAGGAGGAAACACCTGGCTCCTGGCTTTGGATCGGCGCAGCACCGGCTGTAACAGCCACTTTGGGGGTGAACCAACGGAAGGAAGACCTTTCTCTCTCTAATTCTGCCTGTCCAAAAAAGTAAGTAAGTTTGAAAGTCACAGGAGTTGGGGAAATTAAGTCATGGGCTCCACCCCCTTCCACCCCAGCTGCCGAGTTGAGCCAGTCCTAACGTCTCTGAGCCTCATCTCCACACAGGCTGTGCACGCTGGTTAGTGAACACACAGTCCCAGCGCTATGCCTGCCCAGGTTTCCAGTGGCGTTGTTAGTTCTGTCCCTGAAAGGCAGAGGGCAGAACAGGGCATGGGCTATGCTAGGGCAGGGCTCTCGTTCAAGTTTTCCCTGTGGTCCGGTTCTGCATCACAGTCGTCTGGATGCCTGGCAGCTATCACTAAGCAAAACTCTGAGCACGTGTTCCAACAGGCATCACAAGGAGGGGTCTCCTAGCTGTTCAGTGCTGGCCGCCAGGAAAAATGGGACTGTCACAGACACTCGGGGACGTGGCCTGGGAACCTGGGAGGAGCAGCTGGCTGCCGTCAGCTACACCACAGGGCCTCTGAAACGGGTGTGCGGGGACAGAGAAACTATCACACCCTGGCCCACGCCTGAGGGCCCTGCAGAGAAGAGAGAAGGAAAAGCAAAGTTCGCAGCAGATCCTCCGGGGGCAGCTGGGCGGCCCGGCCGAGTCGTGCCAAGTGAAAGCTGGTTTGCAGTTACAACGCGGCAAAGAAATCTCTCTGGAGCTCCGGGCCTTAAAGACCAGTGACGTCCCTTGTTCTGCACATCTGATTCTCTCCGTGACTGAGGAGCCGCCCACGAGCAAGGCGCGGTGGGAACTCCCCAGAAACAAAGCCACCGTCACCTCCAAGCCCAGGAGTCTGCCCGAACCTCGAACTGACGGGAAGAGGTCTGATGGAAGGTTTCCAACTAGGTTTTATTTTAGGTTCCAATATTATGAGCAATGATACAGGAGTAATTCAGGCAAGTACACTGGAGAGGAATCACTGTGTGGGGGCCGCCTCGCACTCCAGCAAACGAACAGACAACAGAGAACAAAGGTAGCAGCATCGAAGTAAAGTGCTTCCGGCCACGTCTTTCTGAAAGGGTGGATCTCAGTGGCCCGGATTTGGCTTGTGTAAGAAGCTTCAGATTTCATTCATTCCCCAGGGGCTATGTTGAAAAAAATTCATGTTTATTCTAAATAACTTTTTCAAAAAGAGCACAAAATTCATTGGAATTGTGTGATACTGATTTTCCTGACATGGTGTGAGCTGACCCCACCCACCCAGGCCTGGCCCCGCTCCAAACCCCATCCCATCACCCGTCACCCTTGACAAAGTCCATCTCTCAGGCCGCAGGCCAAGGCAGACCCAGCATCTGAGGACAAGAGGGGATGCAGACATCACCTGCACGGAGGCCACCAACTCACTTCCCCGAGATGGACGCTGCCGGGACACGGCCAGCACGACACAACCAGCCGGGCCTGCCCTGCCTGGGAGCCCGATCCGGCTTCTCCCAGGCACTTAACCCCCTAGGCTGATGAAGACAACAAACACTTGCCAGGTCGGCGTGAGGCTCTGGGCGGCGGGGAGGTGGGGCAGGGGGTGCTGTTTCCCTGTTTCCTGGCCACCTGCAGAGCCTGGCACGGGAGAGTCCAGAGCACTGTGGCCAAGGAGGGGTGGGCAGTGCCTCGCAGGGCTGTAGCAGGGTGCAGTGAAGTTGGTGGGACTGGGGCCCAGGCCTGGGAACGCCTCACACAGCAAGGTCCATCGGGGTTCCTGTTTGTCCATTCCAGCGTCCAGCCAACCCAGGCAGGGCTCCCCTCAGCCTGCCACCAGGGTGCTCACCTTCCCCCACCTCCCTCCCACTACGTTCTTTAACCACCTGGACAGGCCAGCTTTCTCCAGGACCACACGGGCCGAGGGCTGAAAGCAGAGCAAGGGACATGTATCCCTCCTGGTCACGTGATGACCCACCCCCCACCCCACGGCACCACATGCATCCCACATCCTCCACGTCCCCCTCCTCAGCCCTGCACGTCCCTCCCTCCTCTGGGGTGCTGGGCCTGCCTCTGTTTTGAGGTCCTAAGACCAGCAGAAGAGTGGCAAACGGGAGGACGCACGGCGGCTGGAGGACCAAACCCAGCCGAGCCGCATGGCCTTCTCGATGGTTCCCGAGGCTTCTGGGGAGACCGCCCAGCGCCCCAGTGCAGCCTCCCTGCCGGCATGCTGGGGCACGAGGAGGGCAGGGGTGCAGGGCCACAGGGAGCTGAGGGTGTCTGCCTAACACGTGCCAGGTCCGGTCAGTCACCCTGAGTCGCTGACATCTGAGACCGCATCAAGTCACCAACTGATGCTCAGTCAGGTGAGGCTGACAAAGCGGACAGGGGCCCTGGCGCCCCGGCCCACGCGTGCCCGGCGTGGTCAGGTCTCCACGGGGTGGGGGATGGGCAGATCCTCCTGCAGAGCAGGCAGAGGGGAAATGACTAGTGCTGAGGGCTCGGGACAGTGGACACAGGGGTGTTTCATTAGGCAGTGGCAGGGACCAGAGCTGCACGCGTCCCCGGGGCCCCGGGAGCTGCGGACTGGCGGCCCGCCCTTCTCTGCGAGGCCCCGCTCCGCGGACTGGCGGCCCCGCCCTTCTCTGCGAGGCCCGCTCCGCGCTGCCCACTATCTGCTGGGCTGCAGGTACTGGTGCGTGAACATGTTCAGCTCGCTGTCCAACCAACCAGCCTTATTCCTGCAAAGAAACGGTTCGTTTGCAACACCGAGCCACTCCCCAAGGCCTGTGACGGGGTCCTCAATCAGCCTCCCTTACCCCGCCTACTTCGTGATGGCCAGGAGGGCACTAACGTTGCCAGGTCCCGTGCTCCGGGCTCTCCTGACCCTCGGAGCCGGGGTCTGCTTCCGGGGGCACTGCCTACCGCACTGCTGGGAGCTGTGTCGCCCCGCTGTCAGGCCAGGGCTTGGGGGCTGACACGTGGCCCTGCCAGGCTCAGCCGTGTCCCCAAGGCTGACAAGCAGCAGCCTGAGGGTCCCCAGTGGGGAGCAGCTGTCCCAGGGTGGGGCCGGGGTGGAGCACATCTGCACAGGCCGGGCACGAAGCGCGGGGTCCGCACATGACGTCACCACGGGCCGAGGACTTTAGCAGAGCCCTCCCACCAGCAGCTCATGAAGTCTGGCTCCCACTACTCAGATAACAACACTGACACAGGAGAGCTGAGCAGGACCAGACCCCAGGGCTCCTGTCTCACACTGGCACCCCCGCTCGCAAGCTGCTGAGGGAACTCCAGGCTCGGGAGATGGTTCAATCCTGCTTCTGCCAGTCCAGCCGGAAACCAGCGTCCCCATGGGGAAACGGTGCTACTGCCCCTTCCTGGGCTCTGAGAGGGACTCAGTGGAACGTGGGGACAGGGCCAGCCCACTGCCAGGAGACTCACACGCAGGGTGTCAGGCCACCGAGCACAGGGGGCCTCGAGTCCTAGCCGGGCCATTTCCTAAGGGACTCTGGACAAGCTACCCATCTTCCTACTTAGGAAGCGGAGTTGACCGAGCTCACGGGACGGGCAGGGCGGAGCGGAGCAGCGCGTAAGTGCCTGAGGCGCTCCCTGCAGAACAGGGCCTGTGAGCTGCAGCCTCATGGGGGCGGGCCGCCTGCTGCAGTGACGTCAGCAGGTGCCGGGGCAGTGAGAACCTTCAGGGCCGGTCCTCATGCCCAGCAGGGCCTGGAAACATCTAACGCAAGTGAGCAAATCCTCGCCAGAGACGCCCGCGTCCGTGCCCCGGGAGGACGCAGCAGGGCCGCCCGCGTCCGTGCCCCGGGAGGACGGCAGCAGGGCCCCCCGTGTCCGTGCCCTGGGAGGACGGCAGCAGGGCCGCCCGTGTCCGTGCCCCGGGAGGTTGGCAGCAGGGCCGCCCGCGTCCGTGCCCCGGGAGGTCGGCAGCAGGGCCGCCCGCGTCCGTGCCCCGGGAGGACGGCAGCAGGGCCGCCCGCGTCCATGCCCCGGGAGGACGCAGCAGGGCCGCCCGCGTCCGTGCCCGGGGAGGACGGCAGCAGGGCCGCCGCTCGGCGCCCGGGCAGCCTCACCTGAGCAGTTTCGCTTTGCTCTGCAGTGAGTCGAGGACCTCGATTTTCTTGTTCATCGTGGCGATCTCCTGCTCCAGGTTCTCCCGCGTGACGTCGACTTGCTGGCATAGGTGAGCAAAGGTCCCAGACAGTTCCCTGGTGGAGACGGGAAGTCAACCGGGCACCCCTCTGTTTGCACAGGACGCCATCAGTGGCCAAACCCCCCAGAGCAGGCCAGCAGCTGGGCCTGCTCACCTCACTGACATGGCTGTGCCCTGCCGCTTCTGGGACGAATCCTAACTCCCGCCCCCCTGGCATCACCACGGTGTGGGAAGCCGCAGCCCTGAGCAGCACAGCCCGGCCGGGCACAGACAGCAGCACTCGGGTCCCGCCTCTGCTGCGGCTCAGCCCCCAACCGGAGTGCCACACAGCAGCACAAACAAGGACGCAGCCGCATCCCACTGACCGGAGACACCTGCAGGAACACGCTGCTACGTCCGTGGCCACGCCCTGCAGGGAACCTCTACAAACTCCTCCATCAGATCCCTCTTCGTCCCGTCCCTTCCTCCCCGGGGGACCAGCATCCTACTGCCCCAGCCCAGGCGTCCCTGAGGGGCCTCTCCCTGCTGATGGCCTCCAGGCCGGGCGGGGCACTCACTGCTGGACCTGGTGGCTGCAGTTGGAGCCCGTGTAGCTGATGATGAGCTGCAGCTTCTCACTGGCGTACTCCACAAACTGGCGCTTGAAGGCCCTCTCCTTGGCCTTGGTGGTCCAGGTGAGACGCTCGTAGACGTAGAGGAGGCCATAGAGCCCGAAGGAGAGGGCGATGAGCCGCCAGCCCACGGCCTTCCACACCTGCAGAGGCACACGGTCAGCCCAGCCAGCAGCTCTCTCTGACCCAGCCCTGTGCTCCCGGGCCCGTCCCTGCCAGGGCTGTCTCCAGAGCCCCAGCCACGGAGCCCCCCCCGGGCAGCTGGAAACGAGGGAAACCTGGTGTCGGCTCGGTGGCTGACACCAAGAGGAGGTGGGGCCCAGAGCCCGGGGCCAGGTAAGCAGAATTCTTGGGTGAGTGCTGGCGTGCTCTGAGCAACGCCGCCCTGAGGGCCCTGACGCTGCACCTCAAGCACGGGTTCCCCTGGTCTGGGGTGCACAGCACGGTTCACGGCAACCGGCTGGGGTCCGAGACCACAGGGCTCAGAGCTCCCAGTCGAGTGGCCACCGTGCGGGCTGCATGAGCTGAGCAGGCCCCTGCACGCCTGGTTCCTTGTTCACGTGACAGACACGCGGGCTCCGACCACTCACAGGACGCCCCGAGCATGTGACAGACACGCGGGCTCCGACCACTCACAGGACGCCCCGAGCACGTGACAGACATGCGGGCTCCGACCACTCACAGGACGCCCTGAGCACGTGACAGACACACGGGCTCTGATCATTCACAGATGCCCTGAGCACGTGACAGACATGCAGGGTCTGACCACTCACAGGACGCCCTGAGCACGTGACAGACACGCGGGCTCCGACCACTCACAGGATGCCCTGAGCACGTGACAGACACGCGGGCTCCGACCACTCACAGGATGCCCTGAGCACGTGACAGACACGCGGGCTCTGACCACTCACAGATGCCCTGAGCACGTGACAGACACGCGGGCTCCGACCACTCACAGGATGCCCTGAGCACATGACAGACATGCAGGGTCTGACCACTCACAGGACGCCCTGAGCACGTGACAGACACGCGGGCTCTGACCACTCACAGATGCCCTGAGCACGTGACAGACACGCAGGCTCCGATCACTCACAGATGCCCTGAGCACGTGACAGACACGCGGGCTCCGACCACTCACAGGACGCCCTGAGCACGTGACAGACACGCAGGGTCTGACCACTCACAGGACGCTCTGAGCAAAAGACGCTGCACGATGGTGGCACAACTGCCAAGCACCGCACCTCAGCCCACGGCCCTCTGCCGGGTCCCTGAGGACCAGGGAATGTGCCACCTGCAGTGCAGGGGCAGGGCATCTTGCTCTGCACCCCTCGTCCCACACACTGGGAGTGCCATGGCTCCACCACCCCAGTGTCCACAGTAAAGAGAACGTGCCCTCACCCCGGGGTGTGCATGACCCCGCAGCAGCCAGGGCGTCTTCAGCCCGAGGCAGGGGGAACCTCTCTGACAGAGGGCAGCCTGCTACCCAGGCCTTGACGGGGGTGGGGGGGACAGGGCCACAACGCAGAGCTGGAGAGCTGAGGGTCCACGAGCCAGCTGCAAAGTTCTGCTCTGGTCTCCCCAGCTGCAAGTGAGAAAGCCTCTCTTTCAAGCCTACTCCTCTCAAAAACCAAGTTGCCAAAACCTCAGGCCACTCCCCACCCCACCGTGTAGCACAGGCCCTACAGGGAAAGAACGAGGCCTTACAGTCAGATGGGGCCAGGGTTCAAATCCTAGCTGGGCATCCTTGACAAGCCACTGCCAATCTGCCCACGTGGGAAACAAGAAAGCTACAACCCAAGTGTCCCGCTGGCCGAGGGAGGCTTCGACGGGTCAGTAACTTCCCTGAGGGGCTCCGGCCACACAGCCGTCCACAACAGCCTGCCAAGACCTGCGAGGCCAGTGCAGGGCTCCCCAGGCCCACCCACCCACCCCTCTCCCCACCTGCCCAAGCAGGCCTTGCTACTGACCACGCCTCCAACAACCAGGATGCCCATGGAGGTCCTGGACGTCAGGGAGGCCAGGCCCGTAACCATGGAGACCATGAGCTCCTCCTGGGTGAGTGAGCCCTGTGGCAGTGGGGGCATGCTGGGGTTGGCTGGTGTCAGAGGCACAGGGCGCTGAACCTGGAGAGAGAAATGACAGAGGTGAGCAGAGTTTGCCGAGCCTCATTCGCGGTAACCCTTGGTGACCCTCAAGGCTGGGGAGCTGGGACAGGGACACACAGGGCGGCTCATCCCTTTCCGAAAGGCAAGAGGAGGGGAAATGAGCCCTGCAAGCAGCAGACGGGAGAGGAAGCTCTTGCCCCACACAGCAGCAGCCACGGCCACGCCTGCTCCCTTGAGCACGGTGCCCACTCTGTAGACCCCAAGGCCCTGTCCAGAGACGGGTGTGCACTGCGACACGCCTGGGGTGGGGAGCCTGGCTTGCCTGGTCGTTGTAGCCCATCAAGGCCCGGCGGCTGTTCTTGGGGCCCAGGAACCTATTCACCAGCATGGTCCACCCGAGGGAGAAGTGGAACTCGATGTCCTCCTGGAAGTCGGCACACAGCTTGTCACAGTTCAGGTCGTAGCTGAGGGAGAAGCACTGGCGAGGCACCAGCACGTCTACCTGGCTCCGCATGGATGCAGGAAGCAGGGGCTTCAAGCCGTCTGCCGGGACACAAACGGGGAGAGCCGGGTCACCGAGCCCTGCCGCGCCGGCGCCACGCCCCCAGGAACCAGGGCACCCAGGTCCCCCAGGAACCCCAGGAACCAGCGAGCTCCTGCCAAGGATGCAGCACAGCTCCGCACAGAAACCACAGCCCGAGCGAGGCTTGTGTGTTTATTTTGGTGCAAAGAAATTTTGAAATCCATGCAGGTTTTTTTGTAATACACATTTCCATGAACTTCGTAAGACATACTGTCTGCACAGATTTCTAAACATTTTACACCAAAATTAATCTGTGTTTTCATTCCATTTCCTACGAACTCTGCAGTACTCTCGTACAGAATGAATTCACAGGTGCCGGCGCTGTGGCACAGCGGGCTAGGGTACCACCCGCAACGTCAGCACCCCTCACGAGTGCCAGTGTGGGGGTTGGCGCTGTGGCATGGGCGGTTAATCCTCCACCTGCGGTGCCGGCATCCCATATGGGTGCCGGCTTGAGTTCTGACTATTCCACTTCCCATCCAGCTCTCTGCTGTGGCCTGGGAAAGCAGTGGAAGATGGCCCAAGTCCCTGGGCCCCTGCACCCATGTGGGAGACCCAGAAGAAGCTCCTGGCTCCTGGCTTCGGATCAGCTCAGCTCCAGCCCAGCTGCAGCTGTCACAGCCATTTGGGGAGGGAACCAGCAGATGGAAGACCTCTCTCTCTGTCTCTCCCTCTCTTTGTCTGTAACTCTGCTTTTCAAATAAATAAATTTAAAAAAAATTTCCAGTGTTTTTGAACTTGCCAGTTCAAGTCTCGGGGCTGCTCCACTTCTGACCCCGTTTGCTGCTAATGTGCCTGGAAAAGCAGCCGCAGATGACCCGAGTGCTCGGACCAGGCCACCCACATGGGAGACTAGGATGGAGTTCCTGGCTCCTGGCTTTAATCTGGCATAACCTTGGCCATTGCAGCCACTGGGGAGTGAACCAGCAGACAAGGATCTCTCTCTCCCTAACTTTGAAATAAATAAATAAATCTTAAAAAAAAAAAAATTCACAAGACGCACACCCGAACTCAAAGGCACAGCGCTGAATCCTTACCAGAGATGACAGATAGGAAACAGCCAGCATCTCTTTGGCCTGGCCTCCCCCTCTGACCTCCGGGCAGTCCCCGAGCCCCGGGCCCCACACTCTCCGCACGCTAACCTATCATGTCCTGCTGCATGGTCTGCAGGGAGCTGGTGATGGCCGTGGAGCAGCGGTCAGACATGTTCCGGCCCAGGCCTTCCTCTATATGGCGATGAAGCTCCTGCAGGCAGAAGGGCGGGGCTAGGAGGAGCAGCACCCCTGCCCTCAGGGTTGCTCCCGCCCGCACCGTCAGGTGGCCGCAGAGGCTGGGGAGCACCAGTCTTGTGTCCCCGACTGCCGCTTCCACTTCCATGCTCTGCGTGGTGACTCCACCCAACAGCAAAGGTTGCAGGGGGAGGGGACCCGCCAGGAGCACCTGCTGCTTCGTGACTCACGTTCTTATAAACCTTGAGGACCACTGGGGAAGGGTGGAAATCCATCTGGTACTCGTCCACCAGCACGGACAGGCGCCTGATCTCCTCCGCCATGGCGGTGGACACCTGCAGAGAGGAAGTGTGCAGTCAGAGTGGCCCCATCCTGCCGCGCCAGGAGACTCCCACAGCCTTCCCGCAGCCACTGGTCTCCCTGGCTGCTCTGTGGAAGACCGGCTGTGCAGACACCCGTCTGAGAAGGGGAACAAGAGGCCCAGTGGCGGGGGACTTGCCCAGGAACCCAAGGGGACGTTCCATGTTCTCGAATCAGAGCCACCACTTCCTTCTGGAAAACTGAGAAGGCTCCAAGACGAGGACGTGTGACGATCTGTTGCCAGCACCCTGTGGACTCTCCGCACAATGCAACCTCTCCGAAGCACTTCCTCTGCGTCTCTCACCTGCCTTTCCACTTCCTCAGTAATCTGCTTGATTCGCAGTCGGTAGTCCTGAGCCAAGAGCTCCAGCTGCTTGTCGATGAACCTCAGCCGGTCTTGCCGCTCCTCACGCATCTCCAGGCAGTAAACCCTGCAGACAGAGGACTCGTTAGAGGAGCTGCCTTCCCACCTGAGTAAGCAAAGCAGCAAGCCGGATCAGGGCACACAGGCAAGGGTCTCCTCCCTCCACTGGGCCCGAGCAAGGATTCACCCACACATCCGGCACACGGCCTTCCCCTTCCCAGACAGGAGGGAGACACCGCAGCGACCACTGCACTTCGCGGTCTTGCACTTGCGGGAAGATGTGGGAGGGACAGTGGGGAGGTGCTGAAGGGGCTTTAGGACAAGTTCCAGAGCTCAACCTCACTAGCGCTCACGACAACGATAAAAAGCAGCACTACTTTCCCCCGGGAAGTCTGGCCCAAGTGACCACGTCTGAAGTTCCGGCGAGAGCTAAGGAAATGGGAGTTCCCACAGGGAGCGCCTCTGGGAGGAGGAACGGGGCACAGCTGTGGTGGAGAGCAGCAAAGTAAAACCCAAAAGGCTGACTCTCCACCCTAGAGCAGCTGCCCTGAGGCCTGACTCCCGCAGGGTCCACGCAGAGCAGCTGCCCCGAGGCCTGACTCCCGCAGGGTCCACGCAGCTGCACAGGGGGTGCACAGGCAGCTGCCCGCTGCAGTGGGGTGTGTGAAGGCAGAGAGAGCAGAAACAACCCAGAAGAAAATGCCCCCCATCCCATACATGGGACACCTGCAAAAACTTAAAGTGAACAGTAAATATACAGCTTACGGTAATCTTACAACTGTGTCAATTTTGCTGAAATGTTCCCAGAACGTGGAACCTTGGGACTAATTAATATTCATAAACTCAAAACCAGGAAGCCTGGCAAAAATAACCAAGTCGTTGACCAACCAGGACCAAGGAGAAAACGGGTGAGAAGAGCCAGTGCAGCGACCTGCCCAGAGCGACCCCCGACAGAGCGAGGAGGCACCGCCACCCGTCGTCCAGGACACAGCTCGAGACGGCTGGGAGAGTGCGGACCCTGACGCTGTATCCGAGCGAACCTTCGACTCTTCCCGCTTCTGTTTACTTAAAACAATCAGATTCCAGCAGGTCCATCTTAGTGACACAGCGAGCTGGCGCCTTTCAAAGGACTGCCTATGGTTGAGTCACTTAGAAATCTTATTTTCTTATAACTGAAGTGCAGTAAAATAAGTGTTTGCTCATACCAAAAAAAAATTTTTTTCTGGAGCGTGTGGCGGCCGGCACTGCGGCATGGCCGGCTAAGCCACACCTGCAACACGGCTTCCACGTGTGCCGGCTTGCGTCCCAGCTGCTCTGCTCCCATCCAGCTCCCTGCTAATGCGCCTGGGAAAGCAATGGAGACGTCCAAGTGCAGGGGACCCGCGCCACCCACGTGGGAGACCTCAGTGCCAGGCTCAGCCCCACCCTTGTGGTCATCTGGGGAGTGAGCCAGCAGATGGAAGACCTTTCTCTCTGCTTTTCTCTCTCCTTCTCTATCACTCCACCTTTCAAGTAAGAAAAAAAAAATGTTTAAAAAAAAAAAAAAAAGAGTACTTTTTCAGTGGGAGGTGAGACTGCTATAACTTAATATAAAGCAAACATTGTCAATTCTGGTTGGAAGAAGCAAGTGTACTATATCATTCTCTGTTATTTGCTGTATTTTAAGTTTCTCGTAAAAATGTTGGCTTCACAACACGTGTCCAGGCTCTGAGAAGAGCCGCCGCGCTCTACAGGTGCAGACTGAGGTCTCTGACACCCACGACTGTGCTGCACAGGCCACGGGGCCCAGGCACCCAGCCGCCCTCCTCGCCAGGCCGTTCATGTGGCTCTAAGGCGCTCTGGCAGCTGGGGAAGGGCCTTGGACGGGAGCTCAGGGACTGCGCTTTGCCAGCCGGGCACGGCCTGGCGGCCTGGGCTGGGGCAGAGGGCACCACCTCTCGGCAGCCCTCTCTGCCCGTCCGCAGCCTTGGGCTCTTACCGCTGCTCCTGAGCCGCGATGTGCAGAGAGTCCATGATGAGACGCACGGCCTCCGCGATCTGCTTGGCCCGCACCGTGTGCTGCTCGAATTTGGTCTTCACCGCAGACTGAGAAATGCACTCCTGGAACAGGCAGAGGCACTGAGGGGGGTGGCGGCCGCCGGCGCCTGTAGCCAAGGGCCAGGCACTGAGGGAGGTGGGGGCCGCCAGCCTGTAGCCAAGGGCCAGGCACTGAGGGGGTGGGGGCTGCTGGCCTGTAGCCAAGGGCCAGGCACTGAGGAGGGTGGGGGCTGCTGGCCTGTAGCCAAGGGTCAGGCACTGAGGAGGGTGGGGGCCGCCAGCGCCTGTAGCCAAGGGCCAGGCACTGAGGGGGGTGGGGGCCGCCGGCCTGTAGCCAAGGGCCAGGCACTGAGGGGGGTGGGGGCCGCCGGCGCCTGTAGCCAAGGGCCAGGCACTGAGGGGGTGGGGGCCGCTGGCCTGTAGCCAAGGGCCAGGCACTGGGGGGGGGGGGGGGGGCGGCACCTGTAGCCAAGGGCCAGGCACTGAGGGGGGTGGGGGCCGCCGGCCTGTAGCCAAGGGCCAGGTTCTGCCTTTCACTGCCTGGACGCAGCAAGGGAGAGCTCAGAAGGCACAGGATTACCAGACACCAGCACCAAAGGACTCACCTCAAATCTCCTCTCAAAATTCTGAAACTCAAACATCCGCACTTGAAAGCCTTCAGCAAGAGCGCCCCCTGGGAGGAGAGTACGGCATCGGTGGGGAGATAAACAGGCCACGTGGAAACCACCCCGAAAGCCGCCGCCAGCAGGCACTTGGCTGGACACCGGCAGGACAGCCAAGACAGCCTCGCTCCAGGTCTTGCAGCTTCCTGTCCTTAGAGAGACTCTCTACCGACTGACTTGGCTGGAGCCCAGACCCTCAGACGTCAGGGAAGAGGAGGCTGTCTGTTCCCATAGTTACCTCCTTCGGGCATGCCCTGGGCCTTCTGGATCCTGGCATTGAGCACCTCCTTGGCAGACACAAAGAAGATGCGGTCCCCGGCCTGAGCGCGATCCACCACGCCCAGCTCGTCCACCAGGAAGCCGGTGCACCGCTCCATGTGCTGCCGCCGCACCTGGAGCCCAAACAGGCGAGTGTATGTGACCGGCTCTTCTGACGGAGCCGCAGCCTTCCCTGGACCGCCTCTCTAGAATACAGTGTAGTCACACAACTCGAGGTTCAAAGGCGCCAGGGTGCACACAGTGAGAGGTCTCCCACCACCGCTGCTCCCCAGCCCCGTGCTTGGGGGAACCAGTGTCCTCCCCGGGGGTTTCCTGGAACACGGCCTGCCAGATACTCTCCGTGTGCACAGCAGGAACCCGTGTACACAGCAGGGACCCGTGTACACAGCAGGAACCCGTGTACACAGCAGGAACCCGTGTACACAGCAGGAACCCGTGTACACAGCAGGGACGCTCCCACATTCCCCACCTGCCTCGCTGGGGGGCCCCGGAAGGAAAGGCACTCGCAGGGCAAGAAATCTAAGCCCGGGCTCGCGCTCTGACCAGCCGAGTCCTCCCTGGGCCTTAGACAGAAAGTCCCTCCTCGCTCCCACATCCTGGGGTCCCACTGAGAGCCGAGTGGAGACGCCCACCAAGCGTCAGGTGCTTCCAACAGATTTCACCCTCGGGACGCCCAGCTCACAGGGGAGGAGATGCGTCACCAGGAGGGCTAAGAAGCCCACCGCAGTCTCAACGCCCCGTGCAGGCCAGAACGTGGCCTCTGACCCGCAGGTGTGCGTACTTGATCGAGCAAAGCCATCACTGCTAATCTGTTGCCCTCTCTTTCTTTTCACGCTCATAAAGTGAGCTGTGACTGTCAGTGAGAACCAGCCATCTCTGCTCTTCTCGCCTGACGTCATCCTACGCGGCCCAGGTCAGTACTGAGAACCTATGAACAAAAGGAGCACCTGGCCCCAAACAGAGCCCACCACTGCGCTGGGGCTGCTTTCCCGACCTGGGGGAGAGCGCTGACTGAGGGACCCACCTAGGAAAGGGTGGGGGAGCGTTTCCAAAGCCAGCGGAGACCTGGGGAACACTTGGGGAATCTTTGGCAATGAAAGGAAGTCAGGGAAGTCAAACACCTGTGCCCGGGAGCGCAGGGAGCGGCCACCGGGGCCAGTGCTCACAGGGCCACAGCCCCCAGACTGCCCCGCGGCACCCACCTCCTCCATGTACTCGGGCTCTGAGGCAGATGCATCCCAGCGGTTGTTCAGGATGAAGATGTTGGGGCGGGACAGCCGCTCGCTGACCTTGTGGAAGAACTGCTTTTCCTAGACAAGGGGACGAGACCTCAGTGGAGGAGGGGCTGGGCCAGCCAAGGCCCCACCAGCTGCCGGCCCAGCCAGGGAGGTGTTACCGTCTGCATCAGGGTGGACTCCGAGTTGGCCACCAGCACAAACACGTCAGCGTCCAGGCAAAACTTGTCAATCCAGCTGTCCAGCTCTGTGGTGACATCGATGCCGGGGCTAAGGGCACAGAGGTAAGCCAGCACGGTCAGACGCAGCACCAGCCGTGTCCTTTCTGCTGGGGCACGCCAGGGGAGGGGGATCTGGCCCAGCCCTGGGTGGGGGGGTTACTTCCACGTCACATCGCCCCAGGGGGCCTGGAAGTGCACTCTTTAATATACCACCATTACTTCTGTGAAAACGGGGTAACTTGTCTTACTTTGGGGACGTAAGATTATAATGGAAGTTCTGTATTTGTATGAGTCGAGGTAGGCGCTATAATCCTGTATTGCTTGGTACAGTCACCGACTGCCCACAAAGCAGGGGCGAAGTGTTCCTTCAAGAGAAACAAAACCTCACGCCGACTCCCCTACCTCAGCCCCTCTGCAGTACCCACGTCAGGCCAACTCCCCTACCACACCCGCTCCCCAATACCCACCTCATGCTGACTCCCGCACCACGGTCCCCTCCGCAGTACCCACCTCACACCGACTCCCCCACCACGGCCCCCCCCTCCGCAGTACCTACCTCACGCTGAGCCCCCCCACCACACCCCCTCCCCAATACCCACCTCACGCCGACTCCCCTACCACGGCCCCCCCCTCTGCAGTACCTACCTCACGCTGACCCCCCCACCACACCCACTCCCCAGGACCCACCTCACGCCAACTCCCCCACCACACCCACTCCCCAATACCCACCTCACGCCGACTCCCCTACCACACCCGCTCCCTAATACCCACGTCACACCAACTCCCCTACCACACCCGCTCCCTAATACCCACCTCACGCCGACTCCCCTACCACGGCCCCCCCCCTTCACAGTACCCACCTCACGCTGACCCCCCCACCACACCCGCTCCCCAGGACCCACCTCATGCCGACTCCCCCACCATAGCCCCCTCCCCAGTACCCACCTCATACCGACTCCCCCACCATAGCCCCCTCCACAGTACCCACCTCACGCCGACTCCCCCACCACAGCCCCCTCTGCAGTACCCACCTCACGCCGACTCCCCCACCACAGCCCCCTCTGCAGTACCCACCTCACGCCGACTCCCCCACCACAGCCCCCTCCACAGTACCCACCTCACGCCGACTCCCCCACCATAGCCCCCTCTGCAGTACCCACCTCATGCCGACTCCCCCACCACAGCCCCCTCTGCAGTACCCACCTCACGCCGACTCCCCCACCATAGCCCCCTCCCCAGTACCCACCTCACGCCGACTCCCCCACTACGGCCCCCTCTGCAGTACCCACCTCACGCCGACTCCCCCACCACAGCCCTCTCTCCAGGACCCACCTCACACCAACTCCCCTACCACAGCCCCCTCCGCAGGACCCAGGAGCAGGGGCTGAGGTTCAGACCCTCCCCCATCTTGGGCACCCTCCCATCTCTCTGAGAGCCCCTCCCTGGACATCTGCAGGGCCCCTGGGTAGAAAAAGCACCCTCAGAGGAAGCCCACGAGGCAGGAGGGCCTGGCTGCACTGGCGACAGGCAGTGATACTTAAGTAGTGTGGGAACAGGGCCCGGGGCCTCCTGGGAAGGCCCGCCCCCTTACCTGTCCATCAGCACGAGGTCGTCCTTCAGAAGGGGGCACTTGGAGTTGGGCCACATGACGCTCACCAGGCTGCCGGCGTGCAGCTGCTCGTCCTGATGCAGGGCGTGGGCCAGCTGGTTCACGGTCTGACGGGCGGGAGGAGAGAGCGGCTGAGCGGGAGGCGCCCGGCCCAGGGGCCCCACGTGCCGCTGCCACGCAGCACAGCGCCGGCGCTGCCGCCCAGCCTCCCGGCCCCTGCTCTTCCATTTTACAGAGGCTGAGGGCTGCGAGGCGCCGGCAGAACCAACTTCGCTCAGTCCCCTTCTGAGCTTCTTCCCTGGATGTCACCCCGGAGCTCAGTCTGTTCTACACTGGCTAATTCTTTATAACCAAAATGAGCTGTGGCTTACACAGGATTGCAGCTGCCACTCAGAAAAGCCCACGTGGCCCCGTCAGAATCACAGAGCACAGGAACACCCAGCGTACAGCAGGCTCCCCTCCTCGGTGCAGAGGCCAGCTACAGGCCCTCTGGGCGCCCTCACTCCTGGTGCTCCACCTTCCTGACCCTCCCCAAAGCGCTCTTAACGTCCCCAGGAAAGCTGGTCTTGGGGTCGGCGCTGTGGCAACAGTTCGAATCCCAGCTGCTCCACTTCCAACCTAGCTCCCTGCTAATGCGCTTGGGAAAGCAGTGGAAGATGGCTCAAGAGTCTGCGCCCCTGCATCCGCATGGGAGACCTGGATGAAGCTCCTGGCTCCTGGCAGTTGTAGCCATTTGGGAAATGAATCGGCGGATGGAAAATCTGTCTCTCTCTCTCTCTCTCTGCCTCTCCCTCTCTGTAACTCTGTCTTTCATATAAATAAGTCCTTAAAAAAAAAAGCAAAGCAAAGCAAAGCAGGTCTCAAATGGTTTCCCACACTTCACCACAAGGAGGCGCTGTCCTCTCTCAGAGGCGGGGTCAGCCCTGTCGCAGGGGAAGCCAGCCCTGGCCGGCCTGAGCCCAGGCCCCCTCACCAGCAGACAGGCTGGGGGCCAGCAGGGCCCTCACCTTCACGCTCCTCTTCTCCTCGGAGCCCTCCGTGAGCAGGAAGGCCTCGTGGCCGTCTGTGCCCTCCACTCGCAGGAAGCAGTTGGTGGTGTGGCCGATGCCGGAGGGCAGCACTTTGTCCCACAGCATGGCGTTGATCACAGTGCTCTTCCCGTTGCTCGTCCTGCGGAGGCCGCGGCCGTCAGTGACCAGCAGGGAGGTCCGACACCCCGCCTCCAGCATTCACAGTCTGGATCCGGGCCCACAGCCGGCGCTCTGCTCGTAAAACCCCATGGACAACCCACCTGGGGCGGGCCTGCCATGACCCTGGCTCCGTAAGTGCCGCGAGGCCATTCTCGACCGGCACAAGGGTAGCACCCAGATGCAAACCTGCCCCTGAATGGCGCAGCTGCCTCTCAGCCTCACACCCGGGGACTGCCGGTCTGAAACCACTCGCTGGCCCCCAGGGTGTCTCCCTCGGCCTCGAGGACCTCAGCTAAACACCCCAGCGTCCTCCGCTTCCTCACAGGGCAGTTGCTGCTCTCTTCCCATCATGCCCCCCTCACCTGGCCAGCTCCAGGCTAACGGGAAGCTTCCCTTAGCGCTCTGACCTATCACATCCCTTTTCCAAATTCTGCCTCTTGAAAAGAGCTCAACTTCTGCGCTGGGTCTCAGAAAGTTCAGTCTGCGTCCGCACGGTCTCTCGGCCGAGCTAGGGCCTCCCAGCCCCGTCACTCACCGCAGACCTCCCCTGCTTGCCGGCCGGCTCACCTAACGGGGCCATACCTCCCAGGTCCGGATGCAGAAATGAGAGCCCAGAGGAGCTCCCACCTGAGGCCACACCTGAACCCCGGTCACTAGGGACAGCGACCACTCCTCAGGCTGAGACATCTTCTTTCCCTGCGTTGGGTTTTAATTTTCTTACCCGTGTCTAATAGACCTTGGGGTGTAAAAAGAAGGGCACCTGATGGCTGAAACTAGATAGCTCTTACAGGAAAACACAGGGGCGCTTCATGACATCAGACTTGGCAGTTATTTCTTGGATACGAAACCAAAAGCACTGGCAGAAACATATAAACAGAAAAACTGGGCTACACCAAAGTAAAAACACTTCTGAGCCCCCCAGGACGAGACCAATAGAGGGGGCCAGCGCTGTAGTGTAGGTTAAGCCACAGGTCATGCCGGCACCTCATGTAAGAGGACCAGCCTGAGTCCCTGCTGCGCCACTTCTGATCCAGCTCCCTGCTAAGGTCCCTGGGAAAGCAGCAGCAGATGGCGCAAGTGCTTGGGGCCCTGCACCCACATGGGAGACTAGATGGAGCTCCAGGCTCCTGCTGCAGCCTGGCCCAGCCCTGGCTCTTGTGGCCATTTGGGGAGTCAACCAGTGGATGGAAGACCTCTGTCTCTGTTTCTCTCTCTCTGACCCTCTTTCATCAAATAAAATAAAGCAAATCTTTTTTTTTTTAAGGGTGCTGGTTTAAGTCCTGACTACTCCACTTCTGATCCAGCTCTTTCCTATGGCCTGAGAAAGCAATGGAGGATGACCTAAGTGCTTGAACCCCCGTACCCACATGGGAGACCTGGAAGAAGCTCCTGGCACCTGCCTTTAGACTGGCCTGGCTATAGCCAATGTGGCCATCTGGGGAGTGAACCAGCAGTGGAAGCTCTCTCAGCCTCTGCCTTTCAAATAAATAAAATCTTTTTAAAAAAAAATTATTTATTTGAAAGATTTACTTATTTACTTGAAAGACAGAGTTACAGAAAGACAGAGGCAGAGAGAACTTCCATCTGTTGGTTCACTCCCCAGATGGCCACAACAGCTGAAGCCAGGAGCCAGGAGTTTCTTCTGGATCTCCCATGCATGTGCATTAGCAGAGAGCAGGATTGGAAGTGGAACAGACAGGATTCCAATTGGCACCTGTATGGGATGTTAGCACTGCACGTGGTGGCTTTACCCATTATGTCACAGCAGAGGCTCCACAAATTAAAAAAAAAAAAAAAAAAAAAACCTCAACAACAACAAAACAAACAACCCAATTTTAAAAAATGGGCAAAGGGCTGGTGCCGTGGATAGCTGGTAAAGCTGCCACCTGTGAGGCCAGCTTCCCACATGGGCATCAAAGTCCCGGCTGCTCCTCTTCCGATCCAGCTCTCTGCTATGGCCTGGGAAAGCAGTGGAAGATGGCCCAAGTGCTTGGGCCCCTGCACACACATGGGAGACTCAGAAGAAGCTCCTGGTTTTCGGCTTCAGATTGGCCAGCTCCGGCCGTTGCAGCCACTTGGGGAGTGAACCAGTGGAAGGACGACCTCTCTCTCTCTCTGCCTCCCTGTAGCTCTCTCAAATAAATAAATAAATCTTTTTAAAAAGTTGCTCAACATCACTCATTAGGGAAATGCAAGTCAAAACCACAAGGAGATGCCACCTCACATCCGTCAGCATGGCCATTACTGAGAGAAAACAGAAAACGTTAAGTGTCGGCAAGGATGTGAGACATCGGAACCCTCCCGTGCAGCCGCTGGGAACGGAGCGGCCGCCGTGGAAGTCCAGCGTTTCCCGAGGAGATGAAACACAGCACCACCACAGGATCCGGCAGCCCCACCGCTGAGCACAGCCTGAGGAACCGCAGTCAGGGGCTCCGCCTCGCTCACAGCAGCCGAGACGGCCGCAATCACGCGTCCACCCCGGGGGGAATGGATGCCCACGTGGTCCACGAACACAACAGAACCGTTCAACCTTAAGAAGGAAGCAGACCCTGACGCGTGCGTGCTACAACACGGACGAACTCTAGAGGACGTTACACCGAGTGAAACAAGTCAGTCGCCAAAAGACAAGCGCTGGACTTGCATAATTCCACGTACATGAACACCCAGAAAAGTCGATTCCAGACAGGACTGGGGGACGGGGAGCCAGCGTCTCCTGGGGACAGAGTTCCGGTTTTGCGAGATGCAAACGCGCTGGAGCCTGGCTGCACCGTGTGGGTCCACTTCCCACTCAGCTACACACCTAAGACAACTGAGACGCTAGGTTCTGTCACACAAGCCACCCTAGCTCCCTGCCTCGGGCGCTGACTGCATCCTGCACGCAGGGCCTCCCTCCCCGCCGGCCAGGAAAGAGGACGCTGTGAGGAGGCTTCAAGGACTCACCGGCCAAAAAAAGCCACTTTCATGTGCCGCCGGGCCAGCACCTCGCTGATGCCCCTCACTTTGGACAGGTACCCTTTGACGTCCAGAACCTGCTCCTCCGTCGTCACCGGGTCCAGCTCGGCATTCCTGTAGGTGTCTGCAGGGGACCGACAGCGGGTTACCATGTGATCAGAGGAGCGCCACCAGCCTGGGAGCCGGGCGCCTGGGCTCCCGCGCTGGTTCCACCACTTCCTGACTCTGTGGGCCTTTGTGGGACTCAGTTTTCTCATCCAGAAAATGGAGATAACAGCAGCGTCTACTTCCTGTGACTATTGTGAGAGCAAATGAAGTAAAACTCCGCGTGCTAAGGATGCTGCTGTGTCTTTTTCTTAGCAAATACTTAAACACTCTCGCCATACGCCAGGCCCTGTGCTGGTCACTTTTCAGACTAGGTCTCAGTCGACCCTGGTACCCACCCAGCTATCAGTAATGAAAGAGCCGGGGGAGGTGGGAGGTGAACCGGGCAGCCTGGTTCCGGAGCGTGGGCTCTCAACCACTCCGCGTGCTCCACGCCGGCCTCTCTCCACATCACCACATCTACACCCCCCCCCCGCCCTTTCCCCCTCACTGCTGCCCGGCCCCCTCTTCCACACCCCCTGAAGAACTCATGCACCACCTGGGGCAGTTTAGCTTCTCCTACGTCCTCCCTGACTGCACCCCCCCAACCTGAGTTGGGTCCTCCTCGTCTATGCACCCACAGCACCCTGCACTCTGTCTCAGCATCACCTCACACAGCCTAACCATCTAACTCCCGTGTGCTGCATCGCCTGCCCCATGAGGGCCGCTACCTGGACCCAGCACTAGGACGTGCACAAACACTGGCCAAGTGAATGGGTACCTGGGCTTCCCCCAGTGCCATGACAGGCTGACAGCACCCTGCGACACTTGCTCCAGCCAGCTGCTGCAGCTGGCAGGGGTATGGATGGGTTCTGGCCCTTGGCACACTCCTGCCAGACATGCCCCAGCCGTGAGAACACTCTCAAAACTTCTAAAGCATGGCAAGTAACATGTCATAGACACCCAGCAGGTGCCCCCTGTGGCTAGGACCATGACAGGAAGTGCCCAAGCCGACCAGGCCCTCATCGTGTCCATCAGTCATTCCCACCCAGACCCGTCCAGATCCTTCCCTAATCTGGCCGTGAGCAATCTTGGGAACAGCCCTTGGAAGAAGCTGGCTCTCAAGTTTGTGGCTGAAAGGCAGGAGCCAGCAGACCCCCAAGCTCTTGGTCCCCGCCACGTGGAGAACCATCCTCTGTGCACCCCGAGCAATCCTAACCACAGCTCAGGCCACTCCAGGTCTTTCCCGTCCACCTAACCAACAGAGGCCTCACACTTCACAAGCAGGGTGAGCAGGGCACCCATCGCACCAGCGCCTCCCCGAAGCCTGTCTGCGCACAGCATCGTCCGAGGAGGCGAGCCAGGGTGCCAGAGCGGGTGCCAGCCTCGCCTCTGCATGCCCACGCCTGGGCCAGGGCCAGGCCCTCTAAAGCTACTGCTGAGCAAACAGGGGGTGACCCGCAGTCACTGCAGCCAGTGACCACACAACTTGAACGTTCAGATTTTTGACTCAGTGAATATTTAGGGGATACCTTCTCCTGCATAAAGAGACCTGCAAAGGGCAGGGCACAGGGAGAGGAGAGACAGGACACAGTTCCTGGGGCTCTGGGTGCAAGCAGGGTGGAGGAGGGAAGTGGCCAATCGAGGCAAGGGTTGACGAGAACCTGAAAATCCGGTCTCCCTGAGGCCCTCGGCCACAAACGTGGAACCCAGGGGCCCCTGGGATTCGGCTGCTGGGTCCTCACAGACCCAGGACCTGCAGCCAAGGTGTCCATCTAGGGAGGGAGCCAGCGGCTGTGAGCTGGCGCCAGACACGCAGGGCTCAGGGAGCAGTCTTTCCCATTGACCCACCAAGGAAAGGTTGGGCTCGAATTAGTAACCAGTACAAAAGGCAAAGGTGAAGTGCTTCCTATTCATAGCCCTGTCACCAGTCTAAAAATAGCGAAGAGAGGCACCCTGGTCAGAGACAACCAACGCCCGTATAGTGCCTGGGCTACTCCCTGGACCTTGGAGTGGGAGACCTCACCAGGGTAAAGAGGGGCTCGGTCACTCACAGGTGTTAGCCAAATCTCCAACCTCAGTCTGTTTGCCTTGTAGATGGGGACAGACTCACCTACCCATCACGAGTCAGTGAAACAAAGCACACGGAATTCTTACTGGGCCTGCGTGCCTGGCCCAGCCTGCCCAGAGCCCAGTCCCACAGGACCCCAAGAGCAGAGCACTAGTGGGGGTGCCAGCCACCTGGGCACAAGTTCCCCGAGCAAGGCTGCGCCTCCCTACCCCCAATCCCACAGCCTAATGTCTCGGCCGGGAAGCATGGGCCCAGCGGAGCGGGCGTGCGGCTCACCCTCCAGGAAGGTGGCGCTCTCCTGGATGTAGGCCCCCAGCTGCTCGAAGATGCCATTGATCTTCTTCTTGGCGGTGACAAAGTGCTTGAGTGGCGACGCATTCACCTCAGCCATGTGTCTCTTGTCCTTCTTGACTGTGATGATGGGGTTGCATCGAGAAAAGAGCAGGGACATGGCGCTGCAAGAGAAGACAGCGTGAGCGAGCCCGCGAAGCCACCGTGGACGCCTGCTGGGCGTGGCAGGGGGCGACAGGGAGGGCTGGGACAGCTCAGGAGAACACAGCCCTCCAGGACGAGGCCCAGTGCAGCAAGGGAGCAGCAGCAGCATCTCACGGCCAGGAAGGGGGCTCTGAGGCCAGACGTCCTGGCACGCGGCACGCGATGCTGGAGCCAGGGCCCTGAGCTCAGGCCTCGGCGGCAACGCACACGGAACCGCTCCCCTAAGTCTCAAGCAGAAAAGTGTGACAGAAATCTGAATTTTCTTTTTATTTTTTTTATTTTTTGGACAGGCAGAGTGGACAGTGAGAGAGAGAGACAGAGAGAAAGGTCTTCCTTTGCCGTTGGTTCACCCTCCAATGACCGCCGCGGCCGGCGCACCGCGCTGATCCGAATGGGCAGAAGCCAGTACTTATCCTGATCTTCCATGGGTGGCAGGGACCAAGCCACCTGGGCCATCCTCCACTGCACTCCCTGGCCACAGCAGAGAGCTGGCCTGGAAGAGGGGCAACCGGGACAGAATCCGGCGCCCCGACCGGGACTAGAACCCGGCGTGCCGGTGCTGCAAGGTGGAGGATTAGCCTAGTGAGCCACGGCGCCGGCCCTGAATTTTCTTTAAAAAAAAAAAAATTTTTTTTTTTATTTATTTATTTGAAAGGCAGAGAAAGAAACAGAGAAACAGAGATCTCCCACCCCCTGGTTTACTCCCCCAAGTGGCCACAATGGCTGGGCTACGCCAGGCTGAAGCCTGGATCCAGGAGCTCCATCCGGGTCTCCCACATGGGCCATCATCTGCTGCTTCCTTGGCCATATTAGCAGGAAACTGGATGGGACGCAGAGCTGCCTGACTCGAACCGGCACCACAATATGGAGAGCGGGCAAGCAGCGGCTTAACCCACTGGGCCACAACACCAGCCTGACTTCTTTTTTTCCCCCTTCTTTAAAGATTTATTTATTTATTTAAAGGCAGAATTACAGAGAGGCAGAGAGAGAGAGAGGTCTTCCATCCGCTAGTTCACCCCCCAAATGGCCACAACAGCTGGAGCTGAGCCAATCCAAAGCCAGGAGCCTCTTCCAGGTCTCCCACGTGGGTGCAGGGGCCCAAGGATTTGGGCCATCCTCCGCTGCTTTCCCAGGCCACAGCAGAGAGCTGGATTGAAGTGAAACAGCCAGGACTCGAACTGGCACCCATACGGGATGCTGGCACTGCAGGCAACGGCTTTACCTGCTAAGGCACAGCGCCCGACTGAACATCATCTACCCAAGAAAAAGCACGAAGAGTAACCGCGATGTGCCAGGTCAGCAACTCGCATCACCCTCTCCTGCCACTCTGCTGTTCAAGAGCCCAGTGGTCCTAATTCCTAACACGGTTTGTCTTTATTGTTGGAGGGGGAAGACAAGGAAGGGCGATTTCAGGTGCGGGGTCTACTTCCACAATTTATTTAAAAATATGAATTGGTCAGCCGGCGCCACGGCTCACTAGGCTAATCCTCCGCCTGCAGCACCGGCACCCTGGCTTCTAATCCCGGTTGGGGCGCCAACTCTGTCCCGGTTGCCCCTCTTCCAGTCCAGCTCTCTGCTGTGACCCGGGAGGGCAGTGGAGGATGGCCCAAGTGCTTGTGCCCTGCACCCACATGGGAGACCAGGAGAAGCACCTGGCTCCTGGCTTCAGATCGGCACAGCGCACCGGCCGTGGCGGCCATTTGGGGGGTGAACCAACGGAAGGAAGACCTTTTTCTCTCTCTCTAACTCTGCCTGTCAAAAAATAAATAAATAAAAATAAAAATATGAATTTGTCTCATTCAGTGTAAGATGAGAATATCCCCAAAAGTCAGGGGAAAGGGGCCGGCGCTGTGGCGCAGCAGGTTAAGCCACTACCTACAATGTGGGTATCCCATATGGGCAACGGTTCAAGGCCCAACTGCTCTACTTCCAATCCAGCTCTCTGCTGTGGTCTGGGAAAGCAACAGAAGATGGCCCAAGTGCTTGGAGCCCTACACCCACATGGGGGACCCAGAAGAAGCTCCTGGCTCCTGGCTTCAGATCCGTGCAGCTCTAGCTGTTGTGGCCATCTGGAGAGTGAACCAGCAGATGGAAGACCTCTCTCTCTGCCTCTGCCTCTCTATAACTCTGCCTTTCAAATAAATAAATCTTAAAAAAAAAAGTTGGGGAAAATGCACCTTATAAAACTATGCATGGATTTCAATTTTTTTGCTCTACAATAAACTTATCTTTCAGTTGCATGTTCCTGAAACTTTAAAGTACCTTCACGCATGCACTACAGGAAACTACCCCAGAGTGCTCAGCTGCTGCCCCTCGTGATAAGCGCTATCACCCAAGCGTCTCGCAGGCTTCTTTCACACAGTGACAGCACGTCAGGGCTGTGAGACTTCACGCCAAGGTCCTAGAGGTCTTTGGTCAAAGGCAAAGAGGCAGAGCACGTGGCGCCCAGGTGCAGCTGGGAAGCCCATCTTGTCCCCGGGAGACACAGACCCCGGCAGCAGAGTCCGCATATCCTGGGACGTCAGAGGGAAAAGGACAGGGGTGGTACGCACCACTGTGAGGGCCTGGATCCAGCACTCCCCCAGGCCACCCCCTGGCCCTCCACCCTCCCCACACCTGACTTCCAGCTGTCCATCAGCGCAATGAGTCACTTCTAAATGGCACCAAAAGTGTGCTGAACAAGGTTCTGAGACGCAGCAAGAACACCTGGAAAAACTGCAGAGACCAAGTACCAGAGCTGGCTCGTAGGAACCATCCCGAAGAGAGGCCAGGAAGCCCGACAGACGCACAGGGAGCAGCAACCGCGTGCGCTGCCCAGATCCACGAGTTCTTTTGCAATGCCAATGATTACCCCACGTCCGTTTCCACCTTCCGCCTCAGTGCAGCGCCGCAGCTGAGATGTGTTCCCAGCAAGGAGCCTCAGGCCTGGGCCTTAGAAGACAGCAGTGCTCTGAGAGATTCAGAAATAGCACAACTCTGGCTCCTCCAAAGCAGAAAAGGAGGGCGATTAGGCTCAGCAGGGCCCAGCACGTAAGACTCTTAGAGCAGAGGGGAGTGGCAGGCGGAAGAAGTCATCACAAGGAAAGCACTGGGGTCTGGGATGGAGCATGACGCAGCGCTGCCATATGAAGGGCAGCGCTGGGAGCAAACTGCGCGTGTAACTTTCATCTCAGAGCCTGGCCTGTGCACCACAGCAGGGCAGCACACAGCTGAGCAGACTGGAGACGACGCACGCAACGTGCTTACCTCTCGGTCAGAGCTCAGAGGTGCCAGTCCATGAGCTACAGCAACAGTACAGAAACTCTACCAGCAAGAGCACGTGACTCTCCCCATCAGCCTTCAGGGGAGGGCAGGCAGCCCCACCAGCTCCTGTGGAGACGGCTTGGGCAAGGATCCGCAGCGCCCAGCCCCACGGAGACTCGCGCAGGATACAGATACCCTGACATCCGGCGGGCTTCAGAGGCAGGAGCCCTCAAGTTCTGGTCTTTGCAAGCCCCAGGAAACGAGGCCAAGAGCATATTCGGTAACTTCAAGATTCAAAGGCACGCACACTGGTAAAAGCCTAGTGGTTGGGGGCTACGAGGCCTAACAGCAGCTTGGCTGGTGTAGCAGCGGCCCTGCGCTCACCATTCCTCGGTCAAGGCCCTCGCCTGAAACCACCGCCCACCCCGCTGAGCTGGCCGCCGCTCCTGCCGCGCCCCTGCCAAGCGGAGGTTCTGCACTCGTGCTGCACCTGCCGCTCTCCACCTGGAGCTCCTGCTCTCCTCCCAGACCCCAACCGAGTACCGCCCGCTCCATGACACCGTCCCTGACGCCTGCGCGGAGGACAGGCAACCTCGCCAACCTTGCATTTCTATCACACCCTGCGTCCCCCCGCAACTCTGACACAGGGCAGAGACGTCCTTCTATTCCTTCTATAGCCAAGAGAGCTGTGGGGCAGGCAAGCTCATCTTACGTCTTCTATCCTGAACACACAAACCCATTTTTTTCTTAAGAAGCAGCTTTGGTGAGTGTCTCTTAGTATCTGAAGCTGAATCAATCAAGAGTTCAACACACTTATTCCTTTCAAAGAGCAAACTGGACACATATGTGCACACAAATAGGCGGAAGTTGTAAAATACATGCAGAAAAGCCAAGACAGGGCCCCGCTGTCTCGGGCTTTGCCTGCTGGCTCCGCACCCTTGCAGGGAGGTGGGAGGCAGCTGTGTTCCTGCTCCTTCTCTGGAAAGCCCTGATAATCCCTGCTTCACCACAGGGCAGCCCAGCCCCCACGCGCAGCCGAGCCAGTGCACGTCCAGCCTCAGTCACACAGCAGCAGCACTCAGCGTCAGTCACACAGCAGCTGCACTCAGCCTCAGTCACACAGCTCACAGCACTCAGCCTCAGTCACACAGCTCACAGCACTCAGCCTCAGTCACACAGCTCACAGCACTCAGCGTCAGTCACACAGCACTCAGCGTCAGTCACACAGCTCACAGCACTCAGCCTCACACAGCTCACAGCACTCAGCGTCAGTCACACAGCTCACAGCACTCAGCGTCAGTCACACAGCAGCTGCACTCAGCGTCAGTCACACAGCTCACAGCACTCGGCGTCAGTCACACAGCAGCTGCACTCAGCGTCAGTCACACAGCTCACAGCACTCAGCGTCAGTCACACAGCTCACAGCACTCAGCGTCAGTCACACAGCTCACAGCACTCAGTGTCAGTCACACAGCTCACAGCACTCAGCGTCAGTCACACAGCACTCAGCGTCAGTCACACAGCTCACAGCACTCAGCGTCACACAGCTCACAGCACTCAGCGTCAGTCACACAGCACTCAGCGTCAGTCACAGCTCACAGCACTCAGCCTCACACAGCTCACAGCACTCAGCGTCAGTCACACAGCTCACAGCACTCAGTGTCAGTCACACAGCTCACAGCACTCAGCGTCAGTCACACAGCAGCAGCACTCGGCGTCAGTCACACAGCTCACAGCACTCAGCGTCAGTCACACAGCAGCTGCACTCTGCCTGCTCTCGTGACTGCCTCCCAGTGCTCAGAGAGCTTCAGCGCGCGGGCCGTGCGCCCCGGCTGCACCCATCGCGTGCAGCTCCAGCGTGTGCGACACCGTCTGCGATCCGCCCTCCACTGGGAGAAGCGCAGGCCTGGGAAGGAGGCTCTGCTACAAAGACGTGCGATTCTTCGCGCTGGACTGAAGGCCGCATCTCGGGATGTGCTCAGTGAAGAACTTCTAGAAGGCAGGCTTCACAAGTCTGAGCACCAAGCGTTTGGGAGAGGGCCCTTCCTCCGGGAGTCGCCAGGGGCTGGTATTAACAGGTATTAACCAGAAACAAAGCGAATTCTAAACGGAAACGGCCAGCACTCCCAGGTGAACAGCTTAGCCTCAGCACAGGCCATTAGTGAGGAGGATTAGTTATCCGGGCGTGGCGACGGCAGCTGCGGATTCACGGGGAGCCGTGTCTGCGTCCCAAGCAGCGGCCGAGTCCACACGCGCTCCTTACCCAGCTCTACGCACAGCAACTCCTAGCAGGGAAAAGAAAACGGATCCGCGGACCGTCCGCTGGCTCAGTTGGAGCAGAGAAGCTGAGAAATCGAAACACAAGAGCACACGGGTGAAGGGAGAGAGCACTCAGAGGAGCGGTGATGAGAGCACTCAGAGGAGCGGTGATGAGAGCACTCAGAGGAGCGGTGATAAGAAGCCAACCTCCACCGGGCAGGGGGGAGGAGCCAGCGCAGCAGAGGAGCAAGCAAAGGAGACGGTGACTCGTCCTTCCGGAGAGCCAGGCCGCTCTGACGTCGGCCCTCAGACCGCTCTCCCGGCAGCCGGCGGAGCCCCCACCGGGTGGGACGCAGAGACGCCGGCATTTTGAGTACAGCTCCACACACAGGACCCCGGCCGAGTCTCGCCGCGGGCGCTGCCAGAGCACAGCCCGGGTCCACGGTGCCGCAAGTCACCGCTACCACTTACTTTCTGGACGGTGACGGACTTCACAGGGTGTGCATCACGGACATGGCTGCAGCCCGGAAGGTGGAAAGAGCCCGGTCCTCTCTGTCCTGTCTCAGATTGAGGCTACGGCTGTGCTGACTTCACCAGCCCGAACCTGCAGGAAGGAAAAAGGGAGATGTCAATGGGCCGCCCCCAAAATCCCGAAGTGCTGGGCAAAACACCTCCAAGCACGCTTGAAAGCCAAACAAACTCGCGCCCGAGGGAGGCTTACTCATTGCGGAGCCAGGAAGCTTGGGCTGGCACGTGAGGGAGTGCCCGAGGGGCAGACACAACACCAGACGTGGGGGTTCAACACTGGGCGTGCACAACACACACACGGTCAGGAGTGCCCGAGAGGCAGACACAACACCACACGCGGGGGTTCAACACTGGGCGTGCACAACACACACACAGTCAGGAGTGCCCGAGAGGCAGACACAACACCAGACGTGGGGGTTCAACACTGGGCGTGTACAACACACACGGTCAGGAGTGCCCGAGAGGCAGACACAACACCACACGCGGGGGTTCAACACTGGGCGTGCACAACACACACACGCGGTCAGGAGTGCCCGAGAGGCAGACACAACACCACACGCGGGCGTGCACAAACACACACACACACACAGTCAGCCACGGGCCGGCGGGAGGCAGACACAACACCACACGCGGGGGTGCACAAACACACACACACAGTCAGCCACGGGCCGGCGGGAGGCAGCAGGGAGGACCCCGCACGTGTGCGGAGCGAGAGGCGAGCAGGGAGGCGAGCTGGGCTTGAGGACTGAGGGCCGGCGGAGCGAGAGGCGAGCAGGGAGGCGAGCCGGGCTTGAGGACTGAGGGCCGGGGTGAAGAAAGCAAAGTGGAACTGATGGCCACCACGTGGCAGCCGCCGTAAATAACGCCCGGCGCTCCCAGTTCTGAGGCCAACAGCGGCTCGGAAGCTTGGAAGGCTGACAGAGGAGTAGCCACGCGGGGAAGGCAGGAACCCAGCTCTCCGCCACGCCAAAGCTCGCGCGTTCTCCACTCCAAGGGGCTGCCTCCCCCTCCCGGCCCTGGGGAGGAGGGAGAGACGACTGCGGTTTCAGAGAAATCGGGCAATGCGGGACCCGGAGAGGGGGCCAGGCACTTCTGCCTCCCTGCATCCAGCTCTTCATTTGCAGCGTGCTCTGCGTGCCTTCTGTGGGTGTGGTAGGGGCTGGGGTTCGCGATGGGGAGTGAGCAGTCCTCGCCCTCCAGGGCCCCGGCGTCCGCGGAGAAGCCGCACGAGCAGAGCGGTCGCTTTTTACCCCAGAGAAGCAAGCGCCCGAGAGGGGGAGGGCGGGGCGCCCCGGAGACGGACGTGGGCACCCGTCCTGACCAAACGCTGGACGAGAAGTGGGGACTGCGCAGAGGCGGAACGCGGCCGTGAAGGCTGGGGAAGTGGGAGCGATGAGCAGTTTTTCAGGGGACCCTACCCCCGAGTCGAGTCCCGCGTCCCGCCCCTCCTCTCCGGGCCGCGCAGGGCCCAGCGGCGAGGACGAAGCGTAGGGACGCCAACCTGACCAAACCCGGAACCCCGGGAGCCCCAGCGTCCCACCGGTTCACGCTAGGCTGCTCAAGACTCTCCCGGCCGAGCCGGGCCGGCCCCACCGCCCCGGCGCGCTCGCCCTCTCACCTTCACCTTCCCAGCCTCGCGGCGGCCATCACACCCACAACGTCACCAGGAGCGCCACCGTGGGGACAGGCGGGGAGGGGGGAGTGCGCGTGTCACCAGCAGATTTGCCGCTGGGCCGCAGTGAGCCCGCAGACTCCGAGCTCAGCCACTTCGACCCCACTCTTCCTGTGCCTCAAGGGCCCCGCGCCTCGGAGTCTCAACAGGCTTCTCAACGCTCCAGTTCACTCCAGGGCGTCCTCGGATGATGACGTAAACGGGGGTGTTGACCTCTCGCTGCATCATGGGAGTTGTAGTTCCGACGGGCGTCAGCCAAGGCTGCGGAGGGCGGAGCCTCGAACTGTCAAGAGACCAAAAAAAAAAAAGGGCGTGGATTACAGGTTCCCGCTCTTTCATCTGTGACCCCGGAGCCTGACTCCATGGCCTCGCCAAGCTCTGGAATTCAGACTTGTGTTTTGCTATCTACATAAGCGTGTTTATGAGGATTAAGCCCTCAGGGCGAAGTGACTCATCCAGGGACGCAGAACAAGGTCGGGCCTGCCGCCCTGCAATGGCCTTTGAGGCCGGAGGAGCAGCCCCCGGGGTACAGCTCCTGCTACAGCGCTGGGGGCTCCGGGCAGAGACGCCCCCGCCCCAAGCTCTCCTGTCGCTCACTGGGCCCTCATTGTGTGCCAGGCGCCAGGACACAGCCGCCAAGCGGCTCTGCGGGACTGGCCTCACCGGGGAGCCGCCAAGCCCACGCCCACGTGCGCGACACGCAGCTGCTGCGTTGGAAGACCTCACGGGTGTCTGTGTTTTGACGACGCGTTGAAGTGATCCCATGTGGGATAAATGGGGTGGAGTGAATTGTACTACCTAAATTAACTGCACCTGGTTTTCCTGTTAACCATGTAGCTATGACAAAAGTGGTTCACTTTGGGGGTCGGCAGTGGATTTCTCCAAACCCCGGGTAGATTCGTGCTACAAGGAGCCCCCAGAGGCAAACCGGGACTCCTGGGAGGTGGGTCAGAGCAGGCCACGCCCAGCCCTGCCCCAGGTGTGGCCAGGCCTGTGTCTGGGGTGTGGCTCGCCCTGGCCTGCTTCCCGGAGAACCTTGTGACTGCGTGAGTGTGGCCCATCCCCCCCCCGAAGTGCACGCTGGAGTTTCGTCCCCACTGTGCGGTTTTACAAGGCTGCAACTTTGAATTCTCTTCCGGAGGTGACTAGGGTCAGGCGAGGTCCCGAATGTGGGGCCCCCGTGGGTGAGTCCTTGGGGCTTCACGGCCTCAGGGCTCTGTCAGTGAGATCAACGTCAGATGCGGCCCCTCCACCTTGGATCAGAGCCACGAGCTGGATAAACCCCTTTCCCCTGAAGTCTACCCGGCCTGCGGCCCTGCGTTCTTAGCTGCAGAAACCGGACCATCACAGGCAGGAACTGTCAGTCCCATTTCGCTTTTCTTTGGCAGAATCTGGCCAAAGTCACAGTGGCGGCCTGGAGTCTCTCCCTCCTGAACTCTCGCGTCCTGGTTGCCTCTTCCAGACACCTCCTCGCAGACCTCGCCCAGCCCTGGCTGCTCGCCCGGGTTTCCAGGCTCCCCCTGCCCCCCTGAGGGCCTGACTCCACCCCATCAAGGACAAGACTCTCCCAGGACTGCTAACAGCACTGCTGGGGAGGCCGCAGGGCAGGGCTGAGCCGAGACCTTTCTCACACCACCCAGTCCTATCCTGATAGACACGAGTGGCATTTGTAATCAGCAAAGGAGAGAGTTCAGAAAACCCCAAACCCAAACCTTCGTGTTTGTGCCCATGCAGACAGCTCCAGGGTATCCAGAGAACCACGGTACCAGGCAGCAGCCAGGGGCGAGGAGTAAGACAGGGATCGATTTGTGCTGCTTGGATTCACCACGAGCCAATTTTTTTAAAAATGTATTTATTTGAAAGGCAGACAGATAGAGAAACAGAGAGAGAGAGAAAGAGAGAGGGAGAGAGAGAGAGAGAGAGAGAGATCTTGCTTTTGCTGGTTCACTGCCCAAATCGCCAACAGCCAGGGCTGGGCCAGGAGCACGGAATTCCATCTGGGTCTCCCTCGCGGGTGCAGGGGCCCAAGGACTTGGGCCGTCATCCATTGCTTTCCCAGGCCATAACGGGGAGCTGGTTTGGAAGCAGAGCAGCCGGGACTCAGACCGGTGTTGATATGGGCTGCTGGTGCCACAGGCAGCTTAACCCACTGCGCCACAGTGCTGGCCCCGAATTTTTAAAAGTAAAAAACTTAAAAATCCCCCAAGCCCTTGGATGCTCTAGTTGCTTCCCAGATAAGGCCCCGGCTCCTCCTAGCTTGGTGCGATTGTTTGAGTGTGTCCAAAGCTCGAGCATGGGAAACGTAGTCCCCCCAAGCCATGCATTTGGAGGTGAGGTTCTGGGGGGTCACTGGGATTGCACGGGGTGATGCAGGTGGCCATGGGATTAGTGACCGTGTGGACAAGCACGCAGACCCCGCACAATGGAGATGCCCCCCAGGGCCTCCATGACATCATGACACAGTAAGGCCCTCCAGGGCCCCACGACGTCAGGACGCCATGACATCATGACGCAGCAACGCCCACCAGGGCCCCACAATGCCACGCCGCAGCAAGACTACCCTAACCAGGTGCCGGCGCCCAGCTCTTGCACTTCCCCACTCCAGAACCGAGAGCTAAATAAACCGTGTTCTTTATAAATTGCCTGGTCTGTGGCATGCAGTCACAGCGACAGAGCTCCAAGACACCTGGGAGACCGGCCCCTCCACCCCGCCCAGTCCAGCCACCCTACCGGAGCGGCTGTCTGCCGCCCCCTCTGCACCCAGCCCAAGCGCACCTGCTGTCATCCTGAGCACCACTGGCTCGTGGGGCTGCAGAAGGCGGGGCGGTCCTGTGTATTTCAAGATGTTCAGGAGCTTCCCCGCGGCCCCCCCTCCCCAGCTGTGACAACCCACCCCTGGGGGCACAGGAGTCCTGTGCTGCACAAGCCAGCCGGGCCCTCCCGCTCCCATGCTGCTACTGAGAGCCACTGTGGCATTTACCAGCCAACTGCATTTGGTTCTTTCTGTTTCCACCGCTCACCTCTGCCTAGGCACAGTGGGGGGGGAGATCAGATTTCTCTGGTCACTGAAATCCTAACTCAAATCCTTGTCCTGGCCACTGACTTGCTGTGTGACCGTGGGCCAATCGCTTGGCTTCTCTGAGCCTGTTTCCTTGTCTATAGAAAGGAAATCCCAGCCCCTACCCCCTGATACTGGTGGGCAACGCCCAGCCCACAGCATGGGGAGTGTAGGCGTCGGCTCTTAGGTTGAGCAGGGCCCTGCAGTGCAATCGGTGCCACCAGCCCATCTGTCCAGGTACAGAACTCTTCCCTGTTGGTCCAGCTTCATGTTTGCAGGAAGGCTTCAGAGGGCACGGGGCAGCCGATGAACAAGTGCGCCCCAGGCAGCCAGCGCCCGACTCCCGGTCGGGCCTTCCGGAATATAACCGACAGAGCAAGCCTGAGCCTGGGCTCGGGGCTCGGAAGTCGCCGAAGCTGCTACGCAGACTTTCTTACCATCACGGCTCCAAAAACCTCTGCCTGCCTGTAGGCACCTCCCGCCCGCGCCAGTCATCTCCCACTCCGTGGTCGGAAAGACCTTTAATAGCAACTCTAGTTCTGACCGGCTGGCCCTCTGTCTGGAGGCACCAGGGACAGGATGACCCGTGGCAGTGTGTGGACATGTCCGTGGCCCTCGCCCCAGCAGAAGCCAAGTTCAGGACCGAGAGCTGTGGCACACAAATGCCCTCCCAGTCTCCCGGGAGGTTCTCTGAGTCGCTGTCTCCAGCGGACAGCAGTGCGCAGCCCCGACAGGAGCCCTGGAGGAAGGGGCTTCCGCAGTCTCCGGCTCAGGGTGGGAGCTGTACGCTGATCCAGGTCTCTGTCTACCGGACTCTGGCAGCAGAAGTCACCGAGGCCGCCGCCGCCCTGGGAGGCGCTCCGGGGCCTGGCGTCTGTCCAGGCAGCTCAGGCCAGCCCTGTTCTCAAGTCTGGAAGAAGTGTGGGAAGGGGATTCTGCTTTTCAGGAAGCTGGGAGGGTGGGGAGGGCGTCTCTCCAAAGTGAACAGAGTGAACAGAGCGAGCGAGCAAGGTCCCAAGGTCGCAGAGGGCCCCGCCTCTGGCCTGCGCCCTGTCACCCCCACAGGCGCTCCCAGAGCCATGGGAGGTCAGGAGCCTGAGGCTGGGCCGGCTTCCCTGGGACCCCAAGGCCTCCGGGAGCTGCAGGGCAGTGGTCGTCAGCCAAGAAGAAAGGTTCGAGGGGGCGGGGCCTGGCCCGTTAGGGGTCGACGAAGGAGACGGCGATGTAGCGCGTGCCCTTGGTGGTGGGGAGCCCCTCGTGGTAGTGCGTGAGCCGTCCGGGGTGCATGAGGGCCCAGCCTTTCCTTGGGGCTCGGATGGAGCAGTTGTAGCGCAGGAAGCGACAGCCTCCACCCTAGGAGACAGGAAGTGTCAGTGCCCCGACAGGAAGCGGGGCCCTTCCGGCACCGCCCAGTCTTCTCCCAGCTGTTCCGCCAGAGCCGCGCGCGCCCTCCGGTGGATGCCTCGTAGGGGGACCGCCACCGGCTGCCTGAGACTAAACAACCAAGCACTCTGGCCCTGGGCCCAGGCAGCCCTGCACCAATTCACCGTCATTAGCTTGGTGACCAGCCCACACCTGTTTCTCCTTCTGTAAAATGGAGGCCAAACGGCACAGGGTGGTGAGGATGCAAGAGATGGCACAAGCAGGAGCTTGGGGTCGAGTTCGGCCTCGCCACTAGCACACTTTGCTGGGGGGTGGGGGCGCTGTCCTGGGCACCCCTGACCTTGGCCACTAGATGTCTATCTGTAGCACTCTCATCCTCCGACAACCAAAAATGTCTCTAGGCACTGCCCGTGTCCCCTAGAGGGCAAAAGCGGCTCCTGGCTGAGAACCCCCGGTTTAGACAACGCCTGATCGCTGTAAACTCAGAACACGAGAGCTGTTTCCCCGGCCGCCCTTCACCGTGCCTAGTCCACGGCACAGTCACGCTTTAAAATGCCCAGCTTGGGACGGCGTCGGGGTGCGCCAGTTGGGCTGCAGCCTGCGCCGCCAGCTCCCCTATCGGAGCGCTGGCTTGAGTCCTGGCTGCTCCCCTTCGGATCCAGCTCCCTGCTAGGGCCTGGGAAAGCAGCAGAGGGCGGCCCCAGTCCTTGGCCTCCTGCACCCACCTGGGAGGCCTGGATGGAGCTCCAGGCTCCTGGTGTCAGCCTGGCCCAGTCCTGGCCATTGCAGCCATCTGGGAAGTGAACCAGCGGATGGAAAAATGTTTCTCCCTCCCTCCCTCCATCCCTCCTTCCCTCTCTCTATCTCGCTCTCGCTCTCTCTCTCTGCCTTTCAGATAAATAAATAAATAAATCTTTTTTTTTTTTAAATAGGTAAAATAAAAAATCCCGCTGGAGGAATGAATGAATGCATGGGCGGTCCCCCACTGACCCCGCTGATGCAGAGGCCACGCCTGGGGCCCAGAGGTCGCCACCACTGCTGGTTCCCAATTCTGGTTTCCTGGGCACTCTCCTCTAGCCACACCCAGACCAACACTGCCCGGCCCCTCCCCTGAAGACCCCGCCCCCTCCTGCAGGCCAGTCTCAGGCTCTGGGTCCTGTGGCCCACCCACCCTGTCAGCTGCTCCCCGGCCCCCCTGTGCACCTCGTAGTCCACGCCAACCCGGTTCAGGGCGATGTTGACGGTGAAGGTGGAGGCATCGTGGTGGGGCATCAGCGAGGGCTGCTCGTCCGGCTTGTAGCGGACCACGAAGGCCAGGTCGAACTGGGCCTGCGCCACGGCGGGGTGGGGGTGGGGGCAGGGGAGAGCGGGCGTTAACGGACAGACAGGGGTGAGCAGCCGGCTCACCAGGGCAGCTGCAGAAAACCGAGGGAGGGACGAGGTGGGGAGGACGCCCGGGATGCAGGCACAGATCCACCAGTGGCGGCGCTGGAGAGCTACCGCGGGAGGGAACGGGTCGGGGCTCAGGGTCCCGGCTCAGGGGTCGGAGGGCTTCTTTGGGGGCTGCTACGGGAGCTTATTGACACCGAGGAGGAAAGACTCAAAAGGGGGCGGGGGCGGAGGCGAGGGCAGAGGGGAGTCCTTCCCGCCTGACCTCCGTTCTGGAGACCCATTTCCAGGCCCCTCCCCTCCCCTGCCCACCACCCCACGCCACCCCCATGCTGGCTGCACCCCCGGCGCCCACCCTGGTGTAGTAGCCGGGGTAGAGCTTCTCCGTCATGGGGGCGATGTACTCCACCAAGAACTTGTGCCACTCGCGCTCGAAGCTGATCTGGTTCATGTGGATGTCGATGGTTGGCACATTCTCATACCCACCCTGGATGCGGTTGTCCTGCAGTGACCACAGAGAGCGTGGCAGGGCGGGCGTCAAGCTGCCACTTGGTGCACCTGCTTCCCGTACCGGAATGTTGGACCAAGTCCCCGCCACCCTGCTTCCGATGCAGCTTCCTGCTAACGCACACCGTGGGAGGCTGTCGATCGATGATGGCTCAAGGACCTGGGTCCCTGCCACCCACAAGGGACACGTGGGTAGAGTTCTGGGCTTCTGGCTTCAGCCTGGCCCAGCCCTGACTGGTGTGTGCATCTGGGGACCGAACCAACAGATGGGCAATCTCTGTCTCTCTGCCTTTCAGATCAACAAATACATCGTTTTGATGCCTGAACTTTTTTTTTTTTTTTTTTTTACAGGCAGAGTTAGACAGTTAGAGAGACAGAGAGACAGAAAGGTCTTCCTTCTGTTGGTTCACCCCCCAAATGGCCGCCACGGCCGGCGCTGCGCCAATCCAAAGCCAGGAGCCAGGTGCTTCCTCCCAGTTTCCCATGTGGGTACAGGGACCCAAGCACTTGGGCCATCCTCCACTGCCCTCCCGGGCCACAACAGAGAGCTGGAATGGAAAAGAAGCAGCCGGGACTAGTACCCGGTGCCCCAACCAGGACTAGAACCCGGGGTGCTGGCGCCGCAGGCGGAGGATTAGCCTAGTGAGCCGAGGCACTGGCCAATGCCTGAACTTCCCAAGGTGAGTGCAGGTGTGGGATTCAGAGAACACGTGGCTCTCACGCCAGTGGGCCACTTCTGTGTCTGATGACCTCGGACCTGCCACAGCCCCCCGATGCCCCCTCACCCTTTTCCCCTAAGGCAGTAGAAGTCCCGCAGCAGCCTGGGGCCAACACTCCATCTCCAGTTTCCCACTCTCTCTACTCCTGACTGCCTGCTGCAACCCTGCCGGCCCCCCACGTCGAGTCCCTGCGAGACTGCGGAAGCAGCCAGAACAGCCCAGGAGGTGGGCAGCCCCGGCACCTGGGCCCCCACCTTGTTGTCACCCAACGACCACTGGCCAAAGTGTTCCATCTCTTCCACCAGCTCGTCACAAGCCACCTCCGTGAAGATGGGGAACCAGTAGACATCCGGGCAAGGCTGGGAAGGGAGGGGACTCTGTCACAGGGGCCTGGGGTGGCACCCCACCTCCCCCCGGCTCTAAAGAACCTGCTGCGGGGCCCCTCCTGTGGTCCAGGCAGCCCCCCAAAGCCAGTCTGGGAGCCCTCGCCTGTCCCCAGGGAGCAGGCCGGATGCTGGACAGACAGTGCGCTGCTAAAGGCAGGCGGGGGTGGAGCTCAGGGCCTTTCTCAGCTGAGGTCACACAGCCACCGGAGCCAGGACTGGGAGAGGACGGCGCGCACCACGGGGCAGAGGCCCACGGCTCCAGGGAGCTGGTGGTGAGCGAGTGGGAGAAAGTGCCCCCTCCTCGGCCCCAGCCAGGGACCGCGCTGGGGAGTCTTCCTCTGCAGCCTGGGCCAGGGAAGAGGCCCCTGCAGGCTCGGGCTGGGGAGACTCGAGGGACGGGGCCATCACCACCCCCCAGGCACAGCCAGAGCAGACAGAGGCGCCTCTGCCCACTCAGCAGGTTTCGCTTCTCTGTCCCCGGCTCCCGCGGCAGGCGAGGGTGTGGGTCCAGGGGCCGGGTCCCCTCACCATCTCCACCAGCTTCCCCGCCAGAGCCTTGCCGTAGCCTTCATGGATGTACTTCTCCTTCCAGTCCTGTGGGCGGGCAGCAGGAAGTGGGCTGGGGCCCGGGCCTCGCCTCAGCCAGCTGCACTCCCCGAGCTCAGCTTCCCGGGGGCTCCCCGTGGGGCTCTCCTCGTGAGCCCCTCGAACTGTGAGTGAGCGAATACACGCCTGGGGAACACACGTGTCCCCCGTGCATATGCACGTGTGTGCGTGCGTGTGCCTGCATCCGTCATCAGCTCCCCACCCCTAGGAACGCTGTGACAAATGTCTCCTCTGATGGCAAGTGCTTGGCCACACCTGGCCCCTCTTCCACTAGATGGCGCTGTCTCTCAGACGCCCTCTGCACCCTGCCAAGTCCCCTGGGGACAAAGCAGGAACTCAAGGGACCCAGGGGCTCTGAGATGGCGACGCCTCTGACCACTGGATCAGCGGGTTCCTGCCCGTGCCCGCCCACCCTGGCCCTCACCTCGGGGTTGCTGAACACCTCCCAGAGATCGTTGTGGAGGTGGGTGGTCTGGTAGTTGTCCAAGGACAGCAGGTGGCCAAATGAATGCCGGTTGGTCAGGAACATGAACACCTCCTGGGGACAGTAGGCCTGATGGGCGCTCCCCCAGACCCTGGTCTCACGCCCGATGCCCCGCGCGCCTCTCTTGGGAGCTCCCAAGGTCATGGTGACAAGGGAGCCCGAGGGGAGGGGCAGAGCTGGAGGCCCACCTTCCCCACCCCCCACCCCCCCCGCAAAGGGCCCCTGCGGCCGGCCGGCCCTGCTGACCTGCTTCCGGAGGTTGGCACAGAAGGCCATGTCGGGGTCCAGCTTGCTGTAGCGGTACAGGTCGGGGGAGTGCAGTTCAGCCCGCAGCGCGCTGCCCTTGATCAAGTAGACGTTCGAGATGTACGGCACGTTCCAGACGCCGCTGAGGCAGGGAGAGGGAGACGGAGGGGGCCTCAGGCTGGAGGCCCCCAGCTGGGAGGGCAGGACAGGGGCCTGGGACGCCGGTGGGGAAGTCCCGCCATGTGTCTGACTGCTGCTGTCTTCCTTGCTTGAGATCACGTGGCAGGAATTCAAGGACAGCCAGCAAGTTGGGGACAGAGGAACTGCACGCCCCGGGGGGCAGCAGGGGGCGGTGCTGCCCCGCCAGCAGGTACTCACACACGCCGCCCCTGCACGATGTCCACGTAGTCCTCGGAGCGGGCGTAATAGCCATCCGCACTTAGCGCCCCCCAGAAGTTGGACCACAGCCTCCCGTGGCGGGTCATCAGCGGGGCCAGGACATTCCTGAGGACAGCAGTGCCTGAGAGGGGGTCCCGCGGGCAGTCGGAGGCCCACCTGAAGGGGGTGTCCTCCCACCTGCACACAGGCATCTCCAGGTCCCTCCCTGGGCCAGGGCAGGGCCTTGGCCCCAGAGGGAGGTTTGGCTCAGCTGGAAGCCGCCTCCTCCCACAGGGTGGCTGGGAACCAGGAAAGGTGCCATTATCTACCAGCATCCGGTCTAGCCAGGGTGGGGGTCCCACAGCCCAGGGGAACAGGCAGGCTGAGAAAGGAGGAGAGGGGTGGGGTTGGGGGAGGGGCCCCCAGGCCGGGGTCCAGGCCTATCCCCAGCTGTGCCAGGCCAGGGCCGGGCTGCCGGGCCGTCCCCCAGCCTCACTTGTTCTGCTCGATGAGCAGCCGCAGGCTGTCAGGCTCGGTCAAGGCCACGTCGGCGTCCATGCTGAAGTAGTAGGTGCAGGCACGGTCCTGCCGGCACAGGTCCCTGTGAGGAGAGGGGTGCAGGCTCATCAGGGCTGGTCTCAGAGGCGGCCCACAGCTGGGGCCACACCTGGCTTCCCCGTGCACCAGCAGCCTCCACCCCGGCTGATGTTGTGAGGCTGGCATCCCATGTGGGCGCCAGCACAAGTCCTGGTGGCTCCACTTCTGATCCAGCTCCCTGCTGATGCACCTGGGAAAGCATCAGAAGGTGGCCCAAGTGCTGGGGGCGCTACCATTCCCGTGAGAAACCCGGATGGAGTTCCAGGCTCCTGGCTTCAGCCTGGCCCAGTCATGGCTGTTGTGGCCTTTTGGGGAGTGAACCAGCGGGTAGAAGACACTTCTCCCTCTCTCTCTCTCTAACTCTGCCTTTCAAATAAACAAACCTTTAAGAAAAAAAAAAAATGACTCCCTCCTGGCTCCAGGACACACAACCCAGGCAACTGTGCTCGTGAGACGAAGGCCCAGAGCTTAGCAACTGGAATCCAAGCCCTGAGAACACACACGGCTCCCATCCGGGTCCCTGCGCTGCCTCCAGGAGGGGACTTGGTTATTGTACACCACGGCCTACAAGCCTGTGTTCTTTTTTTTTTTTTTTTTTTTTTTTTTTTTTTTTTTTTTTTGACAGGCAGAGTGGACAGTGAGAGAGAGAGACAGAGAGAGAAAGGTCTTCCTTTGCCATTGATTCACTCTCCAATGGCCACTGTGGCCAGCGCACCGCGCTGATCCGAAGCCAGGAGCCAGGTACTTATCCTGGTCTCCCATGGGGTGCAGGGCCCAAGCACTTGGGCCATCCTCTACTGCACTCCCTGGCCACAACAGAGAGCTGGCCTGGAAGAGGGGCAACCGGGACAGAATCCGGCGCCCCGACCAGGACTAGAACCCGGTGTACCGGCGCCACAAGGCAGAGGATTAGCCTAGTGAGCCGCGGCGCCGGCATAGCCTGTGTTCTTTCTGTTGATCTGGGCCGAGGCCCAGCAACCCACGATCTACGGTGCCAGTTCTCCTACTGCCTGGGTCTGTCCAGCTCGTGAGCTATGAATGGCTGTAGGTTTTTAAATGGGGAGGGGAAAATCCAAAGAAGACATGTGGAAATGATGTGAAAGTCAAATTTCAGTGTCCCAGAATAAACGTAGCTGGAACACAGCCACATAGGCTCAGTGACACGGGGCAGAGCCGGGGGCTGCCGCAGGACACAGGCCCCACTGCACGGATTCGCTGTGGGGGCCCTCTGGGGAAGCTTGCCCACCTCTAGCCCAGCCTGGCTGATTCTTCCATGGCTCACATCCAAGATTAGGGGCAGGCACTGTGGTGCAGCAGGCTAAGCCACCTCCAAGACATCCACATCCCACGTGGAAGTCCCACCTCCGCTTCTGATGCAGCTTCCGGCTCAAGTGCACCCCAGGAGGGGCCGGCGCTGTGGCACGGTGGGCGCAGCCACCCCCTGCAACGCCAGCACCTCACATGGCTGCTGGTTCGAGTCCCGGCTGCTCCACTCCCGATCCAGCCTCCTGCTAGTGAGCCTAGGAAGGCAGCAGAAGATGACCCAGTGCTGGGCCCCAGGCACCCACGTGGGAGACCCAAATGGAGGTCCTGGCTCCTGGCTTTGGCCTGGCCCAGCCCCAGTTGTCGTGGGCATTTGGGAAGTGAACCAGTGGACAGAACCTCTCTCACACACACACTCTGCCTTTCAAACAAATAAAACTTAAAAAAAAAGAGGGGTGGTGTCGTGGTGTAGCAGGTTCAACTGCTACTTAGGATGCCTGCATCACACACTGCAGTGCTGGTTCGAGTCCCGGCTGCTCCACTTCTCATCCAGCTCCCCGCTAAGGCACCTGGGAAAGCAGCAGAGGACGGCCCAAGTCCTTGGGTTCTTGCCACCCATGTGGGAGACCAGGATGGAGTTCCTGGCTCCTGGCTTCATTCTGGCGCATCCCTTGGCGGGGTGGGGGGTGAACCACCAGGTGGGAGACCTGTCTCTCTCCCTCCCTTCCTCTCTGTCACTCTTTCAAATCAAATAAATAATCTTTTTTAAAAAACAAAAAGATCAGAAATCCTCTGATTGTCAGCACTGGCCTATCCCGGCCTGCCAGCCCTCGCCGCATGCTTGACTTATTCCCTGATGCTGCTCGGCCCTGCCCAGGAGCCCTGAGGTTGCAGGACAGAGACCACCTCCCCGCTCGACAGACGGGAGGTCTGAGGCCCGCCAGGCACAGGAAGTGCCAGACCACACAGCCTTCTGCAGGCCTGTGGCCCAGCCCACGGCTCCGACCGACAGCCCCCTGCCCGCCACCACCAGGAGGACACCCAGGGTCCGCCACTCACGCGCCCAGGTTCCTGGCGTCGGCGTTCGCCATCCGCGCCTCCGGGCCCACCAGCTTCACAGACTGGTACTCGTCGCCATGCTCCAGCAAGAACTGCTCCACCTGCGCCTTGTGGTGCTGCTCCTGGGGGGGGGGGGGGGGCGGGCGGGGATGAGGGCACAGGCGACACCCCGGGGCCCTGGGCACGTTCCCGGTCACCCGGGAGTCCCCACCCCCAGTCCATCACCCATGCCAGGCCCTCTGCCCGGAGTGCCCCTCCCTGGCCCGCCTTGATCATCCCGCTGAGCCACAAATGAGTGAGGTTTGTGAGCCAAGGGCCCCGTGGGCGCCTCTGTCACCAGGACACTGCTCCTCCCTCACCCCTGGGGACACATCCAGAGACCCTGCCGCCCCCACAGGTCTGGGCCGGTGCCCAGCATTCGGCGTTGCTATAAGACGTACCAGGTGATCGGTGGCAGAGCTTTGAAAACCAGCAGTCCCTATCTGAGGCCCGCCCCAGCCTGGAAGGAGGCAAGAGCGGGGGCCCCAGAGCCTGGCTTTGCCAGGATGAGCTGCGGGGCCCTGGCCAAGTCCCTCCACCTGTCTCTGCTTCAGTCTCCCCGCTCACCGGCCCCGCAAGTGGCCAGCAAGGCCAACGCTGCACACAGCAGGTCCCCAGAGCCCCCTGTGACAACTCTCTTTTCTCCCTAGAGCCCCAGTTCCTGGTGTGCTGCTGACTGTCGCCGGGGGAGCTGCGGGCCTCCCCAGGGCAGGCCGTGCCCCTCTCCTGTCTCCAAGCGGCCCCCTGCACAGCTGACAGGAGTCTCTGTGCCCAGGCAGAGAGCAGAACAAGTGTGGGCCCACGCGTCCCTGGGGGCAGGCACGGGGAGGGCAGCTGAGAAAGCCTCAGGAACTGAGCCCCCAAGAACAGGCACGAGTGGACCTGGCATCCCCGGGAGGGCGACCGGCAGGAGCCGAGAAATGGGACTTCATGCGGTAGGAAAGGTCGGCAGGAAGGAAGGGGCCTGGAACGCTGAATCCAGGCGGGCTCCCAGAGGGCACACCCGAACGAAGACCCATCCAGCTATCAAATTAGGACAGACTAAAGGGGGCAGGGACAGAAGTGACAGTGACGACAGTGGCAGCATCTCCCGTGTGCTCCCCCTGTGCGTGCCACCTGTCAACCCGCTTATCCCTGCAGCAACTGGAGGCGGCTGGCATCACTGCCATCGCCCAGGCACAGAGAGGTTGAGTAACACACCCAGGGGCACACAGCCCATCATAAAAGGGGTGCTGTTGAGAGTCCAGCCTGGCCAGTCTGAGTGATTCGGGGACACAGCCCGCCATGCACTGGGCGGCCCAGTGAGCTCCTCGGAGGTCTCGGTAGCACCTGCCACTCACGTGGTTGTGAACGAACAGCCGCATCTGTTTCCGGGGGTAGTGGAGGCGCAGCAGCCGCTGGAAGAACAGGGACAGGAACGGCGTGGGCTGCTCAATGAACACGCCGACCAGGACCGTGGGCAGAGCTTCCTCCTGCACGGGGAGAAGGCACCAGAGTCCGCCAGGGTCCAGACGCTGCACGCTGCCCAGCCCTGAGGGTGGGCTGAGCCAGAGGCAGGCGTGTGTGGACTTAGCAGCAAGGTGTCTGGGTCAGGCAGTGCCAAGCAGGCTGTGCAGGCGTGCAAGGGAGCAGGCGATGGGGTCCCAGGCGTGGAGTGAGGACCCAGTGGACAGCACTGGTCAGACCCGGCTGCCATGGCATGTGACGTGAGCCACACATGAGTGAGGTTTGTGAGCCGGGGAAGGGCTGCAGGACTGGGCAGAAGAAACCAGAAACACAGGCAACGTGGGGGGTGCTGGCGCTGTGCAGTCTGGGAAGGCTTCCAGGAGGGGGCATTGGGTGGCAATGGGGCTGCAACCCCTTTCCCTTCCAGAAACAACCAAGTCTCTAGAAACCACCATCCTCCTCGCACGGCCCAGGAGGCAGAGCCCCCAGCACCCCGCAGGCCTAGGCGGGCCCGGCAGTCTCACCCCGATGCCTTTGAGGCTGCGCAGGCCCTCGTCGCACACGGCGCAGCCCGTCTCGAAGGTCCAGAAGCGCGGGATGTAGTTGCCCAAGTAGTTCAGCTGCAGCTGTCGGAAGATGTGGGGTCAGCAAGGAGCCGGGTCAGCCCCACCCCCACAGCCACGAGTCCCATCTCCTGGGGGCCCTGGTGGACCCACACCCACCCCTCTCCCGAGAGAGTTTCATCACCCAAGACCACCACGGCTGCTCCAGGGAGAGCAGGGGAAAGGGGGCCTCCAGCGCATCTTCCGCTTTGGATTTCCCGAAAGCTTGTAAAATGCAGGTTCCCGGGCCCCGTCCCCTGGAGATGCCAGCAGGGCAGCCCCCCGGGGGAGCCAGGAAATCTGCCTGCTTATCTCCCCATCCGTGTGAGTGAGACGCAGGTGCTCCCAGACCACACTCAGAGACACTGGGAGCCATCCGCCAGTTCCCCAGCGCCAGTCAGGTGCACCTGCCCCCTGCCCCCTGCTCCCGGCCACGGATGACACGCGCCATGGCCACAGGAGCCCCTGCCCGCTCGCGGCTGGCCATGCCTACTCCCCAGTGCAAACACTCAGGAAATGTTCAGAGAATGTACAACTCCGCCTCGGTGACACCGGGTCGAGGGCTCTGGCAGCCCCGCGTGGGCCTAGCGGGGGACAGTGGCCTCTTGTGTCTGCCGCCCAGCAGGGAGAGAGGCTCCAAGTGGGGCTTAGAAGTGAGGGCACGAAGCTCCCAGGGGGCCTTGAGCAGCGGTGGGCCCACAGTGGGGGCAGGGTCGGGGCCCTCCCTACCTTGGTGGGTCCGTTGCCATGGATGAGGACAGGGAGGGTGTCGTAGGCCAGGTTCCGCGCCCGCACATGGCCCATCTCAAACTTGAGCACGACCTCATCTAGGGGTCAGAAACCACAATGCCATCGGGCGTCTGGCCCAGAGGCCTGGACTCCAATCCCAGCTCTGCACTGAACAGGTTCTGACCTTGGGCGAGTCCCTCCACCCCCTTAGGCCTCAATGTCCCCGCCTGTAAAATGGGCACACTCCCCTCCTCATGGGGTGAGAGGGGAGACTCAGTGTCTGGCAAGTGGTGGGGGCCACAGTTGGCCGGTGGTGATCCCAGAATCCACCGCAGCCCCTTCATGCATCCGTGCAGACGGGGAGCTTCCAGAAGCTCACGGAAACACTACGCACAGATTTCCACTGTTTTTTTTTCTGCACCCAAATAAGCTTATCTTTGAATTCCATTTCCAGGGACCCCTGAAGTCCTCCCCCCACCCCACTAGAGAGAGAACAAAGACCTGGAACATCCCAGCTCCAGACACAGCCCCACCGAGCCCCACACACGAGGGTCCGGAAGGCAGGACTGGGAGTGCACCAGTCATGCCAGGGGGCCGGGGCAGCACCGGGGACCCTGTCCCGGCAGAGGGAGCCCCGGCAGTGGGGATCCAACACCTGTGCTGTGAGACTTCACGGAAGAAGACGGGCCAGCAACAACTGACAGACGCGACAGTGCCTCGCAGTCAGGATGCCCACGGCCCTCACGGGAGCACCCGGCTTCCACTTCCGGCTCCCACTCCTCGGAGCCCAGCCTCCTGCCAACATGCACCCTGACGGCTTAAGGAGTTGGGTCTCTGGGACCCCTGTGGGAGACCTGGACTGATTTCCTGGTTCTCGGCTCTGGCCCAGCCAGTCTCAGCCATTTCAGGGTTTGGGGAGTGAATCGCTGAGTAGGAGCTCTCTCTGTCTCTCTCTGTAAACGGGTGGTGTGTCTGCCTCTCAAAGAAACAGTAGGGATTCTGAAAGTTTGTGGAAATGTAATTAAAAGATAAGTTCATTTTGGCACTTTTTTTTTTTTTTTTGGTAAACCCATGTATACAAGCGGTCTTTTAAAAGTTCTTGAAAAATGCCTATTATGGGGGCGGGCGCTATGGTGTAGTGGGTCCCAGCTGCTTCATTCCAATCCAGCTCCCTGCTAACGAGCCTGGGAAAGCAGCAGAAGATGGCCCAAGTGCTTGGGCCCCTGCACCCAGGTGGGAGACCCTGATGGAGTTCCATGCTCCTGGCATCAGCATGACCCAGCCCTGGTCATTGTGGCCACTTGGGGAGTGAACCAGCGGACGGAAGATCTTGCTCTCTCTGTCTCTCCTTCTCACTAACTCTGCCTTCCAATAAATAAATAAACCTTTTTTTTTAATGAAAAAACTACGGATTTCAAAATTTTTGTACCAAAATAACAGCTATTAAAAATTTATTTTATTTATTTAAGAGGCAGAGAAACAGAAAAAGAAAGGCTGGAGACAGAGAGCATCTTCCATCTATTAGTTCACTCCCCACATGGCTGCAACAGCCAGGGCTGGGCCAGGCCAAAGCCTGGAGCCAGGAGCTCATCCAGGCCTCCCACGTGGGTACAGGGACCCAGGGACTTGGAGCCTTCACTGCTGCCCCCCAGGGTCTGCGTTAGCAGGAAACCGGAATCAAACAGAGCTGTGGCTCAAACCGGGCGCAGGTGTCCCAAGGAGGGGCATCCAAGCTACTGCACCCAGCACCGGCCCCCCACCAATGTCTCGAAGTGGCCTCCTGTGCTGCGTGGGGGCCTCTTCTTCCCAGAGGCCTCTGGCCGTGGGGGAGCAGAGCCCCTGTGCGTGGGCTCCTGGGCTGCCAGGAGGGGATGGGGACCCAGCTCCCTAACATAGGACCACGAACCCTGGGAACCCCAGGCGGGGGTGTCCCGTTGCTGCATTTCTGGGAAAAGAGCCACGGCTTTCATTAGGTTCTCCAAGGGCCCATTTGCCCCCCACACAACCACCAGGAACCAAAGACAGATAAACTGAGGCCCTGGGGTAGGGGGCAGGGAGTTTGCCATGCTTGGGGTCACCTAGTAAGACCTGTGGCACAGCTACATCACCACCAGCCATGGCCGAGAGGCTGGGCCCAAGGGCCAGGCAGCCTCTGCTTCCCAAGTGGTCCATCAAGTCCCTGCCAGCTCAGGCCCCACCCCCAGCCAGAGAACCCTTCACCTGGAAGGTGGGAGGGCCGGGAAAGGAGGGGGAGGAGGCCCACCTGTGAGGCTGAGGCCGCCAGGGCGGGCGGGGTCCAGTGTGTGCAGGACCCAGCTCCACCCAGGCAGAACAACACCCCCTTCCCTGCCCCCTGCTGAGACAGACACAGCTCTGCTCCGAGGATGCCGGTGGTCTCTGGGGACACTGGGGGCGGTGGAGGGAAAAGGCCACAGCCCCCCAGCACAGCAGCCAGACCGGAAGCAGCCTGGATCTCCTCCTGGACCCCTCCCCTCCCCCCTCCCTCCCTCCCCAGGGTCCGTCTGCACCGGGGCCCCACCCCTCCCGCAGGGCTGCTCACCCAAGGCTCCGTCCAGGTTCTGGAAGATGCGGCAGCGGTGGTCCAGCGTGATGTTGATGCGCTCCTGTGGAAAAGAGGCCACCGGGCTGCAGCAGGGACCAGAACCCCCTCACACCGGGGCGGCGCCTGTCCCCGCCCGGCTCTGCCTTGTCACATCAGGAGCCCGGCGAGGGCCAGCAGCAGAGCGCTGGGACCCACTATTCCCGTGGCTGCGACCACAGAGCGCGGGCTGCAGTGAGGACAACCAGGACCACAAACAGCGTTCAGCGCTTTGCTGCGGGCTCACCGCCGCCTGGCAGCTTCCACACACGTCCACTAGTTTACTCCCCACGGCGGCCCTATGGACACCACAGCCATGGCTGCGCTTTATGGCCGAGAACCCCACCACTGTGTTCACACACCCAGCCTCCTGGACTGGTGGCATGAAAAATGTCTGTTTTTTTTTGTTTGTTTGTTTGTTTGTTTGTTTTTAAGATGTATTTATTTATTTGAGGGGCAGAGTTGCAGACGGGGGAGGGAGGCTTCCATCTGCTGGTTCACTCCCCAAATGGCCACAATGGCCAGAGCTGGGCCAATCTGAAGCTTCCTCTGGGTCTTGAGGCACATGGGTACAGGGGCCCAAGGACTTGGGCCATCTTGTGCTGCTTTCCCAGGACATTAGCAGGGAGCTGGATGGGAAGTGGAGCAGCTGGGACATGAACTGGTGCCCACATGGAATGCCGGCGCTGCAGGCAGAGGGTCAGTCCACAACACCCCAGCGCCGGCCCCAAGAAGTGTCTGCTGTTCCTAAGCCACTGACAGCCGCTGTAACGGACAAAGTCACCAACCCAGGGGATCGGGCCCCGAGAGGCTGTCCCCATGCAGCCTGGCCGGTCGGAGTCAGGATTTCCCTCCCCTCTGCTCGGCCCACCCGTTGCCTCTTACCCGCTTCTCGGGGTCCAAGAAGATCTTGGTATAGAAGAGCTGGTCGCTGTCGCTGTCCTGGCCCTCCCACTCGGCCACCAGTTTGCGGAGGCTGGGGGCGTAGCCGATGAAGCCTGGGGGTGAGGGTGGGCAGGGACTCTAAGCCAGGGCCCCCCCCCCGCCCCTCTCCTCTCAAACACCTCCCACTCCTTTATTCCCAAATGCGCCTCCTCTGAGAAGTCCTCCTGGATTCAGGACATGTGGGTTGCAGGCCTGAAATGGGCCTACCACTCAATGTTACTGGCTGACAATGCATCCAGAAAGATTAATTAAGTACAGCGCCTCAGCACTGAGCGCCATCCCGGTGGTGAATAGGACTGGACCAGGGACCCCCGGGGAGCAGAGCCAGTGGGCACAGGCTTGGAGCCCCTTTTACCCGGTAATCTGGGAACCACAACCCAGAGAAGGGCAGAGACTAGCCAAGGTCAGACACAGTAATCTGAAGGCTGAGCTGTGGCATAGTGAGGTGGCCACCATGTCCAGCACACAGACTGCTGAGAGAGCGGAGAGAACCAGGACACTCCCACCCACGGGCCAGGCGGGGCCGGGCGTCCAACTGTGCCCACCCTCTGGGCCAACGGACAGGGGCCGCTGGGGACAGATCCCCCAGCTGAGGCTGGACGGGGCCTCTGGGGACAGATTCCCCAGCTGAGGCTGGACGGGGTCTCTGGGGACAGATCCCGCAGCCGAGGCTGGACGGGGCCTCTGGGGACAGATCCTCCAGCCGAGGCTGGACGGGGCCTCTGGGGACAGATCCCGCAGCCGAGGCTGGACGGGGCCTCTGGGGACAGATCCCGCAGCCGAGGCTGGACGGGGCCTCTGGGGACAGATCCCGCAGCCGAGGCTGGACGGGGCCGCTGGGGACAGATCCCCCAGCCGAGGCTGGACGGGGCCTCTAGATTTGATTCTCCTGCAGCAGAAGTCATGCAGACGTAAATGCATCTGTAAGTTTTGTGAAGACCCCTCTGGCTGCTGGGCGGGGGATGGAAGGGGAGGGGACGGAGGCAGAGGCTGGCAGAGCAGTCGGGGGACACTGCAGATGGCGGGGACCCAGTGAGGGTGGGGACCCCCAGGGCAGTGGCAAGAGATGTTCCGGAGGCGAGGGGTGATGTGGTTCACCAGTGGACAGGAGGTGGAGGGAGACCGGGAAGAACCGAGAGTGACTCCCGGGTCTGCCCGTGCGGGCAGGCGGCTGTCTAACAGATCTGGAGCAGGTCTGGGCTTACACAAATCAGAATCTCAGGGCCGGAGCTGCGGCACTGCGGGTGAAGCTGCCACCCAGGACGCTGGCGTCCCCTGTCGGAGTGCAGGTTCCAATCCCAGAGCCCTGTTCGGGACGTTCCACACTTGGGCCCTAGACACACGCACGGGATGCCACGCGGGGGAGGGGCACGGAGGCGGGCCCCTCTGCTGGGCCGCACACCCTGCCCCCGTCTCTCACCTCCAGAGCCCAGGAACCTCTTCCCGTCCGACACCACCGGGTATTTGGCCTCCAGCCTGCGGTCCGGGTAGATGAGCTCCTCGGCAGAGAAGACCACCTGGCTCCTGGCCTGCCGGAACTTCTTCAGGAGCTCCCGGGGCCCCGACGCAAACACCACGTCGTAGCTGCGGCCAGAGCAGGGGGAAGCCAGGGGGCGCAGAGGTGAGCAGGGGCCCCGTGGGGGACCAGGGGCCGCAGCTCTCCCCAGACCAGGGGCCGCGGCATTCCCCAGAGCCCTCCACGCACGCCAGCCTGGGCCCCCATGTGGAAAACGGGTCTGCTCCGTGGTCCACCTGCCACGCTCCTACCCCTGCCCAGGGCAGAAACCTGCCCCTGTCTCAGGCAGGCGGCCCCTCCCATCTTTTCACCAAGCGGCTACAAAGGGCTACACCAGGGAGGTTTTGTTTGTCTGTCTGTTTTTAAGATTTAGTTATTTGAAAGGCAGAGCCAGAGAGAGACCTTCCACCCATTGATTTTCTCCCCAGATGGCCACAACAGCTGGGGATGGAGCTCCATCCAGGTCTCCCACATGGGTGCAGGGGCCCAAGCACTTGGGCCATCCTCTGCTGCTTTCCCAGGTGCACAAGCAGGGAGCTGGATGGGAAGTGGAGCAGCCAGACTCAAACAGGTGGTCATATGGGATGCCGGCATCACAGGCAGCGGCTTAACCTATTGCACCACAGTGCAAGCTACCTACACCAGAGGGTTTTATCCGAAGTTCATGGGTCTCCTGAAGACTACGGGCGCCCCAGTTAGACCGAGGCGCTGTCATCCTCGCTACTCTGGGGCACCCTCGTTTCTGGACACGGGCACCCCTTGGAGACACCGCAGGTCCGGTTCCAGAAAGCTGCAAGAAAGCGAGCTCCCCGAAGCGTCTGGCCTCCCACTGCCTGTGAGTCATGTTGGCACTTTAGTCTACGAAGCGAGCACCAGCATGGTATCTGAAACACAACGGACAGGGGCCTGCGCTGTGGCACAGGGGTTAGGCCGCCGCTGGCAATGCCAGCATCCCGTACGGGAGGGCCGGTTACAGTCCCTGCTGCCAGCATCCCGTACGGAGGGCCGGTTACAGTCCCGGATGCCAGCATCCCTTACGGGAGGGCCGGTTACAGTCCCGGATGCTCCACTTCCACACAGCTCCCTGCCGGTGTGCCTAAGAAAGCAGCAGAAGACGGCCGAAGGCCCCTACTATACACGTGGGAGACTCGGATGGAGTTCCTGGCTCCAGGCTTTGGCCTAGCCTCGACCTGGCTGTCGCAGCCCGTGGCTAGAAGAGCCACCTCTCGCCTTCTCTCTCTGCACCCCGCTCACCTGTCAGTGAAGAGAACGACCAGGTCCTCCTTGTCTGCGTGCTTCTCCAGAGCCTTCCTCAGCAGACGAACCTTCTGCCCTCCCCCTGCAGACAGCCCCTTCTCCACGGGCCAGTCCTCCCCCAGGCCCAGCGCCTGCAGAGAAAGACCTCTTAGCACCGGCTTCTGGTAAAGGCTTTTCCGGTCAAATCTCCACCCTCAGCTGCACCAGGAACATCTTTGCCTTTGTTTGCCCAGCACCTCCAATCCTCCCCTGTGGGGAATGTGTGTGAGGCTGACCTGGCGCCTCCAGCGGTCACATGACCACGTCTGGCCAATCAGAATGCCCCATCCCTCCTGCCCCTCCCACACATGAGCATGTGACCCAAGCATGGCCTATCAGAGCCTTCCCTGGGACTTTTTAAAACTAAGGACAGGTTGTCTTAGTATGTGTATGGGGTATGTGGGTGTGTGGCTGGCAGTCACCTGGCGACCATGTGAAGAAAGTACATCAGTAAATGGAAACAAACAGCAGCACCCCGTGGTGGAAAGACAAAGCCAAAGCCTTTGTTCTGCATCTCGGAGCCTCGGATCCGGCGAGGCCTGAGGGCCCACTCTGCTCCAAGCTTCACTCGTGTGAGCTAGTAACACACCTTCCTTCTGGCTCAGTGCCACTGGACGGCAAGCTCTAGGCAGTGGCCTGGGGTGTCTCGTCCATCGCTCTACCCCAGGGCCCACCACAAGCACTCGGGACACTCAGCTGAGCGCAGGGCAGTCCCCCTGTGGGGCTCAGTCCCCAGACTGCAGAGGCCCCCAAGTCCAGCCCACTGCAGGACTGGGCATTGGCTCCCATTGCTTGAGGGAGGAGTTCACACCACAGGCGAGGTCTCCACACCACGTCCCTCCCAAGCTCACCTGGGGGAGTCTGTGGGAATGCTGGTTCCCAGGCCCTGTCCTCGAATCCTGCCCCCGCCCCTGCCCCCGCCCCCGCCCCCGCCCCCGCCCCGAGTCTTCTGCATGCTAACATCTGAGCACCACCCTACATCTCGCCAGCCCAGCCTCACCGTTCGCCCACCTCCTAGACTTGGCTCAGGCTGTCACCCCTGCTGCCTCCTCCTCTCCTAACCCGCTCATTTGCTTTTTTTTTTTTTTTTTTTAAGATTTACCTATTTATTTGAAAGGCAGAGTTTCAGAGAGGCAGAGAGAGAGAGAAACAGAGAGAGACAGAGAGAGAGAGAGAGAGAGGTCCCCCATCTGCTGGTTCATTCCCCATTTGGCCGCAACTGCTGGAGCTGTGCCATTCTGAAGCCAGGAGCCAAGAGCCTCCTCCGTGTCTCCCCCGTGGGTGCGGGGACCCAAGGACTTGGGTCATCCTCTATGGCTTTCCCAGGCCATAGCAGAGAGCTGCACTGGAAGCGGAGCAGCCAGTACTTGAACTGGCGCCCATATGGGATGCCGATGCTGCAGACATTGGCTTTAACCTGCTGTGTCACAGCACCGGCCCCAACTCAGCTCATTTTCCTCCAAGTCCGCCTCAGGGGCCCTGCAGTGTCGGGGCGGGGGCGGGGGGGGGGGGGAGACGTGGGCCTCCAGGTTCCCCTCGCAGTCTCTGCCTTGCCCAGGAAGCCCCATTACCTGGATCTTGTAGTTGAAGAACTGGGCTGAGCGCTTGAAGCGGCGGAAGCCCTCCGTCTCCTTCGTGGCCACAGTGAGGACCAAGAGGTTGTCTGCGGACAGGGGAGGGCGTGGATGGGAACAGACAGACAAGGGGAGAGGTCACAATCTGCAGGGACCTGGCAAATCCTGGCCTCGCACATCTCCATGTCAACACGTTAACCCACAAGGGCGCAGGCAGGAAGAGAGGTGGCCGCGAGCACCCAGCCGGGTCTCCTGATTCCCTCCCAGGGCTCCTTCCACCTGCTAACTGACCAACCGCTCAGGCAGCAGCCACGGGAAAGGTGTCTGCACCTTCAGCTTTCAGGGGCAGGGGAACATGTGCTCCAACTGCTGCTGCCAGGGGCATCTCTCCAGCCAGTGTGGGACGTTAGCACCGGGATGGCAAACACAAGGCTCAGAGGCACTGTCTCCATGCTTGCACCCAGGGCAGACATTACTAATCCATCCCCACACTCGATCTCCCCAAGCTTCACATAGCCCTGCGTTCTCCCAACACCACGCTCCAGGCTGAGTTGGTCCACCGTAGAAAGTGACTTGAAATTCCTCATGAGTCCACTTGTGACCTGGGGCCAGAGCAGCTGTCACTGCCTCTCTAACAGGTGGCCTCTCCCAGACTCTGCGGTGTGGCTCCTCTCTGCAATAGAACCTGCTGAGACAAATTCCCCACCCAGCAGCTCTGGGAAACCTGGGAAGCCCGGTCTGGAGCTGGCCTGCCCGATGAGAATCCCAGCTCTGCCCCTTACCAGCTGTGTGCCCCCCGGCAAGTCCTCGGCTTCTCTGAGGCTCGGTCTCCGTCTTGTGAAGTCGCGATAACGACAGTGCCCACCTCCCAAGTCACTGGGCCAGCTGAATGAGGCCTTGCCCCAGCAGTCAAGGCCCTCCCTGGTCCGGCTAGGTGATGTCCTCACCCCTCCATCCTGCAGTCCTCCAGCTGGGGCCTCACCTCCTGCCCTGGCTACCTACGCGTCCCCAGTCTCTAACCTTCCTCCAGGCCACACGGCTACTGACAATGACACCCTTTCCCCACCACTGCCTCCATGAAGCCTTCTCAGATTGCTCCTGCCCTCTGGCCTCCAGCCTCAGAGGCAGGACCCACTGGCAGCTGTCATCATTGGTGCCACACTGTGGAGGGTCCCAGACTCATGGGTTTCTGGGTGAACGGAACAAACAAACGGCCAGGCCAAGGGCAGGCAAGTGAGCCCTCCCCCCTTCCCCAGCCCCAGGGAGTCAGGAGACGCCTGGGCCCAGAGAACAAAGAGGTCTCACTGGTCAGAGCTGGCCGAGGCTGTGCAGAAGCCCCACCGCTGGCCCCAGGGCAGAGGGCTGGCGCCAGGCAGCCCTGCAGGGACTGGCAGGCATCAGCTGGGGGCCCTTGCTGGGGCAGGAGTGGGGCACGAATGCACCAGCAGGTATGGAGAGGGGGTGCTCGTGGTGGAGAATGACTTGGAGGCCGGGAAGGAAGAGAAAGGGTTCCCCGACTCCTGCCAGGATGGCTGGGTCCCCATTCCCCGAGGTGAGGGGAGCCAGAGCCACCCGCTGAGGCCCTCTTGTCAACAGGGGCTGGCTGGGGACAGGAAAGGGGTCACATTTCACAGATGGAAAAAGCTCTGTGTGTAAGAGTCTAGCTGCGCCTTTTGGAAAAGGCTGGTGAAGGCAGGCAGCAGGGGAGGGGCCGAGGGTGGGGGATGGTCCCGGGGCTCCCTTCTCAAATTCCTGCATCCAAATCACCGCAGTGGAAGCCGCCAGCCCCATGCAGCTGCGCACTGTGCCCGGAGAGCCTGGCACACAAGGGCCCTGCGCTGGGCGCTGGACGGTGAGGAAGCCAAGGCGCACAGCCGGGGAGGACCTCACCCCAGGGGCCGGCCCCAGGATGAGCGCACCAGAAGCCCGGACCCACGTCCCCTCTCTTAATCTGACTGTGTGCAGTGCCCAGGCCCTGGCTGCCAGGCCATCCCTGTCTCCCCATCTGTCGTCCAGGAAACTGGCTGGGCTAGAGAGGCGGGCCCTGGCCACGCGGCACCCCCCCATGCCCACCGGCCTCCCCTTCGGCCTGCCTCTTCCCTGCTGCCAGGTGCCTGCACTGGGACCTCAACAAACCCCAGCTTCCCTGGGCCATGCAGCACCCACGCCCCTGCTGAAGATCCCACCAGATCTCAGATTCCTGGGCCCCAGGGCCAGAGGTCCAAGGTGGGCCCAGGACTCTGGATCCTTCTGGCAGTCCCTAGGTCATTTCTGAGGTCGGCCATATTGGGGAGCCACCATCCCAGCCCATGCCCCCCTGGCGCCAATGCAGGGTCTGGGAGGTGTTCACAGCAGAACACAAGGCAAGCCCCACCCCCAGGGACCCTGGCACCACCTCTCACTCCCCCCATACAGCCAGGCTGCCCCCTATTCCCTTGACCTGACTGTGACACTTGCTCCTTCCCGCCAAGAAGCGGCTGGTCCACCTCCTCCAGGAAGCCCTACTTAATCTCATGCCCTCATCTGGTCGCTCCAGTTGCCCAGCACTTGGTAGTCAGGCACCGACACAGACCTGCTCCTCTGTCCCGTGCCAGGCCTGGGCCACATCATTTCCTCGGCTCCCCTCCCCCAACCTGGCTGGGACTGAGTGTGCCCGAGGAGCGGTGTGCGACAGGTGTAAAGATACCACGTGCAGGTGCTGTGCGAAGCATGTGGCATTCGTCATCCTGTTTGACCGTGGCCACCTGATGAGGCAGGCACAGAGCAGCTGAACAACCTGCGGAAAACCCTGTCTGCCATTCCAGACGCCCACGCCCTGAGCCTCACCGTTGCCCTGCCCAAGAGCCCAGCATCTCCGAGTGCCAGAGACCCCCACCACAGCATCCCCACGCCCCCTCTCAGGCCTCCCCGGACGGGGACCCCAACGCCAGTCACCAGTCACGAGGGAAGGCCTTTTTCCAACCCACCAGCCCGCAGGCCCGGACTCTGGGCAACCACAGGGAGTCGGGTGGAGGATCGGGTTTCTGAGCCCCAGGGCCCCGCCCACCTGCTTTCTGTCTGCCGCCGCGGCCAGCCTTGGGCTAAGTCCAGGGCCCACATCAGCCTGGCATCCGGAACACCCAGCTTCCCCCACCTGCTGCCCAAAGTCCAGCAATGATTTCCCCAGATGGACAAAGGATGGGACAGGAAAGACAGGCTGCTAGGAAGGCCAGTGAACCTCCGTGCCTGGCCTCCCATGCAAAGTCTGTAAGAGCGGATACTGCGGATAACGGCGATACAGCTGGCCCTTCCTCCTTGCAGGTACAGTTCAACCAAGTGCAGCCCCGAAACAGTCAGCAAAAAGCTGCTTCTGTGCTCAACACGAAGACTCTTCTTTCCTGTCATCATTCCCTAAAGAACGCAGAGTAGGCCGGTGCCACGGCTCACTAGGCTAATACTCCGCCTTGCGGCACCAGCACACCGGGTTCTAGTCCCGGTCCGGGCACTGGATTCTGTCCCGGTTGCCCCTCTTCCAGGCCAGCTCTCTGCTGTGGCCCAGGAGTGCAGTGGAGGATGGCCCAAGTACTTGGGCCCTGCACCCGCATGGGAGACCAGGAGAAGCACCTGGCTCCTGGCTTCGGATCAGCGCAGTGCGCCGGTTGCAGCGCGCCAGTCACGGCGGCCATTGGAGGGTGAACCAATGGCAAAGGAAGACCTTTCTCTCTGTCTCTCTCTCTCTCACTGTCCACTCTGCCTGTCAAAAAAAAAAAAAAAAAAAAAAAAAAGAACGCAGAGTAACAACTGGTTGGGTTTGGGTTTTGGTTTTTTTGGTTGTTTTTACATTTATTTTGTTTATTTGAAAGGCAGAGTTACAGAGAGGGAGGGAGAGACAGAGAGAGAGCTCCCACCTGCTGATGGCCACATGGCCAGGGTTGTGCCACACTCCAACCAGGAGCCAGCAGCTCCAGTTAAGTGTCCCACATGGGTGCAGGGGCCGAAGCCCTAGGGCCATCTTTTGCTGTTTTCCCAGGCACATTATCAAGGTGCTGGATCAGAAGTGGAGCAGCTGGGACTCAAACTGGCACCCACATGGGTGGCAGCATTGCAGGTGGTGGCTTCACCTGCTATGCCACAACACCGGCCCCAGTGTAACTACTGGTTGTGTAGCATTTATATTGTATTAGGGGTTACCAAGCATCTAGAGATGAGTTAAGGTGTAAGGGGGGGCCCAGCATTGGGGTACAGCAGGTTAAGTTTCCACATGTGACGCCAGCATCCCATATGGGCGCTGGTTGGAGTCCCGGCTGCTCCACTTCTGATCCAGTTCCCTGCTATTGTGCCTGGGAGAGCAGCAGAAAATGGCCCAAGTACTCGGGCCCCTGCCACCCACGTGGGAGGCCTGGATGGAGTTCCAGCTTCCTGGCTTCAGCCCGGCCCAGCCCTGGCCATTGTGGCCATTTGGGGAGTGAAGCAGCGGATGGAAGATCTCTCTCTCTCTGTCTCTCCCTCTCTCCTTTTTCCTCTCTCTCCCTCTCTTGTTCTGCCTTTCAGATAGATAAATCTTTATACATAAATAAAGTATATGGGCAGGTGTGTGTCAGTTCCATGCAAACACCACACCGTTTTACGTACAGAACTCGGGCAGCCTTGGGTTTTGGCATGTGTGGGAATCCTGGAACCCACGTGCGTGGACACCAAGGGGCCCTCCAGGGACCCGTGACAACTGGACGAGCTGATGTCTGTAAAGTGCTCAGCACCCACTCCTTGCCGTGGGACAGCACGGCCCACCCAAGTCCAGCTGACCTCCTGGGAGCCTCTGACCCCAGCAGCTGTCCTTCCCTGGACACGGCCAAGCCAAGGCCTGCAGGCACAGCCATGGGCCCAGCCAGAGAGCCGGGAATCAGTCTCTCCAAGAGCCAGAGAGGGCTCGGGCATCCGGGCCCGCTGCTTGTCTGCACATCCCGCTGCTAAAGGCCTTTTCTGACCCTCACACTGGTCTGGAAGCTTCCAGGACAAGACAGCATCTCCTCCCTCAGACACAAGGGTCCCTGGGGCTGGAGGGGAGTGTCTCCCCCATCAGATTGGGGGGGTCTGCCGAGGTGAGGAGCTGTGTGTCCCCCTCGCCTGGTGCCCCTGCATGTGAAAACCGTCCACAGGTGTTCAGGTGAAGGGATACCCAGCTGCCAAGGGCGCCCCCTCCCACCACACTCCCCAAGACCCCAAAGCAAATCCCCTTCCCCACACTGGGACCCAGGCCACGCCCCTGTGTCTGCTCCTCGCCAGCTGCCTGCCGGGGGAGGGGGAGCTGGCCTCCCTGGGGGTGCGGGGCTGCCCCGGCCTGCGGTCAGTGAGCAGCTCTGAGGCCAGCAGGGAAAATGACCATCTCGTCCGACTGCCTGTCCGGCCGGCTGCAGGTGTCATCGCGGCCAGGTTGGGGGGCAGAGGAGGCTCCCCGAGGCAGCATTTCCGGCGGCAGCCTCTTGCCTGCAGAGTTGGGAGCCAGCAGGTCTGGGCCCCAGTCGCTGACTCTACTTGCAACGAGATGCGGCAACCCAAGACAGGCGTGTTTAAGCTTTCAGGGCCTCGGTTTTCCCACCTGCAAAACGGAGCTGATAACTTCTCACCTAGTCGAAGGGTGCAAATAGAGCTAGGAGAGCGAAGGGCCTCACCCCGCTAGTGGCCTGGCGTCAGGCCCTGCCTGGGGAGTGCACGGGTTCTGCTGGGCGCTTCCCCTGTGTGGCCTCAGCAGCGCCACCCTGAGCCCGCCCCCGCCCACAGCAGCACCCTGGGAGTCGGGCACCTGAGGCCCTCTCATCAGTTCGGCCCCTCTCTGGCCTCCTCCGGGAACTGTCCTGGGAGAACGAGGCTCACATCAGCAGATGCCCAGGGCAAAAAGGAGGGGTGGTTATGGGGCTTCTGGCTTTGGGCAGTCAGGGGACCCAGGCCACAGGCCCTCTGCACACACTCCCAGCCCAGCCTTGGGCTTAGCTTCTCCCCCACAGACTTTTTTTCTAAAGATTTTTTATTAAAAGACAGAGAGACAAGGAGGTCTTCCATGCGCTGCTCCATTCCCCCAAAGGGCCACAATAGCTGGCACCAGGCCAGGTCAAGGCCAGGAGCCAGGAACTCCATCTGGGTCTCCCAAGCGGGTGGCAGGAAACCAAGCACTCGGGCCATCCTGTGCTGCCTCCCAAGGACATCAGCAGAGAGCTGGAGCAGAAGCGGAAGCGGGACTCCATCCCAGGCACGTCCATATGGGACGCAGGTGTCCCGAGCCATGGCGGCCTAAGCCATTGTGCCACGCCGCCTGCCCCTCACGGGCTTTTTGGCCTGTCCTGAGGCCCTGCCGGCCTCCTGGAAAGCCGGCAGCCCTGGGCCCAGGGAGATCACGCCCACCGCTGAGGGTCAAACTCTAACCCACCGGCCTTATCCCATGGGACCCCTGCAGCGCGAGCGAGGTATTATCACTGGTTTTGCAGCTAGAACACCGAGCCTCATGGGGATGAAACCACACAACAGCACAAAGAAGGTCCAGTCGCCCGGGAGTCCCCAGGGGACTGGCTCCAGGACACCCCCACCCACTCAGGACACCAAACTCCAAGGCCTTACACAAAACGGCACACGAGACAGGCGTCTGGCACAGCAGCGAAGACGCTGCTCAGGAGGCCACATCCCTCTCACAGCGCCTGGCTTTGGGTCCCAGCTCCCCTTCCGGTTCCAGCTTCCTGATGATGTGCACCCCGGGAGCAGGTGATGCCCAAGCCCACGGGGCCCTGCCAGCCACGGGGGAGGCCTGGATTGAGTCTGCAGCTCCTGGCTTTGGCCTGGCCCAGTCCCAGCTGTCGCAAGCATTCGGATGGATTTGAGGATCTCTGCCTCTCTGTGACTCTGCCTTTCACATGGATAAAAATAAATAAGTAAAAAAATAAATAAATAAACAGGGTCGGCGCTGTGGCGTAGCAGGTAAAGCTACCACCTGCAGTGCCAGCATCCCATATGGGCACTGGTTCAAGTCCCAGCTGCTCCACTTCCGATCCAGCTCTCTGCTATGGCCTGGGAAAGCAGTGGAAGATGGCCCAAGTGCTTGAGCCCCTGCACTCACGTGGGAGACCTGGAAGAAGCTCCTGGCTCCAGGCTTCGGATCAACCCAGCTCCGGCTGTTGGGAGTGAACCAGTGGATGGAAGATCCCAATCTCTCTCTCTCTCTCTCTCTCTTTCTCTCTCTGCCTCTCTGTAACTCTGCTTTTCAAATAAATATTAAAAAAAAAAAAATTAACAATACTTCCAGGCCAGCTCTCTGCTGTGGCCAGGGAGTGCAGTGGAGGATGGCCCAAGTCCTTGGGCCCTGCACCCCATGGGAGACCAGGAGAAGTACCTGGCTCCTGCCATCGGATCAGCGCGGTGCGCCGGCCGCAGCGAACCAGCCGCGGCGGCCATTGGAGGGTGAACCAACGGCAAAAGGAAGACCTTTCTCTCTGTCTCTCTCTCTCACTGTCTACTCTGCCTGTCAAAAAAAAAAAAAGAAAATTTAACAATAGGGGCCGGTGCCATGGCTCACTTGGTTAACCCTCCGCCTGCGGCGCTGGTATCCCTATGGGCGTTGGGCTCTAGTCCCGGTTGCTCCTCTTCCAGTCCAGCTCTCTGCTGTGGCCTGGGAGGGCAGTGGAGGATGGGCCAGGTGCTTGGGCCCTGCACCCGCATGGGGGACTAGGAGAAGCACCTGGCTCCTGCCATTGGATCAGCGCAGCGCCGGCCATGGCAGCCATTTGGGGAGCGAACCAATGGAAGGAAGACCTTTCCCTCTGTCTCTCTCTCTCACTGTCTATAACTCTACCTGTCAAATAATAAAAAATAAAAAAAAGTCATTTGAAAAATTTAACAATAAAAATATTTGCATATAACTGGGCCAGCACCGCGGCTCACTAGGCTAATCCTCCACCTTGCGGCGCCAGCACACTGGGTTCTAGTCCCGGTCGGGGCACCGGATTCTGTCCCGGTTGCCCCTCTTCCAGGCCAGCTCTCTGCTGTGGCCTGGGAGTGCAGTGGAGGATGGCCCAAGTCGTTGGACCCTGCACCCCATGGGAGACCAGGAGAAGCACCTGGCTCCTGGCTCCTGCCATCGGATCAGCGCCGTGCGCTGGCCGCAGCGCGGCGGCCATTGGAGGGTGAACCAACGGCAAAGGAAGGCCTTTCTGTCTCTCTCTCACTGTCCACTCTGTCTGTCAAAAAATAAAAAATATATATATTTGCATATAACCTACACACGTCCTCCCATAGACTGTAAGTCATTGCTAATGACTTACGATGCCTAGCACGTGTAAATGCCACGTAGAGTTGTCACGCTATGTTGCTTAGGGAATCATGGCAGGGAAAAACAGCCAGTACAGGTGCGGGTTTTTTTTTTTCCGCCTGCCGGTGGCTGGATCTATGGACGCAGACGCTGAGGACCCGGAGGGCTGGCTGCACTCACCACCCAGGGGTGCCCCTTTCCGGGGCCGAGCAGCAGAGCCCAGGTTCTGGCTGCTGTGCCACTGCCCCCCCCCCCCCAGCTCCCTGCTCCCAGGTTCTCCAGGAGCAGGGATGGCCAGCCTGGCTCGGCTTGGCTGGGGTTCCGCACAGTCTATGCTGCCCCCCTCGGGGCTCCTGGGTGCTCAGTGGGCAGCCCTGGAGGAGGCCCACGCAGGGGAGGAGAGTGGCACCCGCTCAGGGCTGAAATGCAGTCTGCCTTGGGGAAGGAGAAGGAGCCCTTGGATAGGGAGTCCAGGAGACCGGGGACCAACCACCCCAGGGCTAGGGAACCCCCAGCAGTCACCGCACTGACCCACCCTAGCCTCAGTGTGAACTGGAGAGAGGAAGGCCAGCCTGGCGGGGAGCCCAGCCCACGGGTGGTAGAAGGCACGGGTGGGAGACGCTGCTCCACCTTCCACCTCCACTCCTCGCAACACCGCAGGACCCCTCACGCCCGTGGCTCCGGGCTAGGCTGGACCCAGAACCGGGGTGGATCCCGGTTCCAAGGCCCATAAACTGGGCGTCCTTGGGCAAGCGAATCAACACTGGCCGTCCACTTCGCCGGCTGAGAAATGGGCTTATAGCAGGAACCGCGTCCGAGGGAGCAATCGCGCTGCCCTGGTGCCTGGCCGCAGGCCGGTAGCCTCCGAGCACCGCCCCCGGGCTCCACCGGACTTCGGCGGGCACCCTCTCCCCCCGGGCGCACCAGTGGCACCCGGCGGCCCCGAGAAGAGAAGCCGAACGAGTCGCCGGCACCCGGACCCCTCCCAGCCCAGGCCTCCCGCTCACGCCGCCCCTGCCCAGGCGACCCCGGGTCCAGCCCGCCCGCCTCGGCCCCTGCCCGGCCGCCGCGCCCTCACCCTCCGGCTTCGCATCGCCCTTCGCTGATGCCAGGAGCAGCCAGCCCAGCTGGGCCAGGAGCAGGAGGGGCCGCATGGCCGGGGCCTGGGGACGCTCGGCGGCTCGGCGGCGCTCGCGGGACTGGAAACTTGGCGACGCGGCCGGCGGGGCCGCTGCCACGCACGGGGCCCGCCCCGGGGGCGGTGCGTCCCCGCCCCCGCCCCTCCCCGAGCCCCTGCCCGCCGGGGAGGGTTTTCCTGCGGGTGCGCACGGAGCCCGGGGCGCGCGGAGGGCGAGGTTCTGAGACCCCCGGTGCCCGGCCCGGGCTTGGCGGCTTCGGGAGCCGGGAGCCGCGGGCGGATCCCCCGAGAAGCGGGGCTGCTCGCTCCTCTGCTCCGCGGGTCTTGTCTGGTTTGGCGACGTTGCCAGTAGCGCTTAGGACAGCCTGGGACGGGCCCCCAGGAAGCCAGGCCCCTGTGAGCGCGTTGGTGGGGCGGGAATCTCAGCCTGGAATGGGCCAGGGTGGGCACGGTGTGCTCAGAGCCCTCCACCTTTTCCAAACAGTGCATCTGCACCCCCAGCCCCAATGAGGGAGCCAGTTAATCCGCCTTTATCCCTGGAGGCAAACTGCGGGGCCCCAGGTTTGGGTTTACCGACTTCAACCAGGGGTGACCGTGGGTTGGGCCTGGGGTGTGTTAAGAAGACCCAGAGTAAATTCAGGAGGCCTCTTGCAAGGGGGCCCCCACCGAGCAGAGCGGTAGCTTTAATAGGGGTAAGGAATCCATCCCTTAGACAGATCCTTCCGTCGATCAAGGACCCCGTCCAATTAAAAACACAACAGTATTCTGGGGAGGGGGGGGGGGCCTCAACCCGGGTGGGGGCGGCTCCTGTACAGGGGACCCCCTGGAAGGGGATGGCACAGATGTCACAAACAACCGGGGCAGGCGGTGGGGGGGGCAGGGACAGGGAAGTCAGCAGCACGCAGGGTCAGCCGGGCAGGACGCTGACCCCAGCACTGGCTGCCCAGTGGCCCTGCTCGGTGAATATGCCATTGTCCCAGCAGACAGGCATAGAGACGCTATCTCTTACAGCCAGAGGTTCACATGGATTTTCCAGGCTGTGGGATTTTTTAAATATCTATAAACTTATACTGAACGATTTCTAGGTAGTTTGATTTTCTTATTTCTACTTTTTTTTTTTTGCAATGAATATTCTCTATTTGTACAATTCCAACAAAACCAACACTTTTTTTTTTTCCAAAGATTTATTTATTTGAAAGGTGGACTTACAGAGAGAGGAGAGACAGTAAGAGGAGTTTTCCATCCACTGGTGCACTCCCCAAATGGGGGCTGGGCCAGGTCAAAGCCAGGGGCCAGGAACTTCATCCAGCTCTCCCACGTGGGTGCAGGGGTCCAAGGACTTGGGCCGTCCTCTGCTGCTTTCCCAAGCACATCATCAGGGAGCTGGACAGAAGTAGAGCAGCCAGGACTTGATCCAGCGCTCATATGGGATGCTGGCACCTTGGACCGTGGCTTAACCGCTGTGCCACAATGCTGGCCCCAACGCATGTTACTTTTAGGAGAGAGGGACACTCTCTGGGAACGTGGAGATGGCCTGGTTGCACAGAGTTTTGCTGAGTGCAGATGGCGGCAGCGAGGCCCAGAGGGACCTACAGCAAGCTCCAGGCAGACGGCAAGCAAAGGGAAGAGGCGTGGGTGGGATCCAGGGCTCTGCCTCTCCCCTGGGGCCCGCAGCTGGGAATCCTGCAGCTGGGGACAGCACTCGGGCCAGAAGGCACCGGATGTTTTGGATCCGGGAGGATACAGATGAAGGTTCCAGACCTTGGGAGCAGGAAACGCGGGGATGAGCAGAGGCGGTGCTGGCTGGTCCCGTCGTCCACGCGCTCCTCGGGTCACGCTCGGTATTGCCACCATGCGTGAACTGGGGAAACTGGGGCTCGGAGAAGTGGAGGTGCTGTGGGCGGCGGTGAGGGGAGCAGCCTTGGACCCCAGCGCTGACGCCCCTCTTGCTGGGATGGAGGAAACCGCCGAATCGTGGTGACAAACTGCAGATAGGAAAAAAAAAATACAAAAACCTGAGCTACGAGGCTGCGAGGGCCCAAGTCCCCCGAGGAAGACCAAGGATTCACTCGGGCACTGTCTGCCCCTCTGCCCCTTCTGTATCTGTTTCTGTTCCCTCCGTTCCCTTCCGGCCAGTGCTTGTTCCAGAAGGAGGGGCCTGTCTCTTTAACCAGCAGTGGCTGCCTCCCAGATGTTACTCCTGCTACTCCAGCTACGTGCTACACGTGCTGGGGACAGTTAAAGGCGCAGGACTCACTGGACTGGGAGGTACTGGAAGACCAGGCCAGGGGAGGCCCCGGGGTCGGGGAGGGGGAGCAGCCTCCGGTGCCCCGCCCCTTGCCCCGCCCCTCAGCTTTTCTCACCTCCTCTGCTTTTTCCGATTTAGTTTTGTTGGTCACAGAAGAGCAGTGGCCTCAGGGTATTCAGGCTACTCCTTTAATTTAAAAAAGTAAGAGTGGGGCCAGCACTGTGGTGTAGGGGGTACAGCCGAAGCCTGCAGTGCCAGCATCCCATATGGGCACCAATTCGAGTCCACCAGCTGCTCCATTTCTGATTCAGCTCCCTGCTGTAGCCTGGGAAAGCAGTAGAAGATGGCCCAAGTGCTTGGGCCCCTGCACCTGCATAGGAGACCCAGAAGAAGCTCCTGGCTCCTGGCTTCGGATCAGTGCAGCTCCGGCCGTTTCGGCCAACTGGGAAGTGAACCAGTGGATGGAAGACCTCTCTCTCTCTCTCTCTCTCTCTCTGACTCTGTGTGTGTGTGTGTGTGTGTAAGTAACTTTGACTTTCAAATAAATAAATAAATGTTTTTAAAAAACCTAAGATCCAAGAATATATCATGATGCTACAATTTATGTGACAAGAAAAATATCAATATGTAGATATTCATACGAGGGTGCTTCAGAACGTTCATAGAAGATATACTTTTTAAAAAGATTTTTGTTTACTTATTTGAAAGTTAGAGTTACACAGAGAGAAAAGGGAGAGAGAGAGAGAGAGAGAGAGAGGTCTTCCATCTGCTGGGTCACTCCCAAAATGGCCACAACAGCTGGAGCTGTGCTGATCCGAAGCCAGGAGCCAGGAGCTTCTTCCAGGTCTCCTATGTGGGTGCAGGGGCCCAAGCACTTGGGCCATCCTCCACTACTTTCCCAGGCCACAGCAGAGAGCTGGATCGGAAATGAAGCAGCCGGGACTCAATATGCCCATAGGGGATGCTGGCACTGCAGGCGGCAGCTTTACCTGCTACGCCACAGGGCCGGCCCCTAGAAGATATAATAAAAATATGTTTATTTCAATGCAAAAAATTTTGAAGGAGTTTTCAAAAAGGTCATGGAAAATGCATATTTATGAAAAAACCATGCATGGATTTCAAAATATTTGTGCACCAAAAGAAACTTAATTCCATTCTCCATGACCTTTTGAAGATTTATGTATCTGGAAGCAAACTGCGTAGCTGAGCCGATGTCCTCCAGGAAGGAGCAGGACTTACTGGTCACCTGGCGCCCTTTTGTGCTTTTTAAAGGTTACGTTTTTCATGTTAATTCATTTATCATTATTTATTTGAAAGGCAGAATGACCGAGAGAGAAGGCAGAGATCTTCCATCCACTGCCCCAAATGATGGCAACAGCCAGGGCTGGGCCAGGCTGAAGCCGGGAGCCAGGAACCAGCTGAGCTTTTTAAAATTTTTTCTGGGGCCGGCGCCGCGGCTCACTAGGCTAATCCTCCGCCTAGCGGCGCCGGCACACCAGGTTCTAGTCCCGGTTGGGGCACCGGATTCTGTCCCGGTTGCCCCTCTTCCAGGCCAGCTCTCTGCTGTGGCCAGGGAGTGCAGTGGAGGATGGCCCAAGTGCTTGGGCCCTGCACCCCATGGGAGACCAGGAAAAGCACCTGGCTCCTGGCCTGGCTCCTGCCATTGGATCAGCGCGGTGCGCCGGCCGCAGTGCATCGGCCGCGGCGGCCATTGGAGGGTGAACCAATGGCAAAGGAAGACCTTTCTCTCTGTCTCTCTCTCTCACTGTCCACTCTGCCTGTCAAAAAATAAATAAATAAATAAAATTAAATTAAAAAAAATTTTCTGGTCATCCCCGTTTCCCAGCTGGGATGGAGGCTGTCCCCACGCTCTGTCTCCCAAACACCTCTGCCCCCATGAAGGCCATGGATGGGCTGGTGGCTTTGTAAGTGTAGACCGTGGGGTGGGGTGTGTGAGTTCCTAATGAGATTCAGACTGTGGGGTGGGGGGATGGGGCAGGATCACCTAGGCAGACGCCTCCTAAGGGGCTGGCACTCACAGCCCCCAGTCTGTTCACAGACCCAGGAAGCCCACCTCAAATGACCCTGTAATTTCCAACAACCACGAGGCCCCAGTATCATCCAGCCACCAAAGCAGAGACCCTCGGCCCCCAGCCTGGGCTCAGATGGAGCTTCCCCACCAGGGTACAACGCGTCTCTTGCGCTGAGAATTCACAATTACAGCCATTGTCAAGTGAGGTTGTGGCATCTTGATTAATAGGTCAGAACAGGGTGGACGTCCAAGAGATGGTGTCCTGGGCTGGACTTGTGTGTCCATCTGGTGTGCGAGCCGAGACGGTTTGCAAGGGGCGTCAGCAGAACTCTCCAGGAAGTCCAGTTTCCGTGGCTCTGCTCTTTCTCCTCCCCTCCCCTCCCCTCTCCCTTCCCTTCCCTTCTTTTCCATACGAAGTTCTTTCACAGTCAGGATCATCATTTTTACAGAAAAGATTTTTTTTAATCTCAGGGCTGCAGAATCCATCAATAGCAAACGGGGCCAAGCACGTGTTCGACTTGGCGGGCTCTCACGGAGGCTCCCAGCCAGCCCAGCTCCCGCACTCTGCTCGGGAAAACTGCCCTCTTCCCAGCCCCGGGCGGCTCCGCACTTTGGCTCCGCCCCCTCCTCTTCGCCCCGCCCCTTCCCCGCCCTCTACACGCCCCTTTTTACATCTGTCGCAAAACACCAGGCAGCGCCTGACGGTTGGTGGCGTTTGACGGCCGGAGGCAACCGAGAAGGAGGAGGAAGCGGCGCTGGTGGCTTCCCTGACGCCTGTGGAGGAGGTCGGGGCGGGCGCCGCGGTCCCGGCCGAGGAGTGAGGCGCGGGCGGCCGGACCGGTGGGCTGGGCGGCGGGCCCGGCGGCCGCCCCCGCGCCGTCGCTCGCGCCTGGCGGCCCGATGTGGCTGCAGCAGCGGCTTAAGGGGCTGCCGGGACTGCTGTCGAGCAGCTGGGCCCGCCGCCTCCTCTGCCTGCTCGGCCTCCTGCTGCTGCTTCTGTGGTTCGCGGGCTCCGGGGCGCGGCGGGCGGCGGGCGGCCTGCACCTGCCGTCCTGGGCCCGCGGCGAGCCGGGCGCCGCCGAGCCCTCCGCCTGCCTGGAGGCGGCCACCCGCGCCTGGCGCGGCCTGCGGGAGCGAGGCGAGGCCGTCCCGCTGGGCCCTGGGGTGCCGGCGCTGGTGGCCAACGGCTTTCTGGCCCTGGACGTGAACGCCAACCGGCTGTGGGTGACCCCCGGGGAGCGGGAGCCCGCCGTGGCGCCGGACTTCGTGCCCTTCGTGCAGCTGCGCCCGCTGAGCGCGGTGGCCGAGGCGGGGGAGGCGGTGCTGCTGCCGCGGGAGGGCCTGCTGCGCCGCGTGCGGTGCCTGCAGCTGGGGACCCCAGGTTCCGGCCCCGCCGCCGCCGGCCCCGGGCCCGCCTCGGCCTCAGGCCTCGCCGCGGGGTCGGGCCGTGACTGCGTGCTGCTGCAAGAGGACTTCCTGGCGCACCGGGGCCGGCCCCACGTCTACCTGCAGCGCGTGCAGCTGCACAACCCCACGGAGCGCGTGGCCGCGCTGCAGACCGTGGGGCCCACGGCCGGGCCTGCCCCCAGGGGCCTCACCAGCACCCTGGAGAAGGTCGGAGACCATCAGTTCCTCCTCTACTCGGGCCGGGTCTCGCCTCTGCCCACGCGGCAGGTGCACCTGGTGGTGGTGGCCGCCAAGAAGCTGGTGAACCGGCTCCAGGTGGCCCCCAAGACGCAGCTGGACGAGACGGTGCTGTGGGTGGTGCACGTGTCCGGCCCCCTGAGCCCCCAGGTGCTCAAAAGCAGAGCGGCCAAGGAGCTCAAGGCCCTGCAGGACGCGGCGCGGAAGGAGATGCTGGAGCTGCTGGCGATGCCGGCGGCCGAGCTGCTGCGGGACCACCAGCGCCTCTGGGCCCAGCTGTTCAGCCCAGGTGAGGCTCTGCACCCCGGGGGGTGCCCCAGGCCCGGGAGGTGGCCTGCATTGGGTAGCAGCCGCTGGAGCGACCGCAGAGGGCGAAGGGGAGCCTAGTGGTGTGTCCCTGCTGGTGGGCCGGGGGTGGGCAGCGTTGAGGGGCAGTGGGTGGAGGGCGGAGCAGCAGGTGCCTCCCCAGGGCCTCTGCACCCCGCACCCTCCGCCTGGTGACAAGCAGGGCTCCCTGCCCCGCGTGCCCTCACGGAGGCCGGAGCGTCTCCTGTTCCCGCCACGTGGAAGCTCCCTCAGAAGGCCCCGTCTGGGGTGAGAGGGGCTTCGGTTTCCAGCCCCAGTGCTGGGCTGCTCCGAGAGCGTTCCTGGACAAGTGTTTCTCAGGTGTTTTGCCTGGGGCCGCTCTGCACCTGGCGTAGGCAGAGTGAACAACGAAGTTCCCGTTTCTGGTGCTTGCTTAGGCCACAGACGTCAGGGAGACAAAAACGTACACAGGACAGCTTTGTAGATGAAAGCGCTGTGGTGAGGAATGGGATGTGTGATGGAGGGGGACCAGTGGGAGGTGGGAGTGAGGCTGCCAGCGGGGGGGGCCCCCCCGGCCGCCTGGGGATATCAGGGAGGCCTCTCGGAGGAGGAGCCCTCGGGCTGGGCCCTGAATGGCAGAAGCAGCCGTGTGGCCTGGGGGCCCGTGTGGGCGGCTCAGCCGGTGCGGCTGGCAGCCAGGAAGCGAGGGGAGGGCGACGGGCAGCGGGCAGCGAGGTCGGGCAGGGGGAGGTGAGGCCTTGTGCCCTTCCGAGGGCGCTTCACAGAATTCCTGGAAAACGGAATTCAAAGGAGAGATGTGCTTTGTTGTGAAGACTTGAAATCCGTGCCCAGGGCTGCCATGGATATGCGTTTTCCGTGAACTTTGTGAAGTCCTCTTGTCTGGACGGGAGGCGGGTCAGAGACCTGGTCAGAGTGTAGACTGCAGGGGGCGCAGTGGAGGCCATAGGCGCTGGGCCCAGGTGGGTGTGGGGACAGCGAGAAGAGGGTGCATCTGGCACTGCTGGACCTGCGGGACGACTCCTCCGCCTGGGGGCTCGAGCCCGGCCGAGGGGACACCTCGGGGAAGGCTGGACTGGGTCTGAAACCGTCCCGACCAGGTCAGGCTTGACACGCCTGTCGTGTCCAGGTGAGGGTGCTGGGCAGGTGAATTCATACAGATTTGGGAGACACCTGCCTGGTACCCAGCTTCCTCCGAATTGGGAGGCCATTGACCGCTGCAGGGCTAGGGGACAGCGGATGTGGCCAGGGGGCCCGACTGTGGAGTCGGCGCTGTCTGTGTTCTTGGCCTGGGCAGGACGTTAGGTTTCAGGCTCAGGGCGGTCCTGTAGGACGAGCCGAGGGCTTTCTCCCCCGCTGCGGGGAGACTGGGGCTGCCGTCCCTCTGCTCCTGGTCTCTGTCACCCCCTCTGCCTCCCGGCGCCCGCTCCTTAACTGCAGCCTTCGTGTTGCTACAGGAGTGGAAATGAAGAAGATCACGGATGCCCACACGCCTTCCGGCCTGACCGTGAACTTGACCCTGTACTACATGCTCTCCTGCTCACCAGCCCCGCTGCTCAGCCCCTCCCTGAGCCACAGAGAGCGAGAGCAGATGGAGTCGACGCTCAACTACGAAGACCACTGCTTCAGCGGCCACGCCACCATGCACGCCGAGAACCTGTGGCCGGGGCAGCTGTCCTCGGTGCCGCAGATCCTGCAGCTGTCTGACCTGTGGCGGCTCACCCTGCAGAAGCGCGGCTGCAAGGGGCTGGTGAGGGCGGGCGCCCCGGGCATCCTGCAGGGCATGGTGCTGAGCTTCGGGGGGCTGCAGTTCACGGAGAACCACCTGCAGTTCCAAGCCGACCCCGACGTGCTGCACAACAGCTACGCCTTGCACGGCATCCGCTACAAGGACGACCACATCGACCTGGCCGTGCTCGCCGACGCCGAGGGCAAGCCCTACCTGCACGTGGCCGTGGAGCCCCGCGGCCAGCCCGGCAAGATCTACGCCTGCGAGGCGGGCTGCCTGGACGAGCCCGTGGAGCTGACCTCCGTGCCGGGCGGCCAGACGTTCTCGGTCATGGTGACGCAGCCCATCACGCCGCTGCTGTACATCTCCACCGACCTCACGCACCTGCAGGACCTGCGGCACACGCTGCACCTCAAGGCCATCCTGGCCCACGACGAGCACATGGCCCAGCAGGACCCCGGGCTGCCCTTCCTCTTCTGGTTCAGCGTGGCGTCCCTCATCACCCTCTTCCACCTCTTCCTCTTCAAGCTCATCTACAACGAGTACTGCGGGCCTGGAGCCAGGCCCCTCTTCAGGAGCAAGGTAGGCGGCCTGCGCTGCCCGGGCCTGGGCCGGGAGTGGCCTGGTCAGGTGGGGGTGGAGACCTGGGCCGGAGTGGCCTCGAACCCAGAGAGCAGCGAGTGTGTTTGGAGAGGGAGAGGAAGTTAGACAGTGGCCTCCCCCGGGCAGGTGTGGGGTCCGTCACTCGGGGTGCCCATGGCCCGTGTCAGGGTGCCTGGTTTGAGTCCCGGCTCCACTCCCAGTGCCAGCTTCCTGCTAAGGCAGCAGGTGACAGCTCGAGTGCTTGGGTCCCCGCCACACACATGGAGACCCGGATGGAGTTCCTGGCGCGCAGCTTCTGTCTGGGCCAGCCGTGGCTGTTGTGGGCATTTGGAGAGTGAACCATTGGGTGGCAGCCCTCTCTGTCTCTGTATCTGTCTCTCTCTACTGTTTCTTTACCTTTCAAATAAAGAAAGGAAATTTAAAAGATCAGAGAAAAGAAAGTGGACCCCCCCAGGGGGGATCCCAAGGAAGGGGCGGCTGTGGAAATCCAGTTGTGATGCGGCGAGGCCAGTTCCCTGCCACGCCTCGCCCCCCACCCCCACCCCGGAATCTCAGGACTTAGGCCTCTGTGTGAGCTGCTGTGGGGCCCACCGCCCCAAGGACCTGCCCGTGGGGCTCAGTCAGTCCCCTTGTGGCCTAGCTGGACGCGGTCCCCTTATCGGTTGCGGGCGTTTGTCCCGGCAGCGCAGGACAACAGGACAACACCATTCCCCTCCTGGCTCCCAGAACGCCTTTGCCCCCAGTTCTGGTGAGACTGTGCCCCGGGAGCTGCCGGGCCGGGCTGCCTGCGGTGGGAGCAGCCACTCCTCTGTGCCCGTGAGTGCCGGCTTCTCGGGAGAAAGGCCGAGCCAGCCTGCAGCAAGTGTTTCCGAAGGGGCGGAGCTGTTCCCTCCTCTCCCCTCCCCGCGCTCAGCCCTGCACCCTCACCCCACCCCCCTGCCCAGCTGCTTTTGCTGACCGGTAGTGACACCCACCAGGTGCCCAGAGCCCAGCGCAGCCACAGGCGCCTTGGGGCCTCCGGGTTCTAGTTTCTGGCCCCAGGCCGGGCCCTGGAAAAGGAGACAGGGCGCTGATGCAGCAGCCTGTAGCCTTGGCGGGCTCCGTGGGGCAGGCTGCTGCTCCCCCTGGGCGGGGCTTCTCTGCTCTTCCCGCTCTGTGTGCCCCTTTGTTCCCCACACAGGTGGGGACACAGCCACACCGCTGTCACGGGCCACGGAGCCTGGTGATCCGAGCCCGAGGCCGGGGCAGAGCCCAGGTGGGGGCGCCAGGGCCGTCTCCGCGTTGATATTTCCGTGGCCTGCGCAGGCGTGGCGGTGAACTTGACAGCCTGTTTTGTCGCCCGCACAGGAAGATCCCAGCGTGTGAGGGAGGCGACAGCCCTGCTTCCGGCTGCCATTTGCACAGGCGCCCGGCCCGCGCGCCCTGCTGCTGCGAGCACCCACCCTTTGTGCCTTGTTGGGGGAGCCCAGGGACGCAGACGCGTGCGGAGACTCGAGTTAGCTGCGGAAGGAAGGACGCGGGAGTGGGGGAGGGCCGGTGGCTTTTGTACGCTTTCCACTCAATAAAATGAACCCATGTGGAAAATACTTGAAATTGAACTCACTCCTTCCACGCCCCCTGGCTTCTGTCCCGGAAGCAGACCTCTGAAAGGCTCCTGGGAGCCACGGTGTCTCTTCCTAATTTAACGTGTTCTTTCTTGGATGAACTTCTAATTTATTTTGTTGATGTCACGGGGGGGTGCTGGCAGGGACGCCCCCTCCGAGGCCCCGCGGTCCTGAGGCCGGGGTGGGGGGTGTCCCGCTGGGGCCCCCTCCCCGCTACCCGCCGCGGCTGCTGACATGAGCCTGTGGGGGCCGTGGGTTTGTACTGCGGGGCTTTGGGGGAGCTGTTGAACTTTCTGGTGATTGATGATTGTTGGGTTTTGAAATACCAAAGCTTTTTGTTCTGTTTTTAAATAAAGATCTGTCAAACTGCAAGACTGGGTGTGTGTGGTTGGAACGCCCCCTGCCCCGCCCCCAAGCCCGAGAGTTCCTGGAAGGGACCATCGCAGACAATGGCTCTTCCCGCAGCTTCTCCCCTTCTCCAAGGGGCCGGCCGGCCGTCTGGGCGCTGCTGCGAGGCCAGCTGTCGGGGCTGGGGAGGGCCCTGCTGCCCCCTCCCCCGTCCCTCCCTCACTGTGGCCGCCTCGCCCCCCATTGGCCGGCTGTTGGGGATTAAAATCCCAGTTTGAGGGGCCAGCATTATGGCGTAGCAGTAAAGCTGCTGCTGTTGACGCCGCCATCCCATATGGGCACCGGTTCCTGTCCCAGCTGCTCCACTTGTGATCCAGCTGCCTGCTAATGCTGGGAAAGCGGCAGAGGGTGGCCCAGGTGTTTGGGCCCTGTCACCGTGTGGGAGACCCGCCCGGATGAAGCTCCTGGCTTCAGCCCGGCCCGGCCTAGGCCATTGTAGCCATCTGGGGAGTGAATCAGTGGATGGAAGAGCTCTGTAACTCCGATTTCCAAAACAAGAAAGATCCCAGTTTGAGAGGTGAGGAACCTGGACCTTGGGTGGTGAGTGATTCTGTCCAAGGTCACGCGTGGCTGTGGAGTGCAGGTGGGCTGGATACAGGAACAGGCCCCGCCCAGGCCCGCATCTGCCCCCGGGGCGCCTCTGAAGAGGCCAGCACACTGGGAGCACTGCTTCCAGGCCGGCCCCTGGGACACATGCGATGCCGCAAGCCAGATGCTCTCGGTGCCAGCCAGGTCTGCGTGGCACCACTGGCAGCGCACAGGGAGCAAGGCGGGCACCAGGGGACACGAGCAGGCTTCATCCAGTGGCTGCCAGGGCCCAGGATCAGGTGTGGAAAGTGCAATGGCGCCCGAAAAGCCGGCTTGGAGACGGCTCCCTCCCTAGAAACCGCCCTGCAGCCTCTGTGCCCTGTGTCCCAGCCGCCTGCCCCCCCCCGCTGTTGCTATAGCAACCAGCTCCAGCTCCGCGCGGGGGTCAAGCAGCCTGTGCAGCCCCTGGCTGGCTCTGGCCCTTCCCACTCTTCTGCAGGAAGCGCTGCTTCTCTGGTCCCTGGGTGGGCGATTCCACGCCAGGGCCGCGCCCCACTCGCCCTTTGCTTTGCCTTCCCTCGCTGCTGTCCCCTCCCCCAGGCTGTAAGCGCCTGCACACCTGAGGCCGGAGCTCAGGCTCTGCTTCCCGGCTCGCAGGCTGAAACACAGACCCTCCGGAGAATTCTTCCGAGAGCAAACTGGGCTGAGCGCTTGTGTCCTCCCAAACGTCCCAGCTTGAAGTCCCGGTCCCCGGTGTTAGGAGGCGGGGTCTTTGGGAGGGGGCGGGGCCCGTGGGGTGGAGCCCCCACCCGTGGGGTTAGTGTCCTGGTGAAAGCCCCTCCCCCACTCCCAGCGCGCTCCTGTTCTCTGCTTAACACGGGGACGCCCTAAGAAGACAGCGCAGAAGAGGAGCCCCCACCCCACTCCCAGAAGCAGCCGTGCGGGCACCTTGGCTCCAGACTTCCCGCTTCCAGGATCAGGAGAAATTCCTGCAGCCTGCAACACCCCCCAGCCACGGGTGCGTGGCGCCGCCGCCCACGCCCACGCTGCCTGGCAGGTGCAGCCTTGCCCGGGGGAGGGCGCCGGCGGGGACTACAACCAGCAGGCGCATGCGCGCAGGACGCTGCGGGAGGAAGACAACCGGGAGCTGGCGGCGCTCCAGGGCAGCGCTGCCTCCCAGGCCAGGGTGTGGCGCGGTGGGTGAAGCCGCCACTTGTGGCCTCCCGTACTGCAGCGCCGGTTCGAATCCTGGCTGTGGCTGCTCCATTTCCAATCCAGCTCCCCGCTAATGCGCCTGGGAAGGCAGCAGAGGATGGGCCAAGCCATTGGGCCCCTGCCACTCATGTGGGAGACCCTGAGGGGGTTCCTAGCTCCCGGCTCGTAGCAGTCCCAGCTGTTGTGGCCAAATGGGGAGTGAACCAGCAAGGGAAGAGTCTCTCTCTCTCTCTCTCTCTCCCTCCCTCCATCTGCCTGGCAGGATGGATTTCATTCCCATTTCGTGGATGAGGACAACTGAGGCTCTGAGTTGCTAAGTCACACAAACAGGTGGCGTCCAGGATGAGTTCCCAGGCCCATCCAGCTCCCAGACCTGATGCTCCCCTTACCAGCCCAAGTTGGCTCCAGAAAGAGCTGCCGCGGGCTGCGTGTCCAGTTTCTGCTGGACGGAGGCTGTCCCTTTCCTGTCCAGGAATCTCTCTGGGCCGGGCCAGGCCTGGGGAGGCTCAGAAAAGACCGCTGCGGGATCCGGCGGGTCATCTGATCTTTGAGCTCACACGTGTGAGGTGGGACCCCAGCCCCCAACAGCACCCAGGTCCCCAGACGGCACAGCGGGGACAGGGTCCCAGCCTCCGGGGACCAGCACGAGCAGAAACAGACAAATGGGGAACCGGATGATGGCCCCACTGTCACGTGGCCGCAGGGCCGGGCCGGCGCACCCACCCTCCAGGGCCAGGCTGGCTTCCAGGAGCAGGGAGGCCGCTTGGAGCTGGACACTGACGGTGACAGGTGTCAGCTGGGTCAGCGTGTGGGCAGGGCCCCGCTAGACTACAGAGCCCCAGGCTGCGGCCCGGGAGCACCAGCTCCGCGGGGCGCTCAGGCCCAGAGGCCGTGAAGGGGAGAAAGCGGGCGGTGGGGCTCGGAGCTGGCTTTGCTCACCCACACCCTCTGGCAGCCAGGCCCTGACTCTCGGCCACGGTTCCTCCGTGGAGATCGCTTTTCTCCTCCCTGGGGACGGTCGAAATCTCAGCCTCTGGTTCACAGAGTGAGTCCCAGCGGGGAAAAGCAGAGACCAGGAACTTGCCCAAGGTCACAAGGAAGTCAGTCCACACCCAGGGCCTTGGGATCTACCAGCTCCCAGCGCCAGGTTATCTTTGGCTTCCACTAACACTGCGGAGGGCTTGGGCGCCCGGACCCCGCAAGCGCCATCAGACTCCCCACGACTGCTCCGTGGTGTCCCCGGAGGGGTCAGGGGCCGGCACCAGGCTCAGTGGCTAGGCTGCCCCTTGGCACGGCGGCATCGCGGTCCGTCCCAGTCCCCTGCAGACATACCCCCGGGGAGGCAGCAAGCCCTCTCCACCACGTGGGCGACAGGATTGAGTTCCAGGTTCCCGCCCGGCCCCTGCTGTTGCAGGAGATGAGGGAGTGCAGCAGCGAGTGACTTCTCTGTCTCGCTGCCTTTCCAATAAATAATAAATAAATCAAAATTTTAAAAAAGAGGGCAGGCCAGCTTGTGGAAGAAAAGGACCCGAGCTGCACTCCCAGGGGAGGGCGCGCAGGCTGGGAGTGGGGGACCTGGTCCCGTGTCCAGCTCTGCCATTATTGTGTGACCTCAGCCGAGTGAGCTGTTTCCTACTCCACATCCCCACCTGAAAAACGGGCCTGATGGCACCTTCCAACGCAGTCAGACGGCAGGAAAGCCCCTGTGAGTGGCCATGCATTAACAAACAGGCTTTGATCAGCTCAAGTTTTCCACCCACAGGAGGCCGAGGAATGCGGACCGGCGCTTTGAGCCCCGGGGCCCTCGGGTGTGAGGGCCTGGGCCAGGAAAACAGCTTCATCCGCCTGCAAGAGAAACTTCGCATGTTCTCCCGTGATCCGCTCAGGCGCCCGTGTCACGGTCACAGCAGATCACAGACACCAGCCCGCTCCTGACCGTCCACCAGCGCCAGGTACCTGGAAGTGGGTGTTATGAGAGGCTGGCCCCTCGATCCCAGTGTTCAGTCTACAAATGAGGAAGCAGACGTGCGGCCAGATCTCAGATTTGTCTTCCAAACAGGCTTCCCGGGGCCCGCGCTGTGGTGCAGCCGGTGAAGCGACCTCTTGCAGCGCCGGCATCGCACACCAGTTTGGGTCCCAGTTGCTCTGCGTCCGATCCAGCCCCTGCTAACGTGCCCAAGAAGGCAGCGGAAGGTGGATCTGGTGCTCGGGCCCCGCCACCCACGTGGGAGGCCCTGAAGAAGCTCCTGGCTCCTGGCCTCTGACTGGCCTCGCTCGACATAGCGACCATTTGGGGAGTGAAACGGGATGGCAGAGCTCTCTCGCTCGCTCGCTCGCTCGCTCTGCTTTTCAATTAAGTAAATAAACATTTTGAAAAAATGAAAATGAAGATGTCTCAATGTATTCATCTCTTAAAAAAGGTTTATTTTTACGATTTGAAAGGCCGAGTGACAGAGAGGGGGAGAGAGAGAGAGAGAGATCTTCCATCTGCTGGTTCATTTGGCTGCCAAGTCAGGGCCTGGCCAGGCCGAAGCCAGGGCCCAGAAACGAGATCCCGGTCTCCCACGTGGGTGGCAGGGGCTCGAGTGCTTTCCCAGGCGCCGTAGCGGGGAGCGGGCTCTGACACAGAGCAGCCTGGGCTCTAGGCTGCAGCTTCACCGACTGTGCCACAAAACCAGCCCCATATGCAGTCAGCATTTTTTAAAAAAAGATTTATTTATTCATTTGAAAGAGTTACAGAGAGGCAGAGGGAGAGAGAGAGGTGTCTTCCATCACTGGCTCACTCTCCAAAGCCAGGAGCTTCTTCAGTGTCTCCCACTTGGGTGCAGGGGCCCATTCCCAGGCACATTAGCAGGGAGCTGGATGGGAAGTGGAGCAGGTGGGACTGGAACCGGCGGCCATATGGGATGGCGGCACTGCAGGCGGCGGCTTCATCCTCTAGGGCAGAGCGCCAGCTCCATGTATTCAACTTGAACAGTGTTTGTTTCCATCGAGCTCCTGACACTGAGATGGGTCAATATATCTTTTAGGTCTTTTCCATCTGTAGCTTTCTCTTCCATTTAATTTTATATAAAAGGAAAAAGTTTATTACTCTTAAAAAGTATTTATTTGAAAGGCAGAGAGAGAGAGAGAGAGAGAGGGAGGAGACGGGATCTGAGCCCAGGCACGCTGAAGCGGGAGCCCCGGCACTGTCCAAACCCCACGGCGCCACACCGCCGCCC